TCTGTTGTTCTGTATTAGTGACGCTTCAAGCAGATCCACGACTCTCGTTAACAGCACTTACTAGTTCCACACCATAGAGATGTCCATCTTCTGGAGCTTCAATACCATCTTCAAGGGTAGTCAGGGCGGATTCCACCCCATCGGCTGGGAAAGTAAGCTGGTTGCATAGAGTAGTGGCCCAATTGAGCTTCACTGAAGTATCGAGGTCGAGAATTGATTGAGGAAGAGTGATGTTCTGACTGGGTTGGGGGAAGCAGATGACCGAGTCAGCCGCTGCAGTGATGGCAAAGCCAAGAGCGGCAATAACAGAGCTTGTCAATTGCATGGTGAAGGTGTTTTTGAAGGCAGCTATGATTAAAAGATCGGATAATTGTTGATGTTCCAATCTGACAAGAAAGCGGAAGGGGTTATATATAGTAATTCTGTTCTCACGGAGTACCAGCATGTAGTGCTAAGGCTCAAAGATCGAGGTCAAACAGGATTACTTTTTCCACATCACCATCCTCTTTGGTCCCAGTAGCATAGGCATTACATAACCGAGACAGATTCGGAGTATACGACAAACGTATTCGCAATAGACAAATAAATAGTCTTGAATCCGCAGATCAAGACGAGTAAGCATCGACGCATAAAGTACTCGTAATTGCACCAATTAGATCACAAGTCAATATATATTTATAATATGGACTTGGTAACAAGGATCGGGGAAGAAGAAGCACAATAATTCCACCGATTTAGATGTAAAAAACTCCAGCGCATCAATACCGACGGAAAATAGCAAATGAAGTGAGCTATATGGTTTACTCTGTTGTTAAAGGGTCGATTCGGAATATGTTTTGGTGTGTAGAGTGTTGTTCAGCCTCTCAATCGCATTCATTGTTTCTATGTAAATCACTAGTTCAAGATATATGGCCTAGGTGCTAGAAATCCGATGTAATCACCATTGCATGCAAAGGTATAATCATTTTCAAATACAAATCATATTTCATCATTGGCAACTTTCACCAGGTGGCATTGGATTAATGAACAAGATCAGGAGTTTCCTTGATATCTCATATGAAAAATATTTACTGACGGCATATAAGCATCCATATTACAAAATATTTATATTGTTCCGAGAGCTTTTCATCTTGTTTCAATGATTTCATCTTCACCATATGTCATGTAACGTAACGTCGTTATGCCTCGCAGATACTTTGATGAAGATCCGTCAGCATTGACAACAGCACCTAGGTACTTATATATAATCACACATCACCCTCCTTCCTCATTGACTCTACTATTTGTTACCTGTCACAGCGCTATATCCAGCGCTATATCAAGATGAAACGGCGAGAACGGCGTTCATTACCCCGAAACTAGCAATAGTTATACTCAGCAGGATCGTCTTTTCGCAAAGGCCGGTAGATCATGGGGTCAATTGTCAACCTGGGTTTGAAGGCCAATGGCCATTCGTGGTTATCAAAAGCCGCAGCCAAGGCACAAGTAATATATTCCATATGGCTCCGTATGTGTACATGGCGGTAAGAATCATTGTGCCTTTGAAACGGCTGTTCGATCATCAGCATGCGATCCCATTGACGTCCGACATGTATATGCATCTTGTACGCCCAAGGCTTCTGACATGAGCCGCCAAACATGTGTGCGACAATGTTGGTCTCGTTATAACGCAGCGCTGGCTGTAGAGTTTATTCAGTTCAATGCGACTTGTTTGATCTTCAATTATTGACAAATCGTCAAGTAAAGACTTGAAGTATACAGCCAAGCCCAGTTCAGCATCAGCATTCTTGATATAAAATTTCTCTAGGTTAAGCAAGTAGGTCCGAAGCACAGTGCGCCTTTGTGATTGAAAAGTCTCCTCTATAACAACTAGAAGTGGGCTGATCTAAACCCGTGCCTAAGGCAGCAAGACGAGCTCTGTAAATAGCTTTGGGCAAATGGCTCACGTTTCCTGTTTCGGCTTTCCATCATAACCACAACACTTCGAATCATGACTCTTTATCCTACATGCTGTTGGATATTATGTGTGCTATCTCCGACCTGATTCTCTTCTGGCTGTCCTTATGGATGATCTCGTATATCTAATATGCCGGTTAGTCAAACCAAAAGTGTTTGAACTGCCCTGAGGCTGGATGGACGTACACAAATAATATGCTTGCCATGGTGAATGCCGCGATCGGCGCCATGAATTTCTGTAGACTGTAAGAAGACGCGCATGTTCGCGTTGGAACAATTTAACTTACTCGAGGGTTCATACCTCGGATCTGGGTGACGATGGAAAATGATCCTGAGGCGTTTTCGCTCGTTTAACGCGAATAATTGGGTGTATGTATGCCTGTCCCTATGGACACTTTGACAAAGTCTGTGGACCGGCAATTTATTATACTTGGGTTGATAAATGAAGAAGCCGTTTAATGATTAGATCGGGTTGTGCATGTGTTTTGTTCAAGTTGGAATAGGACAGTTGGTACCAGGCTGTATTTGCGGCTTTAGGCGCAGTGGAGGTTGAGATCAGCCCACTTTTGGTTGTTATCGAAGAGCCCGACTTTTCAATCACAAAGGCGCACTGTGCTCTACACCCAATGCAGGTAAATGTCTATGTTAAGAATGCGCTGAACCTTGACTCGACTGTTATCTATGGGAATTATAAAAAAAAAGACCGAACTGTCAGTTGCCTAACACGTTATCTATTCTCCTTCTTAGGTGTCACAATTGTACGGCAGATGTAGAACCGTCTGACGCAGATCTGACTTGCCCCAACTTGGCAAATGCAGCATCCCAACATCAACCACAACTTGGAGTCGGTCTTTGCCTGGATACCTTACCAGCAATGAGATGAGCCACATATTACATAGTCTACGAGTGATTTCCATGATAGGTGTTATATTAGTAGTCATTCCTACCATCGGATCTGGTCATGCATCGGCACAACAGTGCCTCTCACCACAGCTTGCCCTATGCCGCACAGACACAAGTATCAGCCCATGGAGATTTCCTTCCCGCATCATTCCATGTTTCAGGTTCCCCATGTTTACCGCTCACTGCTTAAGGTTATTTCATGACGATCTCCTGCTTATATAAAACAAAAGCACGGTGTTCATCTTGTTTCCAAAATGCTTCCCAAACATGGATTGTCAGTGCACGGGTAAAATCTCACTCACAGCCTCTATATGGACAAAGGTCCAAACATCGATTTTCACCTGAAGCACATACTCGTTGCACTGGAAGATCCCACGAGCAAGCTGGATTCTGCGGGAATGTCTTTCACAGAGTGCCATGACAAACTCCCCCGAGCGAGTTTCATGGCCTCAAATGTGAGACTTAGGAACCATAATCCGGCTTCAGCATCATGAAACAAGTAACTCCAGAATGTCAAAGCCATGATGATGATCATATTCATCCCCGTAGAAATATAAAATCTCACTTACATCCCCCTTCAACCTCAACTCCCATCTCACTACCAAACCAGCTTCCAACTCTCACTCTCATCCTCACAAACCAAACAACCTCCAAAATGGTCTCCCTCACAGCCATCCTCCCCCTCATCCCCCTCCTCACCTCCGCCCTCCCAACCTCACCCTCGACCTCCTACTCAACCTCCCTCGCCCCCCGCCAAAACTTCGGCGACATCACCTTCTACAACACCGGCCTCGGCGCCTGCGGCTCCGTCAACAACGACCAAGAGTACGTAGCCGCCGTCTCCGCCGCCCTCTTCGACTCCCAGAGCGTCTGCGGCCGCTCCATCAGCGTAAACTTCAACGGCGCCACCGTCAACGTCCAAGTCGTCGACCGCTGCGCCGGCTGCGCTTTCGGCGACGTCGACTTGTCGCCTCGTGCGTTCTCCGACCTCACTGGCAGCCTTGATGCCGGGCGAGTCCAGGGCTCTTGGGACTTTATTTAAGTCCAGAGAGAAGAGTAGTCTTTTTTTTTTTTTTTGACTACACTTGCTCGATACTTTCTTTCACTTCAAACACAATGTGTTATTACTCTCTTTCACTTCAAAAACGACTTATTAATACCGTCTTTTACTTCAAGCAGGGGGAGCTTGCTATTACTATTTTTTATTTTACACACTCTGTGTGATTACTCTCTTTTAATTTACAGACTGGCTGTCAACACTCTCCTTCACTTTAAAAGTCGGCTTTATAATACTCTCTTTTACTCCAAGTAGAGCCTGTTCTTACTCTCTTTTACCTCAAGCAGCGCTTGTCTTTACATTCTTTCACTTTAAGCGGAGCTTATTCACATTCTTTACGGCAAAGCGGAGCTTGCCATTACTTTCTTTTAATTCAGGCAGAGCTTGCAACACCATCTTTTACTTCCAAGCAGAGCTTGTATCCATTCTTTACTACAAGCGGAGCTTGCCATTACCTTCCTTTAGTGCAAGCAGAGCTTGCCATACGTTCTTTACTTCAAGCAGAGGTTGTCAGTACTTTCGTTCACTGCAAGCAGAGCTTGTATCACTTCATCTACCGCAAGCAGAGCTTGTCATCCATTCTTTACTACAAGCAGAGCTTGCCGCTACCCTCACTACATCAAACACAACAATGAATAGACGGCATGGGACAGGATGCCTAGAAGGAAAAAGCTGTAAAAAGCTGTACATAGATAGAGCTATTGAATCGATTCACTTTACATATTACAACCACAACATGTCTCACGTAAATGGAGCAAGCAACTAAAGATAAAAATGTCTTAGATTGAGTCTCATTCATCCGTTAAAGTAAATCATAACTGGTGCCTGCGGGGCCCCTTTTGTTCCTCGTTTTGTGACCGTAATAGAATACACATATGTACACGCAACTTCAGACGCCTCGCGCAATGCAATGTGGACAAGAAAGAAGGTAAGAAAGCAACAAAGCAAGAAGAGAAAAAAAGTTGATCATGGCCTTTGCCATTACGCTCGCTGAGCTCGCAGAAAAAAAAAAAGGAAAAAATAGGAAAGAAAGTGAAAACCGTCGAGGTGAAAGACCAGAGGCACTTGTGAATGCTCTGGTCGATTAAAATGCTGGTATAGCGTATGTTGACACACTGACAAAGGAAAGAATGGTGATTGCAGTTATGCTGTTGTCCACATGCGGCCCCTGATTCATGACGCAGAGCGCAGTCTCTAGTTGGCTCTGTTTCTCAGGCTACTACTAGCCCTGGAAAACCCAGGTAGCCATTTCCTCCTGGTTCCAATTACCGATTGCGCCGGCGTAGCTTGCTCGACCACCTGCTTCTTCATGTTTGGTGAATTTCGGCCATTGACAACCAAGTCGGAAAGGCGCACCGGAGCACTAGTCGACGAGGGTAAAAATGTCGGAGCTGCTTCGGCTCCCACAGTGCTTCTTCTCATCTGTCGGGGCTTGAGCATGATGGGCGGCGGCGTCGATCCTGCCCGGTCGTCGAAATCGGCTTCTCTGTTAAGCCAAGGCTGCAGACTGACGCCCTGACTGGTCTTGTAGGCCTCAGCAAAGGTGGCATCTGTGGCACTCGCCGGAGTGCTGGACGGCGAGCTGGGAACCAACGAGCGACGAAACAGTCTGTTGAGAGCAGTACGCGGGCCGCTAATTGGGGGATATTGGCCCCTTTTCTCGCTTTGCGGGTGCTGCAGAATAGTCGGGGACTGGGCAGGTGTGTGGATTTCATCTCTCATTCTTGCACCATCACTGTGATGTCTTGAGTGGCTTGAAAGCTCCTCCGGCTGCTCTGGTGTACTGGTAAGAGTGAGTGTCCTGGGCGAGTTTCGGACGGATGAAGTTGTGGAGGATGTTCGAGCGTGAAGGCTCGACCGCCTATCCGGTGGGGGCGGTGCGGTATTGGTAGCGAGGGACTGACGCAAAGAGAAGAGCTCGTTGATATAATCCGCATCGTTGTCAATCCCTTGCGACTTTTTGGTGCTGGGAATGCCAAAGAGATCTGGTTTGGTGCTCTCTCGCATCCAAATGTCGAGGCTTGACCGAAGAGAGTGGACCTCGGAGTGCTCATCAGAGTCGGTGCTGTCCCATCGGTTCTCTTTCTTCTGGAAGGAAGCAGTATCGCTGGCGGCTCGCTGATGGCGCTGCATAGGAGCACTGATACCACGAGCCTTTGGCTTTTCACCTTCCGTGGCTTTGTCTTGACCACGCAAAAGGCTAGGCTTTCCTCGGAACGAGACTCGCAGTGACTGGTTATCCTGATCGCTGTACGTCACCGAGTATCTATCATTCCGGCTGTCTTGCCTAGCAAGGGAGTCGTTGGAATTGCGCATTCGGTGCAGTGTGGAGGTTGAGATTGTGTCTGGAGTGGGCGGGAAGTTTGGATCGTGAAGGCGCGCGGTGCCAGGGCCATCCGTCATTACTTTCCTCAGGGTAGGAGGCTGCGAGCGACGTCGGTCTCCGGCCTGGCTGGGCGCGGGACGGAAACCCTCTTGTAGCACGCTCTGGGACCTACCCAGTTTCTCAATTTGCTGCAAGGGGGAAACGCGGTCCACAGAAGCGCCCGAGATGGAATGGCGGGTGCCAGATGAGGAGCGGCGTCCACCGAGGAAGTGATTGGCGGTGGCCGCTCGGGGCGGGAAACCCGAAGGGGATATTTTCCTAGAGATGTCTCGGCGGCCAGTAGACAGGCTTTGCGATTCGGTCTCGATGCCATCCAGGCTAAGGGGTTGGTCGACGGGCCGAGGGAAGATGCTGTCCTGGCTCTTTTTGCCGTAAACACTCGCAAAGGAACTCTCGCTGAGAACACTCAAGGTAGGGCTACCCGGGACGTTGGACGGGCCGTTATCCGCATCCGCCCCTTCGGTTACACGTGCCAGGCTGAGCGTGCTTCCTCTCACTCCGAGATAGACGTTACGCAGGTTTTCGGTGTTTTCGCTCTTTTCAGACAAGAAGCTGGGTACGCGGTTAATCGCCTTGAAGCTGTCGCCACTCCTGCCGGCTTCGTCGATTGGAAGCTCGAGGGATGGCCGAAGATACTTTTGGTCCATGTCTTGGCGGCAAAAGAATCCCTCCTGCTCTACCTGCAGAACCATGTTGCGCTCTTTGACGAGCTGATCGACCTTTGCCTCGAGGAGGACAATCATGGCAACGGCCTCCTCGACAGCCTTGTCGCGTTTTTCAAGCTCGTCGAGTAGGGTTTCGTTCATCTCCTCGGTTTGGCGCTTGTCTCGCTCTAGAGACTCGATGCTGGTTTCCAGCAATGACTGCTTCTCTCGGCGGTGGTAGAGTTCCAGCTTGAGGTCGAAGTTTTGCTTGTGGAGGCTAGAGATGACCTATCCGAGAGTTAGCAGGAGAGAGGGGGGGGGGATGCTCTTCGAGAGTGCCTCATCTCAGAAGTAACGTACGTGTTCCATGTCTTTGACGCCCAGCCCAGGCTTCTTGGCGAGTTCGATGCCACCGCCGCTGCTGGACTTGGGGCGCGATCCATCGGATGATGCCGCCACGGATCTCCTCCTAGGAGAGCTGACACGGCCGAGCTCAACCGACGCGCCAAGGTCCTCGTTGACTCGCGTCATTGAGCTCTGGCTGAACTTGTCGCTCTCGGCCCTGCGTTCCCGCTGCAGCTTCTCCTGCAGAAATGTCGAGACCGCGCGAGTGCGGGGAGATTCGACGCTGCCCTCTCGCGACAACTGAGGCGTCTGATGCCTGGGAGTGGGAGTGGCTCGCGGTGACGAGATAGGCGGGCAAGGGCTGTGATGATATCGATGTGTCGGATGGTCGGTAGAGAGTTGAGGTGAGGGTGCGGATCGGGGAACCGGGCTCCTGACGCCTTGAGACGCCATTCGAGCGTGTGTGGCCGATCTATTCGAAGCCCGGGAAGAAGCGCGAGTGTATTGAGATTGAGATGGAGCCTTTTGAAAGGCCCGGGGATTGGAGTAGTCCATGGCGCAAAGCAGCGTACACCAGACTCCTGGCGGCCGGTGACAATGGAGAAGACGATATTAGGGATGTCAATAGATTGATATACGCCTATTGAGACGGTGAGGTGATATAATTTGATATCAGGCGCGGGAGTGGCACAAGGTTTGCGCTGATGCCCGCATCGAAAGTCAAGTTACTCTGCCGCAGGGTTTTAGTGCTGAGCCGATGCTGTCGACGCTACGAGGTGAATGAATGGCGGACGAGCTCGACTGCGAGACGCGTAGAGACTGGAACTAGGCACGCGAGGAAGCGTCGTGGTGAAGCATGTCGCTCCGGGCACAGTCCAAGGGGCGTCGATGTCGCGATGTCGCGAGTGCAAGGTCCAGGAAGGCGTCGGCGCACAGGGATCGAGTCCAGCTCCAGGCCAGAAGGGTTGACGTATGTGTGCACAAGCAGCGAGGCAGGCGCCGTTGTGCTGAAGGAGAACAAGGCAGAGAGAGAGAGAGAGAGAGAGAGAGAGACGTAAATAGAGGGCCGTGGGCGGCAGCAGGTTGAAATGGCAAGGCAAGGGGGGGTGTGGGAATCGTGGTCGTCCTGGAGACTCGCTTAAGGCTTGTTCGTATTATGCCCAGCAAGGCGCACAGGTAAGAAGAGAAAAAAAGGAATAATAATAAATAATGCGTCAAAATCAGCAGAGATCAACAGATGGTTGTGCGTGCCTGCAGCAATCGCAGCGCGAGGAGGAATGCAGTCGAAGGACGGGAATGAAGGCGGATGGAGGTAGCGTCTGGCTGAGGAATGGAGGAATGATGCGACGACAGGACGAGAGAGAGAGTGTGTGAGAGAGAAGTGACAGATAGGTAATAGGCAGATCGGTATTGATCGTATCGGAATTGATGCGTATGTATGCGGACAAATCAGGTCAACAGGGTCAAAGACAAAGACGAGGGCCAAATGCAATCAATTAATTCACTGCAATGGACATCCGAGGCCATGGCCGTCCATGGGGATCCGCTGGCGTGTGAAGGAGGGCAGAAGGAAATAAGGGATGGAGGTTTGGAGATTTGAAGATGGAGGAGCTTCAAGTACGGAGGGTCCCTCCAATTCACTAGCAGTGCGGCTACTCCGTAAATCGAGCTGGAGGTCAAGCCAGTGTGAGCTGTAGCGGCCAGTTGAGCGCTGGAGCGGCCAGTTAGGTGATGGAGTTCTGGTGGCTTGCAGCGTCTGACAGGGGGCAGCGCTAGTGCCTGTGCCTGGCGTGCGGCCCGTGCATTTGGGGGGGGATGTTAGCGTCTTGTGTGGCCCAGGAGGGCGATGGATGGAGTTGAGGTTGATGGGAGACTGTTTGAGCCTATGACGATCCATCAGGTGCGTAAGGCATCAATGATCTGATCCACGATGACATTGATCCAGCCATCGAAGATTATCCGGATCTATACAGGGCTATATTAGGTATTGTGGAAAAGAAAAAAAGAACACATCGACGATAGAGCGACATTAATTCCATGGCATTCTGCTGGTTCATGCTGCTTACTGCCTGCAGTGCAGTGCCATCAAACTGCATAACCCGGATGGACCCTCGCGCCACCTCTTTATCAGACACACATCAATTGATCTCGTCTCGTCACATTTCCAGCCCTCAACTCGCCCAGCCCCCCTTTCCACCGCCATTGACGAACGCAATCAAATAGAGAGGCTGCAGCTCATCTCTCAGCCCAGCTACATGTTAATCATCCATCGCAAGAATCCATTGCAGCTCTCCACCTCCACCCACCGCTCATCCATCCATCCATCCGTCCATCCATCCCATCCAAAACCACCAGCCAGATTCATGCGCTACACCCCCCCCCCTTGAAATCTCCAAATGCTCCAAACACCGCCCGGCGCCCGTCAGAAAAAGGAAACACGCGCCAATGCAGTGGGGGGCCTCTTCTGCATGCATCCTGCAAGGCCGCCCTTTCGGGTCCAACGCGCTCTTTTCCTCTTCTTCTTCCTCGATTCTATCCCTTCCACTCTCTCTTCTTATTGGCCTCACCTAGCAAGAGGCTACGACGGGTATAATCCAACTTGTCCTCCTTTTCTCTCCCTCCAGACGCTATCGAAACCACGGCCTCGCCAATCACCATCCCTCGAATCCTCAATCCAATCCATCCGTCCCCTTTCATCCACATCACAGCACCGCACTGTAAATCACTGGACTTGCCGAGCCCGCGGGGTTCCGGTTCATATTCTTGCTCCTCCTCTCAACCCCCCTGGACCGCCGGCCCTGCGGTTCCGCATCTTCTCCATCCACGGCAAAGCGCAAACGCCCAACGCCAACGCCTGGATCGCGGCGCGACGACCGTGTCGCCTGCGGTGATTCGTCACTCGCCCTTCCGGGGGGGTCTTGCATCTCCATCTCCATCGCTGCATCGCTGGCTCTCTTGGTTTCTGTTCGCTCCCTCGCCTAGGCATGTCGCGATGATGTGATGTCGCTTGCTTGTCAACCCATGCTGTTCCCGGTTCATGTATGTACTGTACGATATGTAACTTGGGTACTGCACTGTACAAGTCGGGCACTGCTACATATCTACCGACTGCATCTTCAAACAAACGGTGAAGCGAGTTCGAGATCAAACGGCATCTCAACTGTGCTATAGTGGCGCCAATTCCCACATACAGCATGTAGCATCAGCAGTAGCCGCCTCGACAACTCATCAACACTATGACTATCCCGTACCGCCTTGCACATCTCTTCACAGCAAACCTTGCAAGCTCGGCATTGACGATTTTCTCTAAACTGGAGACAAGGCCACACACGAACCGTAAGCAAGCAAGCAAAGCAAGTCACACCGATCATTCCCCTCCCAGCACCCCCCTGTTCTTGCGTCCCGTTGCGAGAAGAAGAAGAAGAAAACATGACGAGACGAGAAAAATAGTCCTGGATGGACCCAGACTCTCGAATCGCTGATATCACACGACTATACCTTACTCTACACAGCAGAAAACCTCAACGGAAACAATCGACAACCCCAAGCAAAGCATGATCACAACATTCGTTCATAATATCACCACCATGAGCCCAACCCATCAGCAATGCCACACTCCAATCCTCGTCACCGCCTCCCCGAACCGGTGAAGCATCCTTGTCGCTAAAAGCGGTAAACGCACAAATATAGCAGCCCAGCAGCAGTTTTTCCAAACAGAACAGCTGTCCATTCCCTCATACATACATACATACATACATACATACATACACGGAAAACGCACGGATGATGCATCATTCCAACCAACGCATCAGAAAAGAAAGAACCCACAGTTGGGCACCCCTAGTCCAGCTGAAGCGAAAAAGAAAAGAAGAATAGAAAAAAAGCAAAGAATTGTGCACATGATTTTCTGACAATCTGCAGCAGCGTGCCTTGTGACTTAGTACTAACATGATTCCCGTGTGCCCGGATTTTGGCTTCACAGTAAATTGTACAACACGCGCCAACACACAACGACACGTGGAGGCGGACCCAATTTGATGTCCGGCCGAGAAACGGTAAACGTCTAATTTTGACGGCAGAGCTTCTTTTTTTGGCTTTCTTTGCTTTTTTTGCTTTTTGCGCCTCGTTTCTCCCTTTTGGTTAGGGAGACACCCTCTCTTCCCGTTCCCTTGCAGACGCCAAAGTCATGGCGAAAAACGAGTGGCGTCGTAGTATTCCATAAATCCTAGAGCCAATCACACTCTCTACGTTAGAAATGGCTTCGTATTAGTAAAAAGCGGTCATTTTCTCAAAGACAGAGGCAAACATCTTCAGCATATACAGTAAAGACAAGGACTGTGCTCATATTGATGAATGGCTATATACCTATGCTTGTCATGATGCAATGCCGCGCTCAGCATGAAAAACAGCCGCGCAAGGAATCAACGATGATGCTACAATTAGAAATTCCCCAACTCCAGACGGACAACAACCACGAAAAGCGCCATGAAGACTATGGCTGCCCCCTGTCGCGTTTGTCTACTCCTCTCAGAAGCCGCCTATAGCTCCTCTTTGAAGAACTGCTCCTCGCTCCCTTCGTCGCCCTTCTTCCCGCCGCTCTTCTTCTTCTTCTTGTCCGCCGCCTTGGTGGTATCGGTCTTGCCGTTGCCCTTTTCTTTGGCTCCCTTGGCCGCCTCCGCCAAGCCTCCGTCGTCGCCCTCTTCATCTTCATGCATCCACCCTCGGAGGTGTCTCTGGGCGTCGTCGACGTCGCCCACAATCTCCAGCTGCCACCCCTTGTCGCCCGCTCGTTCCATCATCTCCTGCTCCCATTGATCGACCATGTCGGGACTGAGATTCAGCTTCTCGAGCTTCTCCTTGCTGAGCCGGTCGACTTGGCCGCCATCCTGCTTGCTGGCAGCCTTGATGAGCACCTCGATAAGCTGCTCTGCGGCTTGCTGGGTGTTGAGGTAGTTTCGAGGGGGCGACAGTACCATAGGAGGCTGGCCATCCTGATCGCCAGCGGAGAGGGACTTGCGTCCGCCGACGAGCACGCCGCCAACTTTGAGTCGGCCGCCATCAGTCGCCGACAATTCCTCTTCTTGTTCAACCAATTCATCTTCCCGCAAATACTCGGATGCGCGCTGATCGAGCAGCGGAGGGGCCTGTTTCTCATCGTCGGTAATAAGCTGGCACGTAATGGCATCTGCTTTGCTCTCCTCGGGAGGCAAAAAGGCAACATCGCCGCACAGTCTCGGCGTGTTGACCACCATGACGTAGGCGCATATTGTGACCTCCTTGATCCACCCAATCTTGTCGTTTTGCATCCCTGGAACACAGTGGTACTGCACCTCAATTGTGCGCGGCCTCCCTGTCAGGTCGCATATCGTTCCTCCTTCGAGTTTCTGTACCAGATATCGTTGATCGCCTTTGACTTGTAGCTCGGCCGGCGACTTGGTTCCACCGGAGCTGGGTTCCGCGTCCAAGTCGGAGCCGTCGGGGAGGGAAGCTTGGCCCAAGACGTACTGAGCCGCATGGGGGTCGCGCTGGGGAGGTTTCCCCATGGGAGTCGAAGGGAGGGCGTGGAACTGCACAATCTCGCGATTGTTGCAGAACCTGTAGCTCCACCATCCGGACATGAAGTAGAGGCACGTGTCTTCGAGCTGGCTGAGAAGGTTCCAGCCACTGATCGCCGCTCGATCAAGCTCCCGCTCCTCCTCTGCCTTGGCCAGCTCGGTCGCGGTTTGGTTTTCGGGGGTCGGGGGTTCGATGATCGGAATGGCGCAGAGGTAGCGGTGCGGCGGCATGTTCATGACCTCGTATGTGAGAGGCAAGCCGCCGCGGTAGCGCCCATCTTGATGGCCCTGGTTGCCGCTGGCATCGCTGATTGTGGGCTGCGAGAACTCGGCCGAGTACGTCGGATGCTCAATGTTGTATTCGAGCAGCGATTGCGCATCCTGCTCCGAGATGAAGTGGTCGGAGAAGACGACCTCGAACTGCTTCCCAATCAGCGCTCACGCCGGTTCAAAGTACATGTTATGGCGGCGCACCTGCGGATAGGCCAGTAGGTCTTCGTGGATGCTAAAGGCCCGAGATTTGGCCCTGCAGAGCGGCAAGGCTGCCAAAAGCGATAGCTGGAGACGGCGCATCATGCCATAGCCTGATCACGGATCGGGCACAGCATCAAGTTGCAATGTTTTGGATTTCTGCCACTGCCGCGGTCCAGCTTGGAATTGTCATCAAAGTTGAGGTCACTGTGTCATTGTCGCGGTTCTGCCGAGCTTTTGCCGGCTATCGTGGCCAAATCATGTCATCCCACCAGCTTATCGCCAGCCCGGATTCACGGAGCATCACATCATCACAGCACGGCGACGAGATTGATTGTTTCGCCTTCCTCTCCGTCTCCGCCTCCCGCTCCTGATTACGAATGGCACGGTTTCGCCTCGACAGATAAAGAATGCGAGAATTGGTAAAAACAATGCCTCATTGATATTTGTCGTTTCATCCTGTCACTCTACGGCCAATCACCCATATGGTCATGTGCTTTGGCATGCGTTAGCTCCTCTACGTGGACGTTTGAAGCAAGCAACTTTCAGCTCTGCGTCAAGCCGTCGACATCCGCTCGCCTCCCATTCCGCTGTGCAATTCCGCGCCGTTGCAAAGCCATCTGTCAAATCGAACCGAGGCTTGCGGCTGATAAGAAGATCCATTTGAGTGCTTGCTGTCCATCCCCCCTCGGCCAACAGCAAACCTAGGACGTCGGCGAGATGCGCTCAGCCAAACGACGCCGATTATCCACTCCATTGATGACATCCGGGCTTCCCCAGATTGCCAGTGCCTCCCCCAGAAGTGGCTGTACAGGGACCTGTTGGTATGGGCTGGGCTAAACCGTTCTGGCCAAGGGTCATTTGACTTGCTGGCAGCCAACATTTGGGCTGCACCCCTGCATCAGCATCATCGTTTGAGCTGGATGTCGACTTTCCAGCACATCCGCCACAGAATGACGAGAGGCGGGTCCATTTAGCAATGGGAGCCAAAAACAAAGCACATGGAGCGGGCTTGCGGAGCGATGCTGCGACATACGTGCATGTCTCAAGACAGCATTGCTTTTTGGCCTTTTTGCTTTTGCCACAGTCCACGTGGTTGCGTCGAGAACTTGTCCAGCCAATGCAAGCAATTGTGCTGGAATATTACGCATCGAACTGACGGGCAGACGGCAATCTGAGTCACAGCCTAATTTCAACTCTAACAGAAACAGAACCCCAGCTTGTCATCCACGGAGAAAGCAGAATTGGCCACCCCCTAGGCTGTAGCTTTTCTGTCGATTTTCACATGACAGACTGACAGCAACCTCTACATGTAAAGTGCTACATGCACTGTGCTGTAGCAAGCCGAGAACATCAATCCATTGAAGCTAGGCAAAGCAGAGCAGCTGCTAGTCGGCAATTCCCAAATCCAAAATCTCATCATGATCCTCCTCCTCCTCCTCCTCCCATCTTTCGCCTCTTGTCGCCTATCACGTACCACAACACCACGGCGACCTCGGAGACGACTCCCGCCGGGGCTGAAGTTGGTGGGGGAACATGAAGGGGATGGGATTGACTTGGGGGGGCCATGAGAAACGCCAAGCTGGCGCATGCAACATGGACATGAAGCCACGGCGATTAGCAGCGATCAAGCCACTGGCCCGTTGACGCAACCGCCTGTACCTAAACATGTCTGAGAACGCCTAGCGCTGGCGAACTCGTTTGTAATCTCTGGCACTAGAGGGCATCACAGGGCTCTCCGGTCGCGCTCGGGCCCGTTTTCGAAGGCTTCTAGACGTGTTCCACGGGCCCTTGGTGACACGGGACCAACGCAATCTCCAAGTTCCAAGGCGCTGTCAGCCCCGCGCTGCTGGCGATCGCCCCCCCGGCCCCGGCCCCTACAGGAAGCTACAGGAAGACAAGACACTATTTGGCACAGATGCCGTCAATTCTTTCAGCTCGTGACGATGCGGTTCCCAGGAAGGCTGATGCGTTGATGCAGGCGAGAGGCGGGAGAAGGATTCGGCCGTTGCCAATGGATCTCTTATCGCTCCCGCGGTTGGAAATACGTGTACGTAAAGCGTATTGATGCCGCCGTAAACAGAACCGGACATGTAGTCTATACGATACACGCGTGTAGTCCGTGATACCCCCAGGCAGGTTGGCATTTGCTGGCAGCCAGATGAGACGGGATCGGCAGAATTGACCTGCTCCCCTAAATCCTGACAAGGCAGAATCGGCCTGCCGGTGAGCGACTTTGGCCATAGGGAGGCATTAATCTACTCACGGGTAATTGCAACAACGGGCAGTTCGTTCCGGAGAAGCTTGAGGGAATAATGTTCCAGAAGGCAAGGATTACTGGGATTGCGCATTGCGCATCTTTGTGAGCATGGGGCCCTTCTTGATTGATGCGGCTCTATCGAGTGTAGAGCAGTCAGTCAGTACCTACTCGAACGGAGTACGATCAATACGATACGGAGTACGGAGTCATCCGTTGATAGTACCTACTCGGATAGGTGGGTAAGCCAATTCCTTCCATTGAGCTTTACGCAACACCGTCTGTTTGATACGACATGATATGAGACTCGGGGGCGGCTTTATTACCGGTTCGTTCGAAGGCGGCAATCGATATATCGCACTGCCGATACTCGTGCTTCTAACGTTGCGCGGTTTACCGGGATTCCCAATTTCAGGGCTAGGACTCGCCCAGGACCTGGGAAGCCCTCCTGTCCTAGAGCCTGATAGCTGGCTACAGGTACTCCAGATATGTACGTGATACGGAATAGCACGCAACACTGCAATGCCTCTGTTCGGAGTAGCGTGTCTCACAGGGCTTCATTGCCGTACAGTACAGTTTAGACTGCGCTGTAAATCCAAAGGGCTAGTTCGGATGCTTCGCACGCATCGACCGCTTCGCTGAAGCGCTTTCACATCAATGGAGTGCCGTACACGGAGCACGCATGGATGGGATGGGATGGGATGTCTCTTCTGGCTGGGTGGCTGATTAGAGAGCGTTGGGCTTAGCGCCCGACTTTGTGAATGGTTGCGTGAGCAGCTGAATATCCGGGCAGAGCAGGGCAGGGCAAAAAGGTCAAGTCTTGTTCCCATCTCGTCCCGCCCCTCTCCCAGACCTGCAAGGGAGCAAAAAGAAACATGGAAGCCAGAAATCGGGCCACGTCCCTGGAAGCCGGCATTTCTCTTGGCGCGGCGCCCAAGGTTGAATCGAAAGTTCAAGTATAGTAGGTACATGTACACCTCATGTAAGGTATGGGGTTACGGGAGCAGTGAGTGGGTGGTGGTACCCTGTGGAAAGAAGCAAGGAACAGTTACACCACCAAACTCTGAACCTTGCACTTGCATGGCCAACGCTTGCATCGATCCCTCACATCGTCATGGTCGGTCGAATCAAGACTTTTTTGGGCGCGATTGGCGAACTGGGGAGGGGGGAGGGGGGGCCTCGGACTTGATCCAGGTACAGGCGCCCTGCGAACTTTGGCCCTCTCACGTCGCGCCAGCAAAACCACCCTCAGGGAGCCCGCCTCTCTCTCTGCATCAAGTACAGTGTATGGACAGTACAGTACAGCATCGTGGTGCGCGGGTGCGCGTTGGCGCATGTACAGCACAAGCACACACAAGCCGGTGGAGGGCTTTGTATGGACATTGTATGTTGAATCTCGTCCAAGTGGTTCCCCCCCCTTACCTTGCTGGCTGCCGATCCAGGAACGAGAGCAACACCAGGCCGATTCCCCGTTTCACACTCGCGGGCTGCCCAAGGCCAGTCACGATGCTGCAATGCAATTGATGGCGATACAGACCACCAGACACATGTGCCGGATAACTCACCGCCAGATGGCTCAAGAGACCGCGTGTGCCGACGCAAGGTACCAAGTATGTGTGTCAGGCTCATGATGTTGACGGACACACGTATGTACATACGGAGTGGCAACAGCAGCAGCACCACCGTTCCGTGAGCTAGACGGGGCCCAGTTCAGTTTGTACCCAAGGCAGGTTTTCTGTGTGCGTGTGTATGTGTAAGTCGACGGTGTGTATATGCCTTTTGTGCGTACGATCCATCTCATGCCCAGCCAAGGTTAGTCCATGCGAGCGTTATGTGTGTGTGTGCCATTCCATAATCGTACTTACACACACTCACCCACACACACACACTTGCACACGCGCTCAGGGTCTCTCTCTGTGTGCGTCTGCTTCTTCTTGATTTGGGGGCTTCCCCCCCCCCCCCCCCCCTTGACTTGACTTGGCCTGGGATATCGGGCAGCCTGGCCGGCGCCATCCCCGGCTCAGAGCAGCAAGTCTCGTCCCAACGTTTCCCTGACGGGGTCGTCGGATCTGATTTGCTGCTGGAGCTGGACCCAACGCTAACCAAGCCCGCCCGCCTCACTTTTCGCTCGCGCAGAGGCCAGTTGGCGCGCCGGGGGTCGGGCTAGGGATTTCGAGGATTCAAATCTGGCTTGCTGCTGGTTACTGTAATACTGCTGCTGCCTTGCTTCCTCACAAAAACCGGCGACAGTGACAGTGACAGACCAGCACCCCGGGAGACCCCCTGTCAACCTGCCACGACGGCCGGGCTGTGCTGCGCGTTGCTTGTCTCGTCGATTCGGTAAAGACGACTCGACTGGATTTACTGACCGACAGCTGCTTAAGCGTATGTCGTTTTTGGAAGCGAGCGAGAGTTGACGAAAAAAAAAAAGGCTCAGGATTCTTTCTTTGCTGGCAATGGCATTGCGCAGCCCCCTCGACGGCTGCCTTTTGCCCGGTTCAACGTTGTTCACAGTATGAGTCAACCACCAGACGTTTTCCCTCACAAACCTCCAACACCACACCGAAGGCCTAAAATGGTTCGTGGATGCGCCGTCCGCTTGTCTCTCGCGGCGCAGAAGTGACGGGGTTGCAAAGTTACAGGCACTACCGCACTCCCCCCTCACACGGAGCAGCGTGGTAGGTAGGTGAAGTAATGCACCGTACAATGCATATCGACCATTTGTGATTCCTTCACAACCCCGTATCGGCAGCAATCGACAGCCGATACCCTTGGAGGAGGGGCGGTCGCACAGGGCTCCGTGCCTCCGTCGACGCCAAGCCGCGTTCTTTTAATCTTCTGCCTGGGCATCGCAAGCCACCAAAGGAGAGAGGGTGCTAGCGCGGCTGCCTTTTTTTTTTTCCTTTGCGGTTACGATGACAGCATTGACGTGGAGGGGAGAGGAGGGAGGTTAGAGAGGGAGCGATGATCGGAGCATCATGGGTACGAGGTTTCAGCACCTCGGCTGGGCGTGGTGTAAGTTTAATGTTGGGTCGGTTCTGTTAGATAGTAGAGCAGCGAGCGAGCATCGGGTGCGAAGCCGCATAGCCGCATCGCCGTCAGTCTGGCAGCTTCACCGAGCTAGTAACACGGTAACATCATGGATGGCTTACAGAGCGTTTTACATACAAGTAGCATCCACGATTTAGAGTATGCAGAGGTGGGTGTGCTGGTCCTCCGCGTTTCTTCAAACCCCATGCCGTGTAAACGAGTCAGCGAGCAACGATGGCCATCTTTCTTTCTCAACTCCTGGTCAAACACCATCAACAAGACCTCCCCCCTGCTAGCACCGATCCAAGAGTTGCACTCGAGTTTAGCTTAGCCAGTATACCTGTACAGTCGAGCATCAAATATGCAGGGCACCTTTCCGCGGCATGAGCACAGCGTCCCTGTCCTGCGTTTCGAGGGGGGGCAAACTTGGGCTTTTTTTCTTCTTCTCTCTTTTCTTCAAGTGTTGTGGAGTTGCTGGTGACACAAAGTCGCAAACAAATTGGCTGTTTTGATCTCAGCCATCAGGATTCGCCTTGGCTGCTGAAGAAGTGGACTGCCCAAGAGATGGACGTTCCATGATGCATAGGTACGATCCTCCTCCATACCATACTGGACTCTTTGTAATACCGTAGGTACCTGACAGGCGCACACGGTGAGCCGGGGTGAGCGAATCCATCCATTGACGAGTACGATACAGCATTGATCCATAGACCCGAAATTTTAAATATGGTTACCTATGGGGTCGGGGTCAGGCATTCGAACGTTTGCAGAGCCCGTGCTGTAACTTTCGCATGGGGCCATACCGGGATCCATGGCTGATTGAGAGTTGAAGCTTTTGACTAGCTCAAATGGACAGGCCGAGGGTCTTGTCTGGCTCTGTCTGCGAAAAGAAAGAAAAAAGGGGGGACCTGAGGCTGACGATCCCATTGTATTAGCATACTTCAAATATATCCTTCATAGAAGGTATGGCATGGCACCAGGACGGTTCAGGTGCTAGTGCCGGGTCCAAGGCGATCAGCGGCCAGGAGAGCGCCTTGGGCTTCCAGTTGCGAGACGTCATTTCTCCCAGCGGGCCACATGCGCTGTTCTGGCGCACACACACAGCGCAGCACAGGGGGCTCATGGAGCGCTGGCGACACTGCACGTATGGGCACAGTACGAGCACGGCAACGACTGATGAGGGTGGTCAAGTATTACCTAGTACCTACTAATACCTCCACCGAACCCTGAGCTGCGTGCTCCGTACTCGTACCTCATGTCGTCTTCCAAGGTACATTAGTACTTTGCATTGTCCCCATCCCATCGCCCCCCCCCTGTCGACGCATCTCTTGTCTTGGGTCTTGTGGCTGAAGGTTATCCATTTAATGATTTCCAAGGTTCTGATGCAAAGGTTCTCCTCCCACACTCGATTTGTCGATGCCAAATACCAACTCAAGGTTCCACCAGGTACTGTACTGGCGCCCGTACCCGCTACTAAGTACTTGCGGCCAAGATAATGTACACCACACGCTCTAGCGCCGTCCGTCTATCTTTGTCTCTCCCCGGGCTGGGCCTCTTGTTTGTATGTGTACCTGCTATAGGTACACACTCGTATGGGTGCGTTGCCAACTGGCCGCGGCTTACCTGTAGTAGGTACTTCCAACCTGTGCTGTGCTCGATACGATGAGTTGGGTGTCTTGTGCTGCTGTACGGCTCGAGCGGACGTGCAGTTCTGGCCTGGTACTTAAACACGCAGCCGCATCGCATCGCCTTTTCCCTCCAACCACCACATCGCAGATTGCCTTAAAACACGACGCACATAAGAGCGTCCAGGAGCCCACCCAACTCACTCACTTTGTCCTGGCTGCTCTTTTTCTTTCCTTCTCTTCTTTTTCTTCCCCTTTATACGGGTATCTTCAAAGATATTCTACTACTTCTTTATTTTTTACTTGACACCATCTTTTGATTTTTCTTCCATTTCTTCATTACTTGCTGCTATTACTTACTACCTACCTAGTAGTACTGTCTGTCTGTCTGTCTGTCTGTCTGTCTGTCTTTTGTCGTGCTGTCTCATTGGCAGCACTCCGTTAGGAGTGCTGCTCAGCGCTGCTCTCTGACGATGGGTTACCGTTACCCCTCTGTATCAACCGGACGGCGCATCAGCCACGAGATGCCCTTCGATCCTCTTGCTCAAATGCAGCAGAATTCGCCAGACATTGGCGTGACCCCCCAGGTCTACATGTACTATGCCAACATGGCACCAAGCTCATACTACCTACCGTTTGACGAGGCCAACCTACGGGCTTTGAGCAGACCATCAGCTACGCCCTCCATGATCACGACATCCACGGGCCCTGAGCAGGCTCTCCCCATGACGAGGGAGAACAGCTTTGTTCAGACCAGCCCCCGCGTTGACATCACGAGGATGCCCTCGTCTGCCTCCTACGCCGACTCTCTCTCCGGCCACGCCATGGCGGAGTTCCAGCAGTCAAACTTCTCCGATCCATTCAACCTGTCCGAAGATCTCCTGGCAGTGGGCTGTGGCTTTACCAATCCCACCACAATGCAATACTCGCCCCTGGAATATCAAACGTCCATGTCCCCTACCTTTACTGCCGCTTCCATGTATCCGTCCCCTCCTGGTGCCGCTTTCATGCATCGAGGAGACTCAATCTCCAGCGTCAGGTCGACTTCTTCTTTGGCAAACCGGGCCAGGGAGGCTCAAAAGCGGATTCTGCAGGCACAATCAACCTCCATTGCGCCCATGCCCCAGCCGCTGCCCCCATCGCCGCCTAGAGCGACGCATGGGAAGCGCACTACCCAGCAAGGCACCAAGGCTAAACAAAAGCCAAAGCACCCAAAGCTTCTCTGCGAGTTTTGCAACGAACACCCCGATGGGTTCCGGGGCGATCATGAGTTGAGGCGCCACACCATTGCCAAGCATTGCCCAATCGTCAAGAGGTTCGTCTGCCGTGACCCAAGAGAGACCGGCATCCCCACCGTGCTCACGCCCCTCTACCCCCTTGCGCAATGCAAGACCTGCGCCTCGAAAAAACAGTACAACGTCTATTACAACGCGGCAGCCCATCTTCGGCGCGCTCACTTCACAGAGAAGCCAAGACGAAGAAAGGCCGACATGAGCACAGGCGAGGAGGGAGCCGAGGAGGGAGCCGAGAAGAGAGCCGAGAAGAAAACCGAGAAGAGAGGCAACAAGGGAGGTGGCAAGTGGCCTCCCATGTCTGACCTCAAGGTTTGGTTCCTCGACACCGAAGTCGAGGTTGAAGGATCTGCCTCGATGGTTACGGGCGATAACCCTCCAGATGAAGGGTCTCTTTCCCCGGCAACAGCCTCTACTACGCACATGAGCACCAGTCCCGATTCGTTCGGACAAGGTGACTTTGCCATGCCAGTGAGCTACGTGGACCAGCCGGCTCAGGAGGACTCGCAGTTCTCTTTCCTGTCTGCTGTCGACGACAATGACATGGACATTGACCTGCTCGGTACATCGCAAGATTTCACGACATCCATGTTTCAAAACATGGATGACGTGGACTTCGATTTCGCATGTCTTGACGATATCCCCAATGCTGGTTTGGATTATCCGCGGCTCTGATGCGGATAAACGGATGTGTCCATCTGGCTGTGCCATGAGAAACATTTCACAGTCGTGATATGATCGACTTGCTCTGGGCCGAGATTAAAAAAATGAAAAAAGAACCAAAAACAAGAACACCCAAATCTTTTCAAAGACCAAAAAAAAAAGATCCTAACATTATGAAATCATGATGAAAAAATTATACCATACAACAAGAGAGGGAATACATACAGGACTTGGCGTTATTGCTCTTTCAACTCACACTTGCCGACACTCATTTTGCCTTTTCTTTTCTTTCTTTCTTTCTTTTTTTTTTTTTGATTTCTCAGTTTGGCTATTTGATTGAGATTTTTTGTATTTGTTTGGGGGGCGCACTTTTGCTCTAGGTTTGTTCACTGATTTTTCATACGAACGTCGTCGGGATACGTTTTGACGAAAGGTTGGATCAAAGTGATCCAGCTACACAGAATCACCGAGCGCTCACGGTGGCAATCTTTCACGTTTTTCTTTCAACTCCTTCTTGGAGATGTGGCATACTTGTATGCTGCAGCATTGGGAGGCGCGAGGCAATGTACGAATTCCGAATTCCGAAGGACTGGAGACTGCAGAGATGGCGTTTACGTTTTGACAAACGATGTACCAAGCAGGGTGGTTTTAGTTTGGAGTTTTGAGCTATGTCGGGCTTTTGGTGTATGGATATGAGGAACAGAGTGTATGGATCAGGCTTTTTTTTTTTTGTCAACGTTGGGATCATTGTTCAGATGGGTATTTGGTGTTTTTGGGAAACAAGGTGCATCTGGGATAGACCTAGACTGATTTTTTTTTTCTCTGGAGGTGCACTTGTCGGATTATTTTCGTGGGACACAGGAACAGGACACGGACGACTATGCTTGGGGGATCGAAGCCCGGTTATGCTTATCAATTCTACCTATAAAGAATTGTTTTTTTTTTTTTTTTTTTTACTGAGATTACAATACACTTTCGCTTTTTTTATAACGGCGGTCGCACAGATGCTTTTCTTTGTGATTTTTTTTCTTTTTGAATGTTACGGCGGTGAATAGATTATGCATGCATGTATGTAATGTACATGCAAGTACTGCAGCAAAAATTCTAGCAGCGGAGATTTCATATGAGGCGAGATGGAGGTACAGGTACGTTCCGAAACGGGAAATATCTAGTGGGCGGGGACCAGCGGGAAGAACAGGGATGGCCCCGGTTTTGGAATTGTTGGTGGGAAAAATAAAAGAAAAAAAAGGAAAGGAAAATAAGAAGGCGTAATAAAGGTGTAAAAGGGATGGAGATTGGGGGATGGAAAAGTTGTAGTGGGAGGGTATGATTGGGTGGCGTTTTTTAGGGGGTGTGTGGGAGGGTGTGAGTTGGCATCTAGTTTTTGTTTTTTTTGGATGATGGATGGGGTTTTTTTTTTTTTTTTTTTTTTTTTTGCTGAGGCTGAGCTGGAACAACACCGATGGAGAGACAGACGGACAGCTGTGGATATGGATATTTGATGTGTACAGTGTGAGGTGTTGATGTGCCCGTGGTGTGTGGTATTGTGTACTAAGTATAGTACCCAACGGCTTTGAGGTACAAACGGGTGTGTTGGAGCCTCCTTTTTTTTCTCGCTCTTTCTTTACCGCCTCTTTGAATGGCAAGTATCGAATACATGTGTCTTGTATCGAACTTTTGCATTCAAGTTGGCGGTTACATTTCATTCTTACAAGGTGCCAGCTTAAGCTTTCCCTGATGGCGGTGGAGCGACACCGACTATTCTTGGTGCTACCCTGGAAAAGTCACCGAAAACCCCGGGTTCGAACACTATCCGATAGTAATGGATGCCTTTTTTTTTCTTTTCCATTTTTTTTTTTTTTTTTTTTTTTTTTTTTTTTTTTAACATCTGGGTAGCTTGAATTTAGAATTTTACTATTATTGGCTCACCGCATCTAAGCAGGATTGTGGTTACCGTCTTTTTGACTGTATACATGTACTTTGGCGTGAGATTCTGGTATCCGAGATGAGTGTTTTGTAGGTGCAAACGGCCGAGTGAGAGGATAATAGAACTGCGCGTATTCGGGATTGAGCGGGTATCAGGTAAAACTTTCTCATCATGAGTTTATTCTCTTGGAAACGATAAATATATTGCTCATACAGAAAGAAGTTGGCGCTAGAAATCCCGTGTAGATTGTTTCTTAAGCACCTCTCGCATTGCAATACCGGGAGTTATGCCTCCGAGATTCCCCAAACCAAGCCATGTGTCCTCGGCTGCAGTATTCGTATTCTAAATCATCAAATGCATCAAATGACCATCTCTTCTATACCCGGGGTATCGTTGTAACCAGCGCTCAGTCGCCCATCCAGCATCATGACTTCTTCACAGTCACCCACCCAGCATCATGACTTCTTCACATTGTCCGTCCACTCCTTGGCCCCCTTGACGCCCTCATGCCCTCTCCTGAACAGCCGTCTCTCCCACTCATCCAGCCCCCGTAGGAATTCCTCACCCTGTCCTCCCAATCCCGACTCCTCGGCCTTTCTCGCATGCAGTCCCACGTCCGCCGCCCTCACAACAAACGTTGTCCTTAGAATGGCGCTCAGTTCCCTCTCGTCAAACAGATCCAACATCCGTACAGCCACTCCGTAAAAATATGCGCTCTGGTCTCGTAGCGGCACGGCTCGCGGATCGGCTTTCAGCGCGGCGAGCACTTGTTCGGATAGGCATGGTGGCAGGGTCAGCGTCAGCGGCGGCTTGGAATCCTCTCCGGCAGAGGCGAGGGCGAACATTTCGGCGAGCCATAGGGGAAGGTTGAGGCGCGTGCCGGGCTTGAGGCCGTTGGAGTTGTCGAGGTGGCCGAGGTAAGGCACGTCGAGCTCGAACCGACAGGGGACTTTCTGCGGGCTGAGTTAGTCTCCGTTCCTGTGATGACGTAGCTTTTCGAATACGGAAACGAGGGGGCCGCATACTTCGCCGTCGGTGAGAATGGCGTCAACGTCGTAGTAGGACATGGCGAGTCTGCATCGCGGGCGCGTTTGTCGCAGCCCGTGGTTTGAGGTTGGGCTTTTCGAGAGCTTTGGTGGGGTTGAAATATAGGTAGGTGCTGTGGTAGAGTTTCGGCGGATGGACGCGTTAAGTGGTAGATTGGCGCTGACTAAGGAAGCATGAAGGCGATTCTTTGATGTGGATGCAAGCCATGAACATTGAGCATCCACAATGCAATCACGTTACTAGAAATGTATAAGAAAAACCCCCCCAAAAAAAACAAAAAAAAACAAAAAAAACCGAGAGGTGGGATTATCTCGGTCTGATTATTGATTTGTAGATTTTTTCGATCGACACCAAACTATGTATAGGCAGACCGAGCTCGCCACAATGACCGATTGGAGGAGCTCCATCGCAAAGTCCATATCCAGTTTGGTCGGCATCGTCAAGGTTATCAACATTTCAGTTATAGCATTTTGACACTCACAAAACGATGCTAAATGCAATACAGGTCTAGTTTATGCCTTGAAAAAAGCGTAGGTATGGACTAAATCCTCCCCAGATTCGAAATGCTATGCCGTATATGTATGTACGCAAACTTCTCCGCTACCCCCCTTTCTAAAAGCATCATCAACAAATTCAGTATATACACACCTTGCATGCACACTCTATCCATGCCTCTTAGATATGGTAGTTGATAGTTCTACTGTTCAAAACTCACCAACTTCAAGAGCGTTCAGCCACCACTGTAACTCCCACTGGTCTAGATATGCTTTGTCGAAATGAACATTGCCATCCCATATACTTTTGTCATTATCCCCCCAACAATGGCCCTTTGCACTCCAACATTGCACTCCAATAGTCAACCCGGAATTCGCGCTCAAGTAGTTCACCTGCCCACCCCCAAGCGATAAACCTCAACATGGCAATGCCGGAGCCAAACCCTCCAAGTTCTGATGAGGTGGAATTCTACTACTATGGGATTCCCAACTGTCCGAGGCTTATTGCGCGCTCAAGTCCGCATGTCTGGGTCCGTCCACAGGATCCTAATGCCTGGATAAATCCGAGGTATACGGGGCTGACCTTGTCAATGTATCTGAAAACACTTCACCCCGTCGGAAGACACCCGCTGTTGCATCAGCTATGGAACGATGCCACATCCTCTCTCAGAATACACATCTTGGAAGCTATCAATGGGATTGATTGGACTTCTGTCGATTTTCTGCGTGTCGGCCTCAATATGGAATATCAGATCACACCATGGAAGCTGTCAGGCCGGGCACGCTCGCTTGGAGCCACGGGCATACCCTCGCTTTACGATGCAAATCCATTTTGGAAGAACACGGTATTCATGACATGCCTTGCTAAAGATGTATATTTATACACTTCTCCATGGTAAATTGATGCTGCTTAAATGAGTAAGGGTATGTGTGTAGAGTAGCCTTCACGCAGTCGTTCTGTTAGTTCCTGTGAAGTGGAAGCCGTCTCGCCCATACCTCAGCAGATTCAATTTCCGTCGTGATAATGCCGTTAGGATCATGATTTCTGCCCAAGGTTGAGCCAAAATAGAGAAGAAGACTTGAAGAAACTTACAAACTGTCAATGATGTCAACGATTTTGGCCATTTCGCACTTGATGGCTTTCCGTTCCTTGATCAGACTGTGCACATCGAGGGTTATGTGATTGTCACATTTGCTCTCTCGGAAAGCAAGCGGATTCCCCATGGCAGCCTGTAGCAAGGCCAAATGCCTCTTGTAGAGCATGTACGAGTCGAGGAGATTGTGAGTGTACTGTTCGATGTGAGAGAAGGTGGGCGCGCAGATCTTGGACTCGGACGCCCAGTTCACGAAGCTGTGATTCTGGGTGTAGGGCGACAATACGGCCCACGTTCTCTGTGGACATGCTGCCACTCGCGCTGGGAATCCGGATGATGCCCGGATTAGCGAATCCAGCGACCACTGCTCCTCGTCGGGCTTGATCTGACCTCCGCCTGACCAGTTGACTGTGATAGTTGTCTCAGTCTCTCGCAATACTGCCTCGAGTGCGGATGACGCGAGCCCATCGCTTAGTGTGAACTCGCTGGTCGAACCGCCCATGACGCCTTTCAGCCTGTTGCTCAGCGGACACGTGTAAGTGATTCGTCAAAGCGGACAGATAAAACGATTTGTTTACTTACGCTGCTTTAATACTGGCCTTTTTTGTTGCGTCTAGGACCTTGATCGAGACAATCCCGTGCAAATCGCCCCCCTCGATGAATCCTTCAAGTCTGTCAATGCATACACAATACATTTGGGACAACATGAGAGTTACCGGATATATAGCAGTCACCAAATGTCTGGAAAAACGTCTCGTTGGTCATATTCATCTTTCTATGAAGTTCCCAGCTGTGAGATTATTAGAAGATAAAATTGAAGCGTGACTATTAAGAAGTCGCCATGAGAATCGAATGAGAGGCGATGTTAAAGACTTACAATTTTGGGTTCTTGATTGTCGTAGTAGTCTCTATCAAGTTTTTTGAATGGCAAGGTCTAAGCGGAATGGAACTTTATCAGGAAGTGGAAACTTACTATTGATCACTTTGACTGAGATGATCACGTTCAAGTCGCAATCGGCGAACTTGGCCTCGTCTACGCTGAGCGAGTTGCCTGATATCCCGATGGTGCCCGATTTGATGCATGATGCTGCGCTGATGTTCATGCTGCGCACCACGTCGGATATTCTCTCAACAAACCGCAAGTTGTACGATACAACTTGGGACATGTTGGCTGACGGATCGGCCCGAGCCACGTGGGTTTGCAGGTTCGATTCATCTATCTTGACGGCGCCGTCGAGGCACTGCAGCTGAAGAAAAGAGTTGTACCCCTGACCCAGACGCATCGTGTCATTGTACGGAGCGAGTTGGATAAGATCCATGTGTGGTGATGTTTTGCTTCTGATATTGCAAGCAATGAGGAGATGATACGAAAAAAACAATAGTGAATCTTTCCGGGGAAAATAATGAAGCCAGTCGCCTTTTCTTGGTACTTGTTATTGCACAATATGTGGGCCCTCATGGTTGTCGACTATTGCCAATAGTTTCTACTTGGCGATGGAGGTGCGGCAGCCAAAGATCGTAATTCGTCAACACTATTCCCAGATCTACCTCAATTTGTATGTATTCTTAAGTAGTATGTAATGCCGCTACCTCGAGGCGCGCCAGTAACGCAATAAAACTATAGAAACTTTTGGACCTGTCTGGGTTGTCTCGCGACGGAGAGTAGGGAAGCGGGAGACTTGTCTGGTCGCATAAACGCTTCGCCACCCGCGTTGCCACCCGCTTTGCGACATGCTTGAGTCCTGCACCAAGACGCTTGTCTGCTTTGCGCCAGTTATTGGCAGTCTGCATAGCGCCACGGCGCTGGTTTATGGTTGAGCCATTGTCTATCTCGTTTTCACAGTGTGGCGTACCCTCACAAAGTTAAGGGGATAACAAGACATGTCCCAGTTAAGAAGATTCAGAGATGAGCGAACCGGGAGGGCTGCCAAGTAGTTAAAAGACATTGACTGAAGACACTCTAGAATGGCTGAGGCTTGGGAAGCTGGTCGATTTAGAGCCACCGGGATCGCGGCAAGCGCCGGTATTCAGCCAGGGGTCTGCAAGCTGAACAAAGCATCATGGAACAAGACGTGAGAGACAGAATGCCGTGGATTGGTTTATTGATTCAACATAGTGAAATATTAATTTACAATATTAATTTACAATATTGTAAAAGGTAATACCTAATGTGTATCTAGACTTTCGGCGTTTGTAAGTGATTTTACCATATGAAGTACGCTGCCCATCTCCATATTATAAAGGAAATAAGCAGACTGCATTTCAACTCCCGGGCCTATCGTTTCAACTTGTTTCTTTCTCAAATACTTCACTATACCGGGCTTATCGCAACATTATCCGAGATGAGTAACACCGGAACCTGAAGGCAAGCACACGTGATATGGGAGAATGTATGGAGAGCGTGTAATTTAACTAATTTAACGAATTACAATATCTGCTTGGTATAACAGGCGTCTTGCTTGCATCACAATGAACTCTACGAGGTGCTAATTTTGCAGTAGATGATTTAGTTATAGTTCTATATTAAAGCCTAGGTGCGCTCAGCTATTGAACCATATGAAGCCAATCTGCTATATATCAATAAAACTAATAGAAGCCACATCGACCTTGATGAGATCCCCTATAAGTCATACTCTCACCGGAATAATCAACTCTCCCATGTCACTTCTACTTATCAGGGATGGAGTATGTTTGGCAAGCCATTTCCCTGAAATTAGGTGTTTATGCTGAATTAAGCGACGAAGTTGACGGTGAGCTCGCCGTTGTCGACGTTGTTGCCGCTATCAGTAGGAATAGAGCCGCAAACACGGCATCCATGGTCCATGAGCTGGTCCAGGAAGGTAACGGTCTGGCTCTTGCTGAATTGGCGGTTTCCGATATTCTGGTAAAAGGCACAGAGACGACCGGTGGCGAGGCCAACACAAGCAATCTGTTGGCCATTGCCCCAAGTGCCATCGGGGTTGGAAGCCACAGCGTTGCGGACGTCTTCGAGAGTACCATGAGGCGTACCGGCAATGCCGCCGACGCCGCAGCTAGAGCTACCACGGCAATTGATGCCAAGGCTACGGGCAAGGATTTCCGAGGCTCCTTCAGGCTTTGAGACGGGCTCAGGGGCACGCTTGACCTCGACATGGCGCTTGGCGTTGGTGACCATGTTGGCAGTCAGCTCGCCATTGTCAACGTTGTTGCCAGGATCGACGGGAATGGAACCGCAAGCAGCGCAGCCATGATCGAGGAGGCCTTGGACAAAGTTGACAGTCTGGCCAACGGACCACTGGCGGCCGGTCTTTTGGTAGAAGATGCAGAGAGATGGGTCACCGATTGTAACGGAAGACTTGACACATGTGACGTGCTGGCCGTCGCTAAAGGTACTGCCCTGGTTCATACCACGAAGCTGACCGATGGCTTGGGACAGAAGTCCTTTGTTGCCAACGCAGAGACCGCTGCCGTTACAGTTGATGCCACCAGCGTTGACAGCAGTGATCGCAGAGGCGATGGTGAGGAGGGTGTTTCCGAACTTCATCTTGAAGATGTGATATACGTTTTGTAACTGTATTCGATAGAGAAGAAGATGAGAGACGATGTTGATATTGCAGGATGATGTTTGGAAAGCAGATTGAAGTTGAATAGGACAGAGAGGAGAGCCTCTATTTATAAGTTTTCTTCCTTTACATGTTTAGCAACTGAATTCAGATTCTCTACATCTATGAACTGCTTATCCGCGGATATTCTCTGCTCGGGTCGTCGGTATGAATTCTTTCCCGAAGAGTCACATGGATTTGCTTGGCCTTGGATCTCTACTACTTACAAACCTATCGTCAGCATATTCATGGGGTATAACACGGGATATTTTTCGGGGTACTATACCTGGAGTATCTGAGTGGTGGATTATTCGTCTTGCTACTCGATATGGATATATTCAAGCTTATTCGACTCTATGACCATCATTTTGCCAGCGTAGTATTTTGATATATGTCATATGGAAATGCATGCCCGTCAGTAATCTTTCCCGTTGTGGCAGTGTTGCTGATGGCCAAGCAAATGGTCTGATCTTACCAAAAAGGCAAGAGAACCCAAGTTGACAATTCTCATGACTCGAGAGAGGTGGTAAGCGGCGGGTTTTCTTCCGCCGTGAGATATCTCCATCTGGGCAACCCTCTATTGGATGGATCTGAACTTAATGTATCAGGTGGACTCCAGTCTTTCTTGAATAATATTCGTTCTCATACAATTATTATCAAAAGCTTCGCTTTTTATTAGACACTTGATGACGAAGTTTGAAGTTCCTTCCTCAAAGACCGAGAACCAGTATCATATTTGACGTTGCATCCAACCGGCGTTGCTAATTAACCCATTATTTGGTGGAGCTTACATTAACTGGATCAAGTTTTAGCGCTGATTCTATTTCCATCTGGTACAACTTCTCAGTTGAGAACTTTTGCTTTGATTCATTAATTCGTTTGTTTCTCCATTTGTTTGTTTAGTATTCACCACAGCCAGGGGAGGCACTCAACTTCTACGTATCAATTGTTCGGAATCCACACGTTATTAAACTACATTGGGAAATAGAATCTTTCTTTTGGTACATATGTCAGACCAGGCGGCACGAGAAGATATTTAGTCCCAGAACGGCACATTTGGGTTAATAGAAGGCAACCGGGAATCGCTGATTGAAGCTACTAAAGGCTAGCGAGGTGGTCTTGAAAATATGGATCCGACAGATTATGTACCTATCGAGCGCGGTCCTAGGTATTACGCGCACCTCCTAAACCGGCGGCTGTGTGGTCTATAATGTAAGAAGCTGGGCTCCTATAGGTCAGTAAAGGAGGGGATTTCAACGGGATAAACTATATGTCGGATAGATTGTATAATCCTTGACCGATTGTGGAGCTTCACTGTTGCCCGGATTTATACAAGTCTGATAGTATGTTTATAGGATTATATTAGTAAATATGATGGACTGGATGATGAAATAATATAGTTAGAATGACATTATATAACGATAGAAACGTAACGACACCGTATAACCCTTAGCAAATGGGCGTCCGCGTCACTTTGGTGTAGTATTGGACTACGGATTGCCTGACTCAGTAGATTCCTGCCGAGGTAGTATTCGGGCGTCAGCTGGGACCGCCGGCATGGGATTTGCCCGTTGGCCTGGCCCCCTGGCAAGTGTGGAAGACGGGGAGTTAGACTTCATTTGCGGGGATCAGCGACTGGGGGTAGAGGATTAGGGAAGGGGGGCTTTTGTATGAAGAGAAGAAGAAAGGAAAAGAGAAATGTCACTATAATTTCAATACGCCTACGATATGGACATATGACTAACCTTTTCCAGATTACCAAACAATTGAATTAAGCAAAAATAAAGGCAACTTACAATTGTGCTTGGCAGCATTCATCGGCAGCGACTTGAGCCTTTCTCGCTGTTTACGCGGTAATACAACCAACATTAGGACTTCTGGCATCGGTATAACTCAAATTTATTAATATAGTCAACTTATTTCAGCCAATCCAAGCCAATCTCTCGTGTCCAAATCTAGTCATACAGCTGACGAATACTTCCAGGAGGGTAAGAAGCAACAACTCTTTCAGGCGGTAGTTGCATCTGCCCTCGCCACGAATTGTTGCTCGAGAAACTTGTCTCTGACCCAAAACGTTGCCATACGCCCAGTATGGTGATTTCAGAAGAGGAGTGAACAGAAAGTCCGTCTCACAAAAGGGACACGAGCCACAAACTTCAGTTTCTCTAAGGAAGGCTCTCATAACAACGGATCCGAGGACAGATCTTGGGTTTGTCAGCAAGTCATTCCACCAGTAACTACAAAATTGATCGTTGACGAGGTAACATGGTCTTCTGTGCACTTTATGTATGTGGGCTTTAGGAGTAAAAAATTGATGTAGACAAATCCGAAGCCATCCCAGAGATTTGATGGAGACATTTTCAACGTCTTTGAAGAATATATGTTTAGAGTGGATAAGAAATTCTCCATCTGTTGTGACCGTTGGAGATACAGATAATGTTCCCTTAATCTCGTTGGCCATGCCGTATTTATGTGGGTGGATGACTCCCAAAACCGGCTACAACAAGCGATTGAGATGATCTTTGTATGTTTTTCTTAAAACAATTTCCGTTGTCTCCAGGCGTATAAATTTCAAAACGAGTTGGATACGTCGATAGTATTGTTTATGGTTGACCTTATACCAGTAGCAGTCGCATGACGTTTGGCATCGAATAGCCGGTCGTGGGTTCGTCGGAGTGTCGTTGCGGTTAACACGGTGGAGCTTAAGACACTTATGGCAGGCCCAGAGATTGGGATGGCCGCGAGCCAGAGCAAAAATATACTCTTCTCGCTGATATTTATCGAGATCAATGGCGGATAGATTTTGCAGCTCGTTGTTTTCTCGGATAATAATGCGTAATGGGCAGCAAGTTTGAGATAGAATGATTTGTTGATATGGTGGGAGGTGCTCGAAGATGAGGAGAACAATTTCTATTGGGAGGTTAAGGATCGGACAGGAGAGGTTCTGCTTGATCCTGGTGTTGCTGTTTATGAAACGGCGTAATACCTGACAGACAGGCATGGTGATGACTTGACTGATGCCGATATTTATGAAGAATGCGGTATACCGTGATAAAGTGTGCGCGAATCGAGTAACTATCCAGCGAAGAACAGGGGTACATGAGTTCCATTCGAAGTAAGTAAACGCCGAACTCTGTATTGCTTTTAACCCTCAAAGACAAAAGTAAAAACAGGACTCAAAAAGCAAAATTTAGAAATTAAACATACTGGAGATCAAAAGCTAAAAGTCTGATGTAGTAGAACACTAATGTGCTAGCAAGCACATATTTAGGCAAAGAGACTTTAAAGCCCTCAGTTAGGGTAATTGACTGACTAAATAGCTTCCTGATTGTTACATCTATATGCAGTAACGTTAAGAGGGGAATCGGCTAGTTATTTGGCTGATATCGCGCGTATTTTAATCATAATTTGGATGTTGTTTTAAGGAAACTATATGTCCACGAGAGAGAAAAGTGCGATTTGGAAAGTTCAGCAGTAATCTGAAGGAAAATACACAGCACTCATAACCGCTAAGAGTTTTAGGCATCTGGGTGTAGATTTAAACCCGTTGGCTTTGGGATAAAGCGTAGATAGGACTAATAAGTCTTTTCGTTGCTTGCCGCGTAGACAGCATAGAGTGTTAACATGTATTATAGTTGCTTAAAATAACTACCCTCTGCCGAAAAAAACCCCGACAAGTGATGGGGCGCCCGACAACATGAAGGCTTCTATCTTGCTGAGCTCAAGACGTAGAAATGTACATGTAATTTGTATTTCATAATAATATAGGTATATCTAATGTTCTCCTGAGTATAGAAAATGAACTGCTTTGGAATTAAAGGCAATTGATAGGGACATATGACGCCTTAACCTTACATAGTCGTGATGGATGTGGCCGGAGAACACCAAGCGTTGACTTTAGTCGACGACCGCTGCTTGGACCGGAAGCTGTCCGACCGTCTCAAGTATCCATTGTGTAGAAGTTGTTCGAGTCATGGATGGTGTCGAGGTATTCGATTTCATCCTCCGACGAGATTCCAGATGTCGTCAAGGGTCTTCAATCCACCGTCTAGCCTTATCTGGGGTTAGCAAATCGCAGTTTGTGTTGCGATTTCAATTCTCCTGGGCCATACTTCGCACATATGATACAGAGACACTCAAGCTGACGGCTATCATCACGTATTCTTGGCAAAAATGTGTGCTAATGGAAGACTGCTTCTCACATCCGAGTCTTTCGCCGTTCGTGACTTCGGTCAATTGTGTTGAAATGAATGATATATAAGCCTCAACAGCTCTCTGGCTTTCGGCCTTTTTGCAATTTCAACAAATTGCTCTTGTCATTTGCCTTTGCGAACAAGCCATTCACTAACTCCCGATTTCCCCTACATATCTCATGAATCATTGGTAGGACCACTACGTGTATAGTGTTGGATACTGGTGGCAGTCAGGGTGCGAGCACGCAAACTCTGCCTCGGCATAGCAGGCTTTGATGTGCATCTCCAGAGAGGCGGCGAGTAAAAACTCCTGCTGACACTGGCTGAATTGCTTCTTGCCTGTGTCCTCTACAGCTGGGACAGATCTCACAGTCGCCGCAATCTCCTTGGTTGCCGGACAAGCCCTTGCGTGCTTTATGCATCCCGTCCGGCTACTGAGTGACCACCTACACTCCTTTAGAGTGCAAAGAAAGACCTAGTTGCTGTTGAAGTCCTCCTCGTTCTCGGACGTTTCTACATTTCGACACCATCGTATTCTTCAAAGTCTTCATCGACAGGTTTCTGTGAAAATATCTAGAGTATATAACATTGTGATCTCTGCCGGGAACAAACCGATCCATCGAGGGGAAACACAATCAATTATTGCCCAATGGGGAACCGGGTCTTACAGTACGGAGATGAAAGATAACTGGAGAAGGAGAATCCGTGATCAAATTGTTGATAATCTGCAGGGAAGGAGAATTTGCATAACTGTAGGAGGCCTACTAGGCTTAGTCCCAGAAGTAAGCAAAGAAAGGGATACTCATTGTGTTTTTCTCGGGTCGCCCGCTCCTATTGTCGGACGAAGAAAGGGAGATATGATTACTATAATTGGTATATTATATGTCCATAGTCTGATGCAAGGAGGAGGGGGTTTCCAAAATGAAAGTAAAGTACAACACATGATTGTAGGTTAAAGTAGATGGTTTCATTTAATATAATCCATTATTTCTCCCCCGCATAGAAAAAAAACTGCCTAAGAACCAAGATTAATTAAAATCAGTACTCTTGAAGCTTTGTCCAGCAGTTATTGACTAATGTAGCCTAGTGGATTCACGTCTTCTCTTTCGTGGATATGTAGTTTAGGTTGCCCTCCTTTACCTTGTGTGTTCCTGATGCTCTGGCGGATATTCTCTGCTGTATTAATTACGTTCTCATGCACGTCTTCGTAACCAGCGGCTGCTATCTTGGCCGTAGTCGCAGGCGGTTAGTTGGGCAAACTCCAATAGTTTAAGACAGGTGTTGTAGAGATGATGGAGCGTCGGCAGTATATTTTGAAGGCCCTGGCAAAAAAAGGAAGCGTAATGAATAAGAAGAATAGCAATAAAAACCTCATTAAAGACCCTTCTTTGCTGCAGTCGAGTTGTAGGAGAAATCCCACATAGCGTGTAAGTGTGCACTACTAGAAGGCCTATTTGTAGTAATCCATGGCAAATGACGATCGATGCGAATATAGTGTTATTGTCTCTCATCACAGACTGCATGAGCTGGAAGTGCTCAAGATGCAGTTAAGTCTCTGAAAGATGTGATTTATATGGTCAAGGCCATTTACAACATCTTTAGAGACCGCGTCTGGAGCTGATCAGACCAGATCTGTAGGATTTATTCTTGCAAAGAGAATATGGACTGTTACAAATAGACCCCTTATGAACCAATGAGGCTGAAGGGACATTATTCACCGCTATTTGGAAAACATCGGAAGAAGATTGCGAGGGGTGGTCCCGATTGTGGGTGCCTCATCCGAAGCCATTGGTAAGAAGAATTCCGTGAGGCTCGTATTTGCGGATTCTACAACGCAAGGTGGTCAGCAAGACGTATTAAAGCTGCTGCGCCAGGAGCTTGGCCGTGAGCCTTAAATCCGAATGGATTCCGGAGTCCGCATTACAGCCACCATGTGTTTGCCTTAATTTAACTACTTGCTTCGATTAACTACAACTATGGCCCAAGAGGATGAAATGCCAAGATATTATCGATCGAGGCCAAAGATGAATGCTCACTGGTGAGTATATGATGCAGTCAAAATGTGCTTTTTGATTCGATTGCGCACATTCTACATGCTGATGCAAAGTCTTTTGTAATCTATTGCTCCAAGAATGATGCATCCTTCATTACGGATATGATATCTATGGGGAGCGTCCATCAATTGGAGCTTTCCAAAGCCTCTAATCTAAAAAAGATGGAAAGTTGGCCTGAGAATTCATCCGCTGACATTTTTTGAGGATCGGAAATATCGAGCAAATTGTTCGTATACCCTCTAAAAATAGATATTCATCAGCAAGGAATTTGGTAGGGCCTGAAAATGGTACCGGTTACTCCAGCATATTGGGGTGATTAATTGAACGGCTTGTTCGTAAGTAATGGCATGCCAAGCCCTAATATTGGTGTATACATAGTAAATATTCATAACCGTTTGAGAATATGAGATAATCAGCTTTCGATATCAGGTCCGCTGGTTAGGGGGGAGGTCATGTCTTTCGCCATCTGTGGCATATTATCAACTGCCCTTATATGGCCAATTTGGTACAAGTAAATGCAGCACCGACTAGAGAAAGCTTCCTGCCTGCATTCTTCTTCTAGCTGGTGCCGGTTAGGCGTGTCATATTTCTGAAAATTGTCACTTCTCTCGAAAAGTGAAAATGACTGCCCGACGGCGATCCTAAACTGGTAAATACGGCTGGCGCAAATTACTTCTTATTATAGCAGCTTTCGATTATGGATTTAGTAAGGGATTCATTTTATGGATGTTATTTGAGATATTTGATTATCTTTTTATAACTTCCTTCTAAGCATTGATAAACAAGATCACTGGTTATCGGAAAAAGGACATGCAATGCCACACTCATTCACCAATCTTATTACGTACAAACTTTCTGAGCTTATTCCGGCCCAAGTTGGACATGATCCAAGGCTGCCTGAAATCCCCATCATTCCTTGACATAAGGGTGGCTGAGCCTAGTCATGAGTAGTGCCTCGGCATCAGGCAATATTTTGACTAGTGCTCGGGACGCTGCAGCCTCACCGGAAAAAGAATGCAGAATGTAGAGAGCAAGGATCAGCAAGAGGAAGGGATCCTGCCAACATGCCCATGCAAGTGCGGAGAAATTAAAAAAACCCAATCGAGGCGATATTGTGAAGGGGGGCAAGAGGGTCAAAGAAGGTATGTAGCTATTTCTAGCCTGTGATAGAAGACCTACCGCCTCTTACTGGTGTGAGGGCTTCATTTAGTGAGCCCAAGGAAGATCATTTCCCCAATCTTTTCTGACAATAAGATCCTCAAGGCTCTATATGCCCTTAATTCTCTTTGCTCAGAAGCGGGTGAAGAAGGTTTCAATCCGCGAGAGCCACTGGAATGTTTTTGTTCGGAGGGCACACTTGAGGCTGTTGAGTGCGGTATGCAGCCCATCCTTCGGGATCCTCTCCGTCCAGGGATTGGACTCAGCTGAGGCGGAATGTTAGAAAGAGTTGGTGGTCTCGATCCTGGTGGCGTTGAGACAATATACAATCGGCTGCCCAGCTTTTGGGAAGAAAACAAGTTCCGCTTGAACAATGCGTTGCGATCGGGTGATCATAAAGTTTGGCTTGCAGTAAGACCGGCTTATGGGAAAGACCATTGTGAGAGATGTAAGGCTGCTCCGAAGCTCTACGTCATCTGAGACATGACATTACCGCGATGAGGGTCCAGCAACTAACTGATGATTGGGGTAAACGAAAGAGATGCAGAGAGAAACATGCAACCGTAAGTTGAAGTGAAGACATCACGGCGGTGCTAATTTTGAGCCAGCTGAGGAAGCATCCGGTTACACACGGAATACACTGCCTCCGGACAGCGGCTTGTGGCTCATTATTTGAGTCCCTTAATCAGCAATCCCAGGGTTCTCTTGACAGCTCAGCGGTGCAGTTTTGCGGGCAAAGCTGATCCACCCGTCAACGGGGCGGGACGCCGGGAAGCCGGGACTCCGGGGCTAAAATGACATCGCCATGACATCCGCACCGTCCGACCATAACTCGAGCTACTCTAGACGGTAAGCAAGTGCTAGCAAAAGTGAGTTTTACGAGGTAAGCAAGTAGGAGCGTGGCTTATAAAGCCACAACTAGCTTGAGGCGAAGGCGGCTAGTAGGAACCGGAGTCAGCTTATACTATTTATAAGCGCGCCGCATGGGCTAGTAATAATAGCTATCCAAAACAAGAACTCCATGTGCTTGGTAGAATATGCTGCTAGTTACACAATTAAGCCACTTCGTAAAAGTCAAAATGTGTATGGTGTAAACATCTAAATATAGGGTACACATTTGATAATAGGCATTGAAGCTGAAGAATCCATCTATATAAACATCTCTTCATCTTCCTCTCCAACCGTTCTTCTCATCATCCACAGCAACAACAACAACTACAGCACTACTACAAACAACAACTACACTTTCACCACATCTTCTACTCTTTACTCTACTCAACAACTCAAATCACCATCAAAATGCAGTCCGCTATTGCCTTCACTGTCTCCCTCCTTGCCCTCGTTGCCTCGGCAGCTCCCACCACTCGCACTACCGGCACTGTTCAAGTCCAGTTTGCCAACGACGTCACTGGAGCAAACGGCAACGCTCGTATCCCTCTTGACGGATCCAACATCAACCTTGGAGAAGCTTATGGAAACACCAACCTGGAGAAGGACGGCACCCTCTTTGTCACCAGCCTGCAGTTCACTGCCGATTTCCAGAACGTGCAGTGCGTTGTCCTCAAGGACTTCCAGACCAGAGTCGCCTTCATTGCCGACCCTCACCAGGACTTCCAGACCTTCTCTCAGAAGCCCCTGGATTGGCAGAACAACTTCACCATTGCGTGCAATGTCGCTTCTTCTTAAGCTTCTTAAGCTTTATAAAGGTCGTGGGGTAGAATGGACGGGTATTAGGAGGGGCGTCGATTTGGTTTGATTTTTATCTCCTTTGTCAGGGACGGAAGCGATCGGCTTAGCACAAATGGCCAGAGCGTATCTAGTTGATATATAACTAAGAACTACATCATTTTAGACGGATAGGATGCATTAGCAATATACAGACATTCCTTTCAGAAATTCATTTAAGAGATTCTTGCCAGTGAGATCTAACTACTAATGAGTTACCCATCACAAAAAGGCTAGATAGCCTCCATATGCTCTCTTGAATTACTGTCGATGTTTGTAAGTATAACGGATTTCTCCGGCCAACATAGACATGGAAACAGCTGTTTCACAGGGAAGCCCATCATAATAAACAACTGCCTCATGATAAAATAGCATAGTATCGGTCTACCAACTGGTTTCTAATATTTTACTAGATATCGAATATGGAACAGCGGCTGACAGAGAAAAGAATTGAAGGCTGCGGTCATGCAGGACATGAGCCACAACGCCACAACACAACCTCCCGCAGCCACATTTACCACACAACATCACAACAATGTGAAGAAAAGAATTGATGCAAAAAAAAAACATACAACAGCCGGTGTTCGCTGATGGTCACCCACTCAACTACTAATCTGCCGGTTAGTGGCTTGTCTATGGGGGAGCTGACGGGGACTCTTGCTCACCCGCTGAACCTGATCCGAGGTTTTGCCATTGACGTCTTTTTATCACGTGACTTGTCTTTGAAAAACGGACTGCAGCTCTCCGCAGCATCGCGCGTTTTGTTCTTGGGCGTCTCTTTGGCATCTTATGCGATTCATCATGGACGAAGATATACTTGCTCACGGTGGTGTGAACGTCGCACGCGAGGAAATCGGCAGCCCGACACAGCCTTTTTCATCGCCTGGGTTAGTGAAATAGCCCTCGCGCTTTCCTCGATGATACTGTTCGGAGACTGTTGCCTGCGAGACAAGATCGGGAAATTCCGATGCCTACTCAACGCGCTCGTCCTTGTTTGACAGTCCGTTGAAAGGGTCGGGATCTTGTTGGCGGCGGGCAGTGAGTAGAGCTTGGTGCGTCAGGCACCCTCCTCCTGTCTGCCGCCGTTGCCAGTACATCGTCCGCAACAGTATTATTGTGTGAAAGTGGAAGGACTAACGTCGCCACTATTCATTGGTCTCATCGTTTGGTTGATATTAGTTCAGTTGATATCAGGGGCGCTAAATACCTACACTTATCCTACCCCGATTTCTGTTAATGTAATTTGCTGATGCCTTCCGACTCTAGGCGCCCTACTTTCCACAAAGATATTCGCGGCGATATTGATACTACGAGCTATAACTGTAGCGATGTTGGTGGCATCAAGGGCGGCGATGATGAGTCTACTGTGTCTGACGAGAGTGAAAACAATGAAGACGACTCTAGGGATTTTACTATCTCTGAAGACGCCAATCGCAATACGGATGATAATATACACAACACTGGTATGGAAGGCGGCGATAATAAGTCGACTGTGACTAACGAGAGTAAAATGACTACAGACGCCACCTTAATTGACTGCACTTGCGCCATTCACAGTGTAACTTGGGATAATGCTGATGGTCAGACGATAGAGGTTTACAATCCCAGGTCTAAGTTCAACCTCGATATATATACAAATACCTTAGCCAATACAGCCATATTCATACTTCATAGCTATATTTATCTAAAAACCAACAGGCGCCGGAGTAACAAGCAAAACATTTATCTACTCATACCCCCTGAGCGGATCAAGGCTATAACAACCCAAACCTCTCCCGCTGCGCGAGCTACAGCGTCAAATACCGTCATTCCTCAATTTTACTCATTGCATTTCTCCTTAATACAGCAGCCTGATTTCATAGGCCCTCAAAGTGACCTCCCACTGTCCAAGGGAAAAACAAAAGCGCAGCTGGATTTGCTTCAAGACCTCGCTATCGTTACCGAGTTTACTATCCATCTTGCTAGCTCAGACACTGTCACACCAAATAATGCGCTGGAGGTGGTGGCCCATAAGGGGGGTGCCGTTGTCATATTCTTAAGAGGGACACTGCTTTTTACATTGGCCCTGGGAAGGGATCTCTTGGACCAAACCACCGTCAAGAAACTCCATGGTCGGACTCCTGGCGCGATCAAGATATTATCGGGCAAACAACCTGTTTGCCCCTCCCTTTCTCTACTCGCTAAAGGATCCTCAACCCCTCCCTGAATATAAAATAGCATGCCGCAGGGATTTATATCTTTACACTGCCTATAAATCGTTAGAAGTCTACACAACTTTAAGGAGACGTAATCGAACCAAACTAGTGTAGCCTTGCTATTTGGAACATATTCTGGGATTTCCAGAAATGCAGTATTGTTGGCACCTACGTAATTAACTGTTGTGAAGTTATATCGAAGGGGATAGGAGGTTGAATTAGGTGAAAACTGAATGGCTGCCCGACACTGTTCTGCGGATTGAGGTAGCCTGTTTCCCGAATCGTCAGTCGAAATTTATCATTAAATATAGGAGCTCGCACATTTACATACAAGACGGTGAATGTGTTCGACCCAGCAAAGAATTCGATAGGAGGCAGCAGCCTGAGCAGCGGGTTATCACTAATACATGATTCAAAAGCAAGACATAGGGCGATAAGAGAGGGGAGCAAGATTAAAAGTCGGATAAACATCAATCACTAATGAAGCTTGTACTGACAGATGATGAGACTAGTACTAATAATAGTTTAGTTCTCTCAAGTCTTCTTTGGAAGTCTAGCAACAGGAAACTGTGCTATATGTAGCTTCGCAGCCCCATATGGGATCAACTTGATTCTTGTCTTTGTCTCTGGGTTTACCTCAGGATTAATAGGGCACAAAGCGGCTGTGTCAAGCTGTATCGGCCAATCGATTGGATACGCGTCCACAGATAGTGATATTGGCGGCCCACGGCGACTGAAGATGGGATTTGGCAGAATTCTGTCTTGCGCGGGGCCGGTATCGACTGAGATAGTCTCGGGGTCAATGGCGAACTTCCACGGCGATATCGGCTCCAGTACGTGGTCCATTGCCTTCGGATGCGTCTCAGAGTCGTCGAGTGGCGAGCGGTCCGTCCAATTCAAAGGCTGATGGGCTGATTCCTTGTATGCAATATCGGCAGCATAAAGCATAGGACCGTAGTAAACACCAACAGTTTGGTTGCGAGAGACAATATGTACATCCATGGGAAGCTCGACTTTGACCTTTGTTACTCCAGGCAACACTTTGGTGCAGTGTACGCCGTTAGAATCAGGGGATAGGTGGCGAGGTTTCTGCCCTCCAACTTGTGCAGTGGCCCCATGCGTCGTCCAGTTAGGAACGCGGACACCAAACTCGAAAGATGTCTCTGTAGTTATAGTGTACTGCAGTATGGATGAGAATGGATAATGGGTATCACATTCGACTAATACGCCTTAGCAAAGTCCTAGGCATGATTTTCAACTCAGACTTACATTTCACTCTCTTGCCTTGGAGCTTGGTTTCTAGCGACGTGGGGCCCAGCAGGACATGCGCAATTTTATCGTGCTCAGTGTAAACGTAAGAAGACGCAACGTATTTAGGGTATCCTTGAGGGTGGTTGACAGTACAACAAGGCTGGATCAGTCAGCGTGGACCCAAGAGCTTGAAGAGAGGCGTGATATACAAAATTCGGCTCCAACCCGTAAGTGTTGCCGTATGAGACGACATTGAAGAATGGATTTCCAGTCAGGTTCCGCGGCCAAGGCTCATTCGTCTGCGTGACGTATTGATGCGACCACCCTAAAACTATTAGAAAAAAGCCAGCGATGTCGTTAGATGCGCTCACAGTCAGGACTCATTGCTGCTGGGAAGGCGTTGAAAGCGGCCAGCTCGGCACGGTCGGCAAATTGGTTGGCGCCGTGGAAGCGGTAGAGATAGGCATACGAAAACATGGATTCAACAGCCATGCAAAGCTCAGAGCTTGGGAAGGTAAGTCGATATCATTCGATAGCACATATAGAAGTCGACTTACCCTCGTTGTGGGCTCAAATTACTGATATGCTCGTCTCCGATTATTGACCCGGATAGTGATGTATGATACGTGGCGGTCATGTTGACAGCGTCAAAGGTCTGTTGAACAAGGGCTTCGCTACTGCTGCGTCTATAAAGCACCGTTGGATACCGCAGACCCTGTGCCAAATTGACACCATGGGTGAAGCCGCTAGTTTTGAAGTTGGCATCTTCTGGGAAGACGCCTTTGACGAAGAACTTAGTCCAGTCCCTACCGCCAACACGGCCGCCTTCAAACATGAGATCAATTGTCTCAAGGATGACGTCCCCATTATCATGGGATGGTTTTCGTACAGCCACATCAGGGAGATGGGTAGCTCGTGGGCTCGCGACAGGCCAAAACCGAAAGGGTCAAAGTTGTCTTCCTGAGATTTGTCCTGCACTAAACCAGTGAAATTGTCTTTGAGCATAGAGTGGACTAGTTTCGTAAAGTGGTGCATGGCATCAACAATACGCTGTTCTTGGCTTTGGTCAGCTTCGGCGTATTGCTTTACTGGTCAGTACTTGTTTTGTTTTTTTCTTATTTCAGCATGCTGGGTCCTTACAGTTAATCCAAATGCTAGCAGGCTTCTCGCCCATATACCCCTTGTCTGTCTTGTTGTCTCAGGTCCAAGCCAGCCGTCATCGGCCTGATTGTCAAGTACATAGTCGAGAAACTGCCGTGCTTGTTTCTTCAGTCGCGGATCGTCAAGCGTCCAGGCGAGGGGCACGATGTAGTTGAACCAGTAGGGCGCTGACTCGTGAAGCTCACTGTACTCATAATTACCCCCGAGCCAGGTAGAGCGGGCAACATAACGGTAGAAATCGAATAGGTGGCCGCCAAGGCCGTCCGCCGACAGCTGGATCTGGTCTCGTAGCCAACCCCCTGGACGAATAGACCCGAGGGGAAAATGATCAAACTTGAAAGGCGCGAGGGCTTCGGATATTAGCAATCAATACCATTGTGAATTGGACTCAGTACCTACAAGTCTGGTGTGCGGCAGCGAACAACATACTCGCTGACAGAGATGTGAGGACAGCAGAAAGTCTCATGGTGGCAAACAGTAAACTTCTAGTGAAGCTGTGTGAATTTTGTTCTGTGACTATATTGCCACTAAATATAAAGGTTTCAGCTGTAGAACCTGAGGATAGTTGTTCCTTCGCCCAACCACGGGATGCCCCCGATTGGTAGAAATTTTCCAACTCTCTTCATCATGTGGAGATGATGAATATCCAGAGATATCGTGTACAGGTTAGAGTTGCGGGGTGCTGTCGGTATATCTTCCGGTAGACTGCCCGGAGCTAGCATCTTCGCTTGGTTAGGGATCATTCATACAGATCTCATCTACCGAGGCCCACGATGCGCGATCTACACTCAGCCAGCCTGACCACTACCTAATGACGCAGCCTTTTCAGAAGTACAGAATAATAAAAACCGGGCCGCGGGCTCTCCGCTATTCAACATTAAAATATTGAAATTTTGCGGATATTAGTGGAGAGGACTTCCGTGAGGTTTTGCATCATCCGGGGTTCGGCAAAAGGCTCGGATAGCTGTCCGAAACATCTTCGAGGTATTTGAGTCTGCATAAGGTCCCAGACTCGGTATAAGCTTGATAAACGTTTATCTACCCGTTAGGTTCACCCCTCGTAATCGGACTGGATTTTGTCGTTACTCCTCAAACCCCCCTTGAACATACAGTCCTAAGTGTATACATGTTTAGTGATGCGTAATTATGTTGGCACAGCTGCTTACCTCATCATAAAGTCTTCAGAACATCATTCGGCCAGGCCATCCAGTCTTGCCAGTATGCGCCTAGATATTTACTGGCGGATTCTATCATGAACCGACCAGTATCACCAAACACCCAAAATCCACGGTCTTGATACAGCAGCACGGCCCAATGGGCTAGAACTACCAGTGCCTCTGGTCTTCGCTGCTTAAGCATCTGTAGATAATCGAAAGAGACGAGTACTGGCCATGCCATCGTGATATGTGGACGGAGCTCGTCGGGGAGACCACGCCGCTGCCCAATGACCCACTGGAGCGACTTGACAGCATCACAGCAGGCATTGAACGAGGTAGGGCCGAGACTTTCGATGGACGCTGTAAGATGGGCTAAGAGCCCGTCGCACTCAACGCAAGAGATGGTTAGCTGAGGGTCCAATTGGTCGAGCGTGCTTATTGGGTCGATGATATGTTTTATCTCTGTCTCGTTAATGATGTGCCAAGACTGTCGAGTAACGGTGCGTATTCCGCGATGAAGGGCAATGAATTGGATAAGCTTGTCCAGGAACTCGGTGAAGTCTCTCTGGTGGATGGTTGTGTCGAAAAGTGTATGCAAGCCGAGGAATGAGGAAAACAGGAACATGGCGGTACAATTTTCATCGGAAACGCTCGGACGGACTGTGTTGAAGTGACCGAGAGCTCGAGTTTGGAGCTGTGCTGCCTGGTGGAGGTATTGGTTCTTCTCTGCCCCATCAAACGCCTGGGTACTCAGATGAAGAGCAGCTATGGCGAGAAGCTCATCCATCAGAAATGGAGTGGTTATGGCGGATTTGAAGATCAGCTTGGCGATCTCCGCTGCTTTCGTGACATCCGGGAAAAGACCTGCGTCACCGGGCTTGAGCAGGTTGCTCTCGAGGTGATGTAGGAGGGCGAGATGACCGAGGTTGTAAACATTTGGTAGTAAACTTTCAATTCCGGAGTCAACCCCGTTGGTAGGATAGGAACCGGCTGCCCCAATCGCGGCCACAAGATTTGCTGGGGAGGAACTGGAAGGTGTATCGGACGCAGTGGGCGTTTGCGATGAGTTCGCAAGTGGAATTGTCCCGTTGGCGACTAACCGTTGGCTGTAGGAGCACTCGCGATCACAGGTAGAGCAATTGACGCAGGTCGGTCGATGCTCGTCACATTTCATATGACGTCGCTTACATTGTTTGCAACCATTGCGCGATTTGCGGTGCGGCCGTCGGACTGTATTGATGGGTTGATTAGCATCTCGAGCTTGTTTGGAGACGCCAGCCATTGGAAACAGAATTGATTCAAGCAGCGAATCAGTAAATAAATCCAACAGAGCCGAGAGGATGGACGATACGTATCGAGGAAATGAGCTAACACAACTAGGGAAGAATCTACTTGCATGGGCTGAGCGCATTCAATAAACCATATGGTGATGCCGCGTATTCTACATGAATATACGGCTTCGAGTAGAGAATTTATGCGCTCGGAAGCTTAAAAAGGAGGGAGATAATGGGCGTATCGAAGCTCAAACGAATAAGGGGTTAAATCGCCACTGACAATATGTAACCAAATGGCGCCATTCACCTTTCGATGACCCATGGCTACGATAATAAGTACAGGTAGTTTGCTAGAAACTGCAACCGAGATACGGAGTTTGGAGTACGTGGCTGAGCCCGATACGTAATCCTAGCAGTCCGTATATAGGCATTGATGACTTTGAAATACGCGTAATCGCCGTATTGGCGTATTGGTTCCTTGACAGCTAAGGTACTACTCCGTTATGGGGACAATAATCGGCTATGGAAAATATGATTTGCCCCACAAACTTGAGTCAGGCTTTTAGCAGTAATCTTAGATGTTGTCGTAATCTCTCTGGCTTTGGACTCAGTCGGACTGGCTTAGTGCTGTTCATCCTCATCAAAGTCTCTCGCAGGGGCCTCGCGGAGGATATGAACCCTCTCCCAAAGTCTGCACACAAACTTGCCCCGATGCCACCAGAGGAGGACATTGTGCAGGCTCCCTCTTTCTTGGCCGACGTCGTTAAATATATCAGTCATAAAGCCACAAAATGGGGATGCGTTCACGATGAGCTCTCTGGTTGAGGCGGTTCTGCAACCCTTCCTCTTTACCCCGTCTGTCACGTCGGCCCATTCTTCACGTGGATCAAAAAAAAAAAGTAGCCGAAGGCACTATTTCAGTATGACTCTACTGCAGATATTTCTCCAACGTCATATTCATTGATATAGAGAATGACTTGGCCATAGCTTCACCATAGAAATAGATTTCACGACGAATTAGTGTTAAGTATTTAAAGCGCCGTAAAGAGGTATATTGGCCTATGAATGCTTCGTAGTATAGCAATATATATGATACATGTATAAAACAGCTAGCATCCGCTCAAAACGTTTGTAAAATGTGATGCGAAATTTGTTCTTCTTCTCCACCAAAACCGGCTCAGCCATGATGTCCATAGAACACAGGGGAAAAAAGGACTAAGAACAACGAGTATATCCGAGAATTCAGCCACAATTCTATCGCTCGTTTGAACTTTGTAAGTCGGGCTCGTCCGCCCAATATCTTGCAACCTTGGAATCCCGGCGGTAGTTGTAAAGCTGAAAGCCGCTGGTAAATGGTTCCTGTCCCTTTAGAAGCATCCCGATTTCTCCGGGGTGCTTCCACAGTAGCCAAACAACCACGATAAACATAGGCAGACTGTCTAAAACATAGAGAAACACCTCGCTTGTCATCAAATATCCGGAATTTCCCTGAGCGTATTCCACAACGCGGTACAGAGATCTGATCATTATCAAGGCGCTGACAAAGTAGAGCGTATGGAGGTAACTTTGCCATCGAATCTCCGGCTTCAGAGAACATACAGTCGGTACTAGTATCATACGCCGGTGGAAGGTTGCAGCAACGATGACGAAAAAGACGAACCACAAGAGCTGCAATACAAGCCCAGCGATGATTATGCCGTTCCCGATGTTGGTCATGGATTGGTTGTCTCGGCTCCCAGCCATGAGACCACCACCTGAATCTCGGTTAGATAATCTTGTGTAAGACACAAAGAGCTTGAAGAGGATGCGAAGAAGGACTCACCTCCTGACTGAAAGAGAAAACACAAAAGATCACCGAGGACGAAAGTTTTCGTAAGCCAGCCCTGCTTGATGATCGAATGTATCTCGCCATCTGTTAATAGGATTATTCTTCCTAGAATCATGTATATGGAGGCCGCAAACAGCGGAGGGCCCAGGAGGATAAACATGTTCTGGATGATGTACGGCATCAGTTTCCAGCAGCCCGGCTCTTCGCTCGCGGAAGCAGCTCGAGCAGCGTAGCCAATGAATTCGACTGACGGAAGAGTTAGCAATGATAACAGTTCGCTAAGAGTTTTTTTTTTGGTTTTGGTTTTGTAAAACACTACATACACAAGCACCCAAACACCAGCGCTGTCAGGAACCAGGTCTTTGTTTTGAACATTTGGAACAGATGCAGGCCTGTTGCGGCTAAGAACAAAAGGCAAAATATAACAGCAGCCGCTACTGATGGCACATATCTGTAGAAAGACCACGTTGCATACAACCAGTCGGGGTTACAGACAATAGCCATTCTGAGAGCGGAAACGTTGTATGGGGTTGGTGGATGGATTTGGATCAGGAGATGGGACGATTAAGAATCATGAATAGAGATTTCACGAGTGTGCTGAAGGTTGGGAGAGTTGATTTATATCTAATTTGAGTCTTATTTCTTTATGCTCCATCATGGCGCAATACGCGGCGACAAAGTGCGCGTGGTAACTGTACGTTATCCCCAAGACAAACATGTATCCCAACCGCAGATACGGCAAGGAGATTACTGACCTAACAATCGCCATTTATTCATAGTGGCGTAGGCAATGTGTGAAACAGTGCGTACATATGACTCCACCCAAGTTCGGGGCTGAAGTACGTGGGAGACAGATCGAATACGCGGAAGAAGAGTTGCATACGCGGGAGGAGGGTGGAATACGCGGAAGAGAGGATGAATACACGGGATAGCAACTCGCCCGTGGTGTGGGTCTAAATGAGCCAAGCACGCGGCTGTCCTTCTAAACATGGTAAACGTGGAACTTCTAAACGTGTTTAGTAGCTTCTGAATGTGAGTTATTTGTTTGGTAAAAGGTTTACAAACATATAATAGTTAATGCTTACTACCTAGTTAGTATTTACTAATTTAATAATAATTTTACAAACTATGGTTTGTCTATGAAGAAACAGGAGGGGAATGAGTTACTAATGCTGTGTTTTAGGCTGGAATGCGTTAAATGGCATTTTGCGATGATTAGCACTGATAAACTGTATGAAGTAATAATGAAACTCGTGATAGTGCCTTGTTAGATATAGACTACATTATAACAACAGGGTATCGTCAAATCTACGGAATACTGTCAGACGATTCTGTTCCCATGCACTTTCCAAAACGCTTCCCACCTCTGCACGGCACCTTTGCCATGCTCCTGTCGAATTTGCTCAAGCCACGCATCGTCCCCATTCTCAGCAAACTGGCAGCTTTGCTCTTTACCCTTTTCGAGCAGAATATCCACAATGTCCCAGTGACCTCTGATGACTGCTGCGTTCAAAGCATTTCTATACTTACCCCCCAATATGCTTATCTGTGCTCCCCTCTCTAGTAGCATGTGAATCGATCTCGTCTGACCGGAAAACGCGGCTGCTTGCAAAGCTGTACCAAAAATTCCGCTCTGGGCATTAACATCGATACTTTGACAATTGTTGGCAGTGAGAAGAGTCATTGCCCCATGACCTAAGGAATCAAGGCTAGTATAAGCAGCAGGTACTTGAAGAAACCTCGGGATCTGTGGTTCCACTGCACATGCTGCTTGTAGTGGAAGGCCATATATGCCACCTGCGAGATTGACATCAGCTCCCAGCTCGAGCAGGAGCTGAATCTTGCTCGCCCATATTGCTTGTAAGGTATCAATATCCCAGCGGTTGTCTTCACCGCATGCCGCATACCACTGCTGCGATAATACAGCATGCAAAGCAGTGGCGTATGGGTAGGTCTCTGGGAGCACAATATTGACTTTGGCACCATGTTCATGTAGAAGCCGTAGTAGCTGGGGGACGTCCTTGCTGGCATAAACTTTTTGAGCGGCAGCATGCCATGCACTCCCGTACTTTCCACCAATTGAATGAATGTTGGCACCACTTTGCAGTAATAGACGTACTGTATCGAAATCATCACGATTAGTAGCACAAGCAGCCTGTAGTGCGGTTCCGTATTTGCCACCCTCAAGATTCACATCGGCTCCATGCTCCAGCAAGAAAAACACAATATCAGCCGGTTTATAAGTACCTGAGGAGTACAAATATTCGAGAACGCAAGCTGCCTGCAAAGCCGTGCCATATTTCCCACCTTGAGCGTTGACATCAACGCCGCGATCAAGCAAGAGCCTCAACATTGGAATGTCGGGCACTTTATAACGATGCCCGCACGCCGCTTGCAATACGGAATCGAAAATACCACATCTGCTGTGGACATCGGCTCCTTGATCAAGCAACAGTTCCGCAAGAGGCAAGTTTCCCATGTAACAAGCAGCATGAAGAATGCTACCATATTCCCCCAACTGAGCCCACGTATTAATATCGGCGCCATTTCCCAAGAGTAACTTCATCGCGGATAAGCCGAAGAAAAACTCGTGTGCTCGAAATGCATTTCCATATTTTTCTCTGAAAATATTCACATCTGCACCTCTTTCAATAAGAAGTTGGGCTATTCGTTGCATGTAGCCATATTCTCCAAAGAAATTGTTTGTGCATGCCACATACAGAGGGGTACCAGAAGTCTCGGTTGAGGAATTCGGGTCTGCGCCAAGATCGAGTAAACGTTTTATCCGCTCTAGGGCACAATCTAATGACTTTGTCTTATCCCTAAGTGTATGTAGCGACATCAGCCCGTGAAGGGGATATCCCGATTTTCCACGAATGTTGACATCTGCGCCTTTGTCGAGCAACAAGTCAAATTCATCCCAATATCCACCGCAACCTGCAGAGTAAAGTGCAGACGAATAGTCATCAACGATATTGACATCAGCTCCATGTTGGAGAAGATATTTGAAACATTTGGCATGTTTCAGAGTCTTCGAAAGGATACAATGCGTCGTATCTGGCGTGTGGTTTATTTTAGCCCCACGACTTATTAGGAGTTCAATGGTATCAAGGTGCCCATTTTGACCTGCAATTTGCAAAGGTGTTGACATCCACCGCAAGTCCTCATAATGACCCTCTGACTCAATATCAGCTCCTTTTTCCAGGAGGAGATTCACAATAGCTATATGTCCCGCAGATGCAGCAGCCCATAGTGCATTACCGAATGGCAACCCTTTTGCGTTCACACTGGCACCCTCGTGTAATAGTTTTTCAACGATTACTTTGCTTCCTCCATATGCCGCATCTTGGAGCGCCATGTCTAGATCTTCTTGGATTCGATACCGATTAACACCAGAATCTTGCGGAAGAAGCAAATTTGTCAATTGGAGAAACCCCCGCCGGGCAGTGTAGAAATGCGGTCGTAGTAGCATGCGTCCAACATCGATTGGCCCATATATTATATCTTTTCCCAAGGCCGCGGAAATCATCCTTTGGAAACTATAGTTTCGCGCTGATAATGCATTTAGGGCATCTTCAGTTGTTGCGGTAGGCCAAGAATCGTAAGGAATCATTTCAAGGTGCATCGGCCAGTTCACACTTGCGTAGTAGCGTAGTCTCCTGCCATGCTCTGCAAGATGGTCGTAATGTGAAGAACTCAATAGCTTATGGTAAGCTAAACACGAGCGTGCGATCCAAAGGTGGGCGTCAATATCGGCGAATGAAAAAGATGACATGGGCCCTTCGCGCATTCGATCGGATGTCAAATATTCTTTGATAGAAAAGTGCGCCAAGCGAACTTTCACCTCTCCCGGTAAATATGAAAAGTCTTGATAAAAGGCGTCTTGTACATGGCCTCTCGCTCTTTCATTCCCAGGCATGACTTTGTGTGTGATAACGAGTCCTGGAAGATATTTCAAGACGTCGTCCGAAGTGAACAGCTGATCTTCAACGGTCAGAACAGCATCACATTCTGGGCGTAAAATAAAGATGTCTGCAAGCATGTCAAGGGTTAAGATGCCATTTGAAAAGCAGAGCCACTTCAGTAGACTCATAACTTCCCGGCGGAAATTGGGCTGTATACTCTGAAACATCCGGTTATACGTCTCATCTAGGCCGGTAGGGAGATTTTTCAGGGCCTCTTTAACTCTGAACATCGAATTTAATCCCCGTAGTTCTTGAAACTGACAGCGGACGTATTGGAACCTAAGATTATGTTAATCTAAAAACAATGCATAGATTTGAATCCGAACCTGTAGGATTACTCACATGCCGTCCGATTTCTCTATGAGAACTTTCTTTGCTTGAAGTTTAACTTCATCGGGCCAAGAATTAAATTCTTCATCTGAAGAGAGAGCGGAATCTACATATTTCCCAATGTCCTGGTCAATCATATTTCGACTAGACAATAAATCAAGTTCGATTCCTGTTGATGCGGAGAGTGCGGGTAATAGTGCAACCCGAATATCTGGTTCGCTACGGCTTGTGCACAGTATGTGGAGATTTTCCAGCGCATTTGTTGAAAGATTCCGCAGAGATTTCAGTAACTTTCTTCGATATCCACCGAGTTTGGCGCATTCATCAAGCCCGTCAATAATAATGTATACGGCTGAAAAGCCGTATAGACTCGATCGTAGCACCTCCTCTAGTCTTTCGGTGTCTGGACGACCGCCTTTATTTTTGAAGTCGGCTAACCTTTGTGCTGCTTCTGGTATATCTGGTCGGCAGCAGCATATTTGCTTGATGAGTGATGACAACATCACATTGACGTTCTGCTCAGTTGAAAGACTAAAAGAAAAATAGAAATAAGCCACCGCAGTGGTTGGACTCTGAAGGCATCCAGTCTCCAGATATTTAATAATCGTTGAGCTTAGAACTGATTTCCCGCACCCGGCTATGTCTGTTAGTGAGAGAGTTTAGAAGATTAGATTTCAGATGTACCTTTGCCATGAATCCACAGAAAAGAACTGGTGTTTTCTTTCCATGCTCTGAACTCTGAACTCTCCTGAATTAGCCATTCACCTGTGCCATTCTCATGCATGTCGCGGTTAGTATTGTAAAATGCTGTTGGGTCCGCATTTGATAGCCAGCTGAGAAGGTCTTGGCGACTCTGCTGTGCGTTGGCATCTTGGATGACTTTCTGGAGGCTGGAAATGGAGATATTGGTTATTCCCCAGTTCTGCATTATTTCCTGGTGCCGACTTTTGGCTATAGCACATTCCTCGTCATATTGCACATCGCGCCAAATCTCGCTGACTTGGATGAAAGCTTGGTTTTTCTCATGCACCTTGTCCATGAGAGCATCCCAATCATTCCACTTAACGATATCAAGACCGAGACGAAAAGCTCCATTATTCGCATAGTAGCAATAGCTCGTCATCTGAAATCTTAAAATTTCTCTGTATAGTGCTTCCAAGGTCTTCTTGTAATCGTCGTGAACTGTTTCAGAACCACTAATGGGGTCGCGGGACTCATAACGGCGATAATAAAGCTCCTCTCGCATACGGCTTTGCACAATGAGCGAAGCAATATTTTCCAACCCTTTCGAAAGAGATGCTGCTTGAGTGCTTGGGCGAAGGAAAAGCTAGGTATCATGATCAGCATCATCAGCTTCATGACCTCTGTTTTGCATAGGTATGTAGAGAGAAAAACTCACAGGCAATAATATGCTTACACCTGCCCATGCAATTGATGCATACATATTGGTATCTAGAGATGTCGTAATATAGTCGTTTGCGTGGCCGATGATGGCCAGCATAGGTGGCAAGAGATCCCTCATCTGGATTTCTGCACCGCCGAACTTGAGTTTCCAAGCGTCTTGAGTAACTTCATCCATCTTTTTCCTCAATATGGTGTCCATTTGTTCTCGCACATTTTCCTTGACGCCCAATGGTAGTGTTAAGGCGGCTGACACAATCCCTTGAAGTTTTCTCTCATAGTTTTTAACGAGTGTTGAATCCTCCATTTTAAGCTTCTCATATGCTAAGCTCCAGAGTTCTTTGATAGGAGCATGTTTGGGATTGCCTTCGAATCTCGATACTGAAGACCTTGGCAGGCTTGAAGAGCTTTGAGCTGGTTCGGGTGATGCAGAACTTGATAATATGGGCGATGGAATCGCATGATCAATGCTGCTATTGATGAACGCCACCGTGGGCATTGCTTCAACACCATCTTGACTGGCCTCTCCACTTTCATCATTTTGTTTCTTTTTCTTGCTCTTGAAGACCCTTTTGAACTTCCCCTCCAACCTTTGTTTCAAATCTACCGGTGTGAACCTATTTGTCATTATAAAGAGCGCCGCACAAAACTTGTTGATTCAGTAGACGTAAGTACAGGTGCAAAAATCATCAGAGAAATCAATTCGATCATCAATGATCGAGATCAAGTTGAACACACAGGTATCCTAGGTGCCTAACGTCAAATGTAGGGCTGCCCAAACTGCAAGGCTGCCTAAGGCGATAACACAGTGTTCGGTGTAACCACCCCATCAAGGCTACGAAGCGGATAGGTACATGGATTTATCAATTTCTGATGACATCGAGCGCACAGTGGTGATTTCACTGGTGCGACGACTGATGGCAATTGTAATCCTGCTGATGGAGGTACGGCATGCAACAGTCGAAGTAACTTTTGGTGCGGAGCTATGGCTTCATATATACTAGAAACGAAATATAACATACAAGCACCAATTCGGAACATGCTGCTCAGTGAACAGCCAGTCCGATTCTATCTCAGCATACTGAGGTGCTGGGAGCTGGTCTTCTCGTACTTGTACATCATCAGTAATGCCCTTGATCCCAATCGCCTCTACGGATCATCTGAGCTGAGTAATTACACCTATACCGGCTCACAGTTGGGAGAAGCTGCAATAGACGAGTGATGTTGTCTCAATACTTCAAATTATTGCACGAATGTGAATTGACGAACCGCTTATTCTAAGTCGTGGCCGCCTTATTAGAGGTAAGTATAACGAATTGAGCCGTAGGAGGTATAGAAAAATAGCGGTTGCGCAATATTATTGCGGCTTCGAACGCATGAAATCACCAAGTCATTGGTAGTTGATAGTCCTGCCAATGATCTTCTGTGTCAGCCTCCCTCCATTTTTCTATCCCACCAGCTACACCACCAACATCGACTGCCCACTTTCCTTTTTCTACCATATCTGCCCAGTGCCACAGCACATGCTTTAATTGCACATCGTGTGTCTGAATGAAATGGTTAAATCCTTGTTGGTATAATTGTGTGCTGCGTGGCACTGGGCTCGCTGTTGGTGCTTTGGCCTGCGTATTCTCTCCAAATAATGCGCCATCGCTTGTCCGAGCCCAGCCATTTCCTCCGATAGCATAAGGGAGGATAAGCTTGCACCCGTCTTCAAAGGGATTTGCGCCGTGCGGGTCCGCCTCTGTGAGATAAACCCCGGCAGGATAGTTTGTTATTCCTACAAAAGGTTGCGGGAATTGTGTCATGGGGCTTCTTCTCCCCATGGCGTTCGTTCCATATCTCGATGAGCCACCTGGTTGCTCTTAAACAGAAGAATAGGCATTATCTTCCCTTCTTCAACCTCTATTGGAGAAAATGGCTGCTGGCGGGCTATACAAAGGCCAGGTGCGATCTGGCTAAATCGAGGTTCTGGAGCCCGCGCGAGGAATTGGCTTGCGAAGCTGTTTGGGGAGAGCTCGCTGGACCTAATCGCATCTCCAAGGCGATGCGTTTCATAACTCGGAATTGCAGGCAAGCGAATTTCGACCGCACGTATCAGTCGGCTGAAGGCTTCAAGAGTCTGGTCCAAGTCACAGACCGTGTAGGAGGGCATAATCCAAGACCCGATCCTTTCTTGCCCCCCATCATAGGAAGAGTCCACCGCAAGCGCTTTGCCTTGGTCTATCATGTCGAGGAAAGCTTCAAGGATGAGTTCGAGGGATAACCAGATCTGTCGACCGTTCATTGTGATACTTGTGTCATGGATAGACATGTGTTGCATTGCCGTAGAGGTCTTCTGATCAAAAACGAGACCTAGTGGATGACTTGCGCCCAGCGCCCAATTTGCCATGTAGAGTGTCACATAACGCGCTTTGTTCGAGTCATCCTCATCGTCTCCATAGTGGGCGTTCTCCCAAAGATCATCTGGTGAGCAAAGTCCGGCAAGGTACCTGAAGAACGCGTGTTGTGGTTGTGCCGTTATTGCGTAGCCATGCCACGCTGTTTTTAGAAACGCAATCACAGAAGGGCTCAATTTCGCAGCGAATGGTGACAGTTCCGCGTCCCCGCCATAACACTCCCACCACGACCGAGGGTCAAGATCGCTCAAGCTGCGGCCGCTTGCAGTCCATCCTCGTTCAATGATGAGATTGTGTAGAGCGGCACATCGTTCATGGTCAAGCCCCTCGATTTCACGGAGTGGATGCTCAGCTGTTACTCTCCATTGTGACATAGTTGTAGTGAGACCATGTCAGGACTGTGTCAGAACCTTGTCACAGCTAATGCGTCTGTCCGATAGCGTTGCATTGAAGTAGAGCGACCATCTTCTTGTGACTGATTCGTCGGTCCGCATATAGTTCCGATTACCACCGTTGCCTTGCTGCAACCACTAGGCCTAGAAATCTGGTTGGAGATGACCAAAAGATCCTTGGATTCATAGATCAGATTGGCGTAAGAATGGTGTGGTAGGCGGAGTATTATACCCGCCCAGCCTGTGGGCCGGAGTTTTATAGCGCAGCGCAGAACTTGCTTCTCTTCTTCTTTTGCAGGTTGGAGGAGATTCATCGCAGAGAGTTGAACATCATTCACCAACTACATGTAAGTATAGACTACAAGTTGCTATCAACTAAGAGGGATGTAATCACATATGTAACATACGTGTAATCTATAATGTATCGATGCTGATCCCATTCCAGGACGGAGATAGAGCTGTATGCTTGCACTGTACTGGATTATATCTGGATTGCCCCGCGCCGACGGGCCGACATCAGCTAAGCCGAAGCGCCGCGTTGCAACAAGGAGATCCTGGAGGAACAAGGATAAGACGTGACAAACTCCTCGTTCAATCTTTGTTTGACTCATTCCCTACCGAGATTGACGTCCACAGCCGCGCCAAGCCTTGTACGAGAAGGTTTATCATCATGTAAGGCAGGCTATGAGTCAATACTTCATGTATTTGCCCTGCAGAATTCACGTACTACAGTTACATGCCTTGTAGTCTGCAGGATGACGCTGGTTGTGTGAGGTCCATATTATTCCAGCTGTGGGGAGAATGTTGTGTTCAGAACTAGCGATCCAATAGAATATTCTACTTACCTCCCTAATTTTGTTCCCTGCGAGACAGGATAGTACCAACACTTTGCCACCAAATCTATTTAATCGGACACATCTCGACCTTCGGTTAAACAAAACAAGAAACTTCAATTCACTTACAAACATCACGGCATCTCCTAACCTACCTAGTCATCATTTGCCATGGCGACAACCGCGAACTCTGCATCCCCGGGCACCATTGTCTTTTATGACATCGGCCATAGGCCTCCCGTAACTGAATCCTGCTGCTCGCCGAACCCCTGGAAGAGTCGCCTTGCGCTCAACTTCAAGGCCGTTCCATACTCGACGTCATGGGTGGGCATGCCCGACATCGCCAAAGTGCGTCGCGGTCTGGGCGAGAGTGCCGGTCGCAAGTTTGCCGACGGCACTGATTTCTACACCCTGCCTATGATCCACGATGATGCCACTGGGTCTACAATCAGCGACTCTTTCGACATCGCTGTCTACTTACAGCGTACATATCCCGACTTGGGCGCTGGCGATTTATTTCCGAGACAAACTCTCGACTTCACTTTCACGCCTCCCTTTGACCTGGCTGTGCCACTGTCGGAACGCGGAGATGGTGGCTTTCCTGAATATTATCGCTTCAATACAAATGTGGATGCGGTATTCACCACCCATACTCTGCTCATGGTGAGCGGCATGCCTCTTGACCCGGCGACGATTGAGCAAACCAAGGCTGAATTTGTCCGCCGTGCTGGCGTCCGCTCTTGGGATGATTTCACCTTGACGAGCGAGGCGCGCGAGAAGCTCATGGAATCCTTACAGGTGGCGCTGGGAGACTTGGCCAAGTTGTTTCTTGAAAATGCTGGAGGCCCTTTTCTGCTGGGGCAACGGGCTAGCTATGCGGACTTGATTGTCGGTGCCTGGTTGCGAATGGCATACGTATGTTTGCCCAAGTCCGAATGGGAGGAAGTGAGATGCTGGCACGATGGCGTTTTTGGTCGGCTGCACGACGCACTAGATACGTTCGCCGAAGTGAAATAAGGCCTTTCAGATTAGGTACAGATAGGACTGTAGAGAGTCAACTTGATAGGAATTAAACCATAATATTGTATAGGTCATATATTGACAACCCGCCGTGCCGCAAACCTTGAATGCGTTTGTCCGAATCAGCTACACTAAATCTCCAGATAAAGGAGAGAAGTGGAATCTCAACATTTAACATTCAGTTTGTTGAAACGATTAAGATCAGTAGGCTTTTACAAAAGGGTTTACATGATGAACAATTACCAGTCCTGCCTAAGGCTGTCCCCTTTCAAATCCGGGAGATGACGAAAAATCCATAGGTTAAATTTAGAACTATATATCTAAAACCCATGGAGTACGGAGAAAAATAATCCAGGTCCAATTCATTCCTACCAGTAGCCTTTGAAAACATCTTCACGTGGTTTTAATAGCCGAGAGGAGAACTCGTCACAATCCCAATTTTCGAGCTTCATGTTGCTAGTGCAGGTACGCGCCTCGAATTAGATACCGCCCGACCAGTCGATCGGCTCGATGTCAACATGGATCACTAGTGAGTCAGAAGAGATAAAAGAGAACATATTAAGCTCTCGTTACGACTTTGAAGCAATAATATGGCTTAGATAGGCAGCCGTGTGGTATGCAGAGTAAAATTTGATAATATATGCGATCGGAAATACACTACTATGCATGATGCTTCATCCCTAATACAGCAGGTAGATGTTGATCGTTTCGGATCTGCTAGGATATGTAGCATATGGGATACATGTTGTTCATACTATAAATTTAAAGTTATTCTAATTCTATAGTAATTAATGCAATGCGTGGTATGATAGTTAGGCATGCTGATATGCTTATATGCTGTGGTTGTAGGTGTGAACTTCACGAGGCACCTAATGATTCCATTTAGAACATCTCACTTCAGAGAAAATGGGGCATATAGGTCCGGTGTTTTTGCTTTTATAGTGAATGGAGATTATATGACGTTTCTTTGAGCGAGCTATACTATATTCTTTCCTCTGCGGGTTCTGCGATGGTTCTGTTGTACACATCATCTTAACTGAGGCCTTCTCTGTCCATCCTCAGCCGATCCAAGTCTAACCACATGAGAAAATCCGAAGCATTCGGCCTTCGATTAGAGCTACAGATTATGTTAGCCAACGTCTAATGAGCAATCATGGTTTTCATACACAGTAGTAGACGCTTCGGCAGATGTTACCATCGCCGCCCCAAAGTTGTCGGTTGTTATCTTTATAACAGTTGAAAAATCTCTCTCTATTTTCACCTTGTCCAGCATATTGGCCAGTAGCCAAGTTCTGTGCTCCAGCATTGATGTTGCTAGTAAACCTGTCACCACTGGGGAAGTTGCCGCTGCGAACGGTGCCCTCCCAAGTAACCACGTCTCCACATCCAAAGCCTTCTACGCATGCTTGATTGTTAGCAGCAGGGAATTCAGTGCCGCTTGGGTCACCATCCGCATAGTAGAAGAAAGCACTGTGCAGCTGGCCATTGGAAGTATACTGGCAATTCGAAAGGAAAACCTGCTCAGATGCTGCCACAGACAACACCAGGCAGGACAGGGACAGAAGTGATTTATAAAGCATGTTGAAGATGAGCTTACAGCTAATAGGTGAAATAGCCTTAGATGTAAGTATTCGAGTATAACGATGATAAAGGTGAAGAATTGGGTATCTTTATATAGCTTTGAGCCCTCGCGGCCGAGCCCCTGTCCTCGCCCAATTAACGGGTGGCAAGCTCTTCTCAAAAGAGGCAATGGTACAAATCACATACCAATGATTAAGGCTTTGCAAATCATCAACTTCTCCCACACATCATGCAACTGCTGTTAGAATCTTACACAGAGCTAGCTTGAGTTACTAGTTTTCACTCCTGCGTTTCTCCTATAGGTGGTTTTTTTGAATAAGAGTGTTGAATAGTGGATCAAACAATACAGATTGCATCAGCAAACAGCAGATATTGCATCAGCAAAGCCCCATTCACACTAACCATATATACTATAGATGATTATTTGTTTATATATAGTGTAAAATAATTCGGTTGATTCCAGGAAACTTTACAAGGTATGTGGAATTATTGCTTACTGGTGGAGGCATAATACAGTTCTTTTTCCTTGGATTGCGCGCGCACTATTGATGATTTATCACATTTGCAATGCTGATAAACAATTGAGTTATAGTCATACAACGCAATCAGCATTTAATGCTAGATAAGCGTGATAATGGCCATATAGTATTATAACTTCTCAGACGCTGTTAAGAATATTAATTCGAGACAGTCTGCTGCACTCCGCCTTGACCGCCCCAGCCTTCCACAGCCAAAACCTGGTAATTCATGGTACCTAAATTCATTCCTAAAGATTTCCATGCATTGAAGTGATTTGCAACAGTGACTGTGCCACTAGACCTTTTGGAGTTTCTCACGGAGATGTACTGGTTAAAGGTCGCTGTGCCCTGGATGGAAGGCTCATTGACACGCGTGTTCTCCCAGATCGTGTAGCTTGATCCGTCACTGGTGACACTACCCTTCACCGTGCCGGCGGAAGGATAGGCAAAGTTGTCTTCCATGATGTAGTATTCAACAAGAGGGTTGGTGCTCCAGCCATAGACAGAGAGTAGGCCAACTCCGCTACCGACTCCAAAGTTACCGTTAAACTTGATAGGGCTAATGAATTTCAGCATTAGCAAAGGAACGAGAAAGAAAGATTAGTGGATCTTACGCAGATCCTCCAGTGCTCCAACCAACTCCTACGACGAAGTCGTTTGGAAAGGACCAGTTAACCGCAAACCCTGTGTTTGAGTGGGTGTAGACAACGTCGCCGCCAGTTGTGTAGTCTTGGTTATAGTTTATGGCAGAGCGGCGAACGGCATTATGTCCTCCCAGAACGAAATCGCTGGGTCCACGTTCAGTTATGTTAACGTTGAGAGATTCATCCAAGGGAGCTGCCAAGGAGCTGCCGATGCCAACTAAGGCAACCAAAAGTGATGAGAAATTAACCATGATGAAGATGTTCTTTGTGAAAGCGGTGATAAGATGATAAGATGCTGTTAATATAGATTCAAGATCGATCAGTTTGTGCTTATATACATCCCGCACCAACCGAATTATTTGGAGTATCTTCACATCAACTAACATTGAGTTGAAGGTTCATCATCACCTACTTTTAGATTTTGCCTAAAAGCGGCATATGCCTGGTCTTCGGCACTTGCGTGCCGATAGAAATTAACAGCCATCCATTTTAACGGGACTGATCTTGGAATTTGGAAGGTGATGCATTACGCCAATACTGTTTCATTGGCGCGGCAAGCAGATCTGGGTCTGGGGTGCATCCGGATGAGTATACGATTTAGCCTGCTAATCACAATGATCTATTTTCGGGGCTGCGGGAGAGGTAGCATTCCAGAGATTCGATATCTACAGAACTACTTGCATGAGAGACTCTTAACTTGAATACGAAGACAAGTTAGACATATAATTACGTTTGTATTTTGCGTTGCGGGGTGTTAGCTTCGGATAAGCATCAAGCTTCGTGCTCTGTTATTTGATACCTGTAGCACTAGGTATAAAGGGACATACTGTTAGCATGATCAAACAGTCACCGAACGTAGAAATTGATACAATTTGTGACCGGGCAACCTTACTTGCGCACATTCCGCTTTATCTTCCTACATTTGCCCTTCTTTAATTTTCAGTAGCCAGTTTTGAGCCAGACATGTGCATCTTTTACATTTGCCAAACTTGTATAACAATTGATAATCCAGATGTAGTAGTTGTAACAAAATGATTGGCACCGGATAGAACGGCAACAATTTGATTTCCATTTTTCTGTTGCATTTTTGCCTTCTAAACTGAAGCTTTTAAGGCTCTTTCAACTTAAGCTTAACATAATTTCTTACCCCGCGCGTTGCTGTCTAGAAGAAGCAACTCCAGATTACAAAATATATGCTCCGTATTACTGATGTTTTGCAGTTAAACGTAACGCTTGCAAGCACAAGACTGCATTTGCCTAAATGGAAAGATATTATCCGGCTATGCAGATACTGAACTGCCAGATTTATCCGTCCATCGCTTTGTATTACCTTAGCTACGCCATACATTCAAAAGGGACCAGATCCAGTTTTACATTCTTCTTCGATAAATCTTATTGTAACTTTGGCTTTCTATCTACCTTCTTGTGTAGATATGCCGCGAATTTGCCACGGTATATAAACAAAGGAGATCCATGTTCGATTATGCTCCGCAGGCTATCATGAGAAAGCTGAATCCAGAAATGTTGTCATATTTGAGGATCTTTGAACGCGTGCGTATATGTATATGAATCATCTAACTTGTGTAGTTGACAACTTCGATTCGATGCGTAAATAATATATATGATATGCCATATTATTAATAGATAATCATGCATGAAACATCACCATTTCGGATCTCTTTAACTAGACCGCGATCGCAAAGCTAAGGCCGTACGATCAGCTTTACATAAAATCTATCCTGGCTCTCAAGAAATTGCTAAATTTCCAAATCCTTTGCAAACCTCGGCAGTTCTGTTTGGGAATAAACCTTATTAAGACCAGAAATCGGTAAAGTGTTATATTAACAGAACCCCGATGAGGATGAAGTGCAGCACCATCGTCGCATTCAGCGTTCAGGACCATTCATCTCATCATATGGTAAGACCTAGGAAGTGACAGTGTAAGCACCAAGCTTAGTCCTGAAATCCTCGAGCCTGATAATAAAGTAAAAGATGAGATGATGAGCTGACAGCGTGATTGGCGGTTTCCACTCCCGGCAACGTCTCTGTAAGCCAGCGTATACTCTGTACATTATTGTCCGATGAACCATTGTCCTGTCTACAATGTCCTGATTGCTGAGGATCCGTGGCGAGTGAGTTAAGCCGCAGCCCATAAGCGTCAGGTATGTCATGATATGAGTGCAATGTACCGTTATCTCTCTGTACATCTCAGCATGAAAACGTCCAGCTATGCTTAGTTTCCACCAGTTCCACTCTATACACGAGTTTGTAAACGACATAGTACGCGCCATTTCACCAAAATTCTTACACCGAGCGTTTAAATGGAAATAGGTAGACGATGTCTTCGAGTTGATATTTCCTCCGGTATCCTCAGCCTGCGATCTTATAGTGCATGTGATAACGCTTAAATAGCTGATAAGAAGATGCATCATCGCAGTCAGATCCTGCCAAAGCTAGGGTTGATCGGCTAGTAAACGATGTGTAAGACTATTAAGATGCTTTGTTTTGGCATTTCATACGGTGTCTTATTGTCCATCGAACATACATCTCAATGACGTATATATCACGATGGTTACATGACGACGACATTCCATCAGATTACTAGGAATAGTGTTAAAGTTCTTGAGGCATGTAATTCCTTCAACGTGCCTAATACGGCCGGAATATGGATTTCATGCGGCCACTAGTGTTCACATAAAGAGGGACGGTCATCATGAGAATATGCATGAATAATACCAGATAGGTTAAGATAATACTAGTAGGATGTAGGGAGATGGATTCCTGGGGACTGTGAAACTTGTGAAAGGCAAAAGGTTAGGCCAGGATTAGATAACAAGTGAGGGAGCTAGTCGTAATTTGGTCTCTATAAATGATCGGAAGCTGAGTCGACACATGAGACATCTCGAATTTTGACAATCTATATAGCAGAACCGACAAGGGACGCGAGTGATAGATAAAGCTCTAGCAATATTGATCATTGCACAAAGTGCCACTAGACAAATCACGCTAAATTTCATATCCATTTAAATAAGAGGCGTTATATCATCGAATGGGCAGCCGTGGAGATGAAGTTTGCATGACCCTGAATAAGCCCTAGCGATCCTGTTCGCGACGCCACCAATCACATAGTGTTAATTACAGCTTGCAGACTGAAAGAAGTATAACAACAAACTTATAGCTTCATATCTTCTTGGCTAAGCTTTGTAAGGAGTCCTAACTTTAGCATTCGGGCTTTGTGAGGGATGCCAAGTCACCATTTGGAACATTAACTTTCATCGCGCTTATATGCCTCCTCGCATACGAGTACCTAATACGGGCATTTATTCGAGCTCTCTCTTAAAATCGCAGCGCCGCTCTTTTTCCTTTCTCTGTCTTCTTTAACACCTGCTTGGATTTCCTCAGAAATCATCTCATCTTGTCTAATTCCAGCCGCACAAATATATAGCCCCTTCACCATGAGGTATGAGCTCCTAGGTGTCGCCTCGGCATCGGCCGGCGTTCTATCGCATCTTCTCTACTTCATCCATGGCCATAAGGCCATGCAAGCGCCAAGAATTTTCGCCTTCTACTTGATGGCAGAATGTTTACTATGGGTACGATGCTTCTATCTACAGGGCGCATTTCAAGGGGCTCTCAGGGCTACCACGATATCTTTGTTCTACTTCCTAGGCCTCTTTACTAGCATCGCAGTATATCGCCTCTTCTTCCATCGCTTAAGGCGTTTTCCTGGACCGCTTGCAGCGAAGCTCACCAAGTTCTATGGGCCCTACACGGCTCGGAGCGGCAAATCACATATTAACTTCATCAAACTCTTCGAGAAATACGGAGATGTCGTCCGAACTGGTAAGCTGCCGGCCAACGATTGACATTGAAGTGAGGGTATTGACTTGTCTATTTTTATTGTCAGCTCCAAATGAGCTCATAGTGCGATCAACGGACGCTCAACAGAAAGTCTTTGGGGCTGGTACCCGATGCTCGAAAGAAAACACTCCTTATGAATCCGTGGACTACAAAGGCTTCCAAAATTTGGAGGCTATGACAAATCGCGAGGAACACCGCAAGAGACGACAAATCTGGGACAAAGCTTTTTCTACAAAGGGTAGGTTACATCTCTTTAACGCCTACTATTCTAGAAGCTTAGATGGTAATAGCCATGGAATCCTACGAAACCTACGCTCGCGAAGTAGTATATGAATGGCTGGGAAAGCTGGCAACTCTGCAGGGTCAACCAGTTAATACTTCATTGTATTCCCTCTTGATCCCTTTCGAAAACATGGGTCGCATGGGCTTTTCCATTAATTTTGGATCCATCCAAAAGGGCAAAGAGGACATTATGTTGCACTATCTTGAAGAAACTCTTGGTATGATCGCAAAACTCGGCACCATGTGGTGGCCGATTGCTTTAATCAACGCGTTGGGAGGCAGTGGCGATCACATTGAATTCGAAAAGCTGGCCTGTAGGGTGGTCGACCAGAGAGAAAAGGTAGGTGTTGCGATATGCAATCTCTACATCAGAATCTTCGTAACTGGATCTGCTGACGTTCTTATAGCAACCCGATGATGAGAATGAGGACATAATGAAATATATTCTCCAAGACCATCACGCAAAAGTCCCAAAGGGTTTCCACCATCACGATATTCTATACTCAGACGCTCAAGTCATTTTGGTCGCAGGGACTGACACTATGGGGGCAGCTTTATCATTTGCTTTCTACCATATAGCCCGCGATCCCGCTGTACGACAGAAATTGCTCGCAGAACTTGAGCCTCTCTATGGACGCACGTTAACCGGAGAATTTACCAACCTTGACTTGATTGATGCTGAAGCACCGTATCTAAACGCGATTATCAATGAGACAATGAGATTGGACAATCCGACTTGCTCTAATGGTGGTCGAATCACGCCACCTGAAGGGCTCGAGGTTGACGGTATCTTTATTCCTGGCGGGGTGGTGGTCTATACACCAACATATGCTATACAACGAAGTGAGTACCTTTACGAATACAAATACATCACTCTTGATATTCTTTTGGTGTCGAACTTTTGGTAGATGCCTTCTAACCACTTCAATCATGATAGGCGCAAAGTACTTCAAAGACCCAGACAGTTTTATTCCAGAACGTTGGACTACACGACCTGATCTAATTATGGATAGGCGGGCATACCTTCCCTTCTCTCTCGGTTCTCACAGTTGTGTGGGAAAAAGGGTTGCTATTCTTGTGCTACGCTTGGTTTTGGCATATACGGTCTGGTACTATGACTTTGAGTTTGCTCCCGGTGAAGATGGGCTCGCCATCCACCGAGATTCGATTGATGCTTCTATTTTGAAGCCGGGCAAGCTGGAATGCGTCTTTGCCCAAAGGACTTGAGTCGGGGTATGAGTGTAAGCACCATAGCATTTCTTGTCAAGCTCCATGAATTTCTACTGATATCGGGCAGATGTAAATTGATGACATGCCTGTTGAAAAAAAGGGTTCATATGAATATGCGCAGTCACTCTAAATGCTACCTGGCATAGTTATGCTATGACAAGAGTAGATATTCCCTAGCCAAGCAAGATTGATGAACAAAGACGGCGCGGAAGCAAATAATCAGCCGGGGCGAGATCCGAATCTTCAGAATTGCATGCAGGGTTCAAAAGTTTCTTTCCGATGAGCTAGTAATCAATCTCAGACGTACAGTAAGAATATGATATCAACGGCTAGATTCCGGATGGTTGTGATTGTAATCTCGCGAAAGAATATAGCGCATGTGCGGCGCTTATTAGTGCTTAGTCCATCACAAGGGCATTGCCTGATCGCTTTCAACGCATGGAGCGGTTCCCATCAACCCACGTAATACGAGTACGGCTGTAAAGGGATTTAGCGACTCTGAGTATTGTGGTTCTCTAATATCGTTATAGATAAAGAACCGTTGGTTACGGAGTGTCTATGAACGTACTACGTGGCTTTCCCGTAACCCGAGTGGACTAGAAACGATGCCTACCTCCCACTTTGTTTCCGCCGCCACAAGTTGCGTAAGAGTACTCACACCGGCTACATGTACTCAGCGCTTGTGTGTGAGCGTCAGAGCTTGATGGCGTAGCCAAGACCCGGAGTACTACAGATTGGATCAGGTTTCCGAGGCTACCTCCATGGCGTCACCCGTTAGGTCTTTGGAGCTGTCGATCCCCTAAACAAGCTGGTACTGACTACAGGTAATCTTTCCACTGTCCAATAATACCTTTGTAGCACAGCATAGATGTTGATGATACCGATATTGAGAAGAAAAGAGGCGAGGAAGTCGACAAAACGGATTGAGCGTCGTAAATTGGCAACAAGAGATCAAGACTATATTATCCTATTTCGGCTCCATCGTCACCTCATCATTTTGAAGCGATGTTTCTCCAGTGTTACTTCAATGCAGTCGAAAGAGACTAAAGATCAGGCATGCTGAGACTCGCGAAAACCAACCTTTAAGGATGCGGGTACTGCAGAAGAAGCAGCTACATCATATCCTGAATGGGCCAATTGTCTTTTCCGTGATTATTTATTCGTCCTGGTGGCCATGGATGATTCAGAACGCATATCGATGAGAACTGGTGATACATGGTAGCATACCGCACTTTTCTATTTTAGGGTCGTTGATCCCTTGTCAGGGAAGCACAGCAACTCTGAGCTTGTTCGGATGGGACCAATTTCCCTTTAGAGTAGGTAATAAAGCGATTACTTCTCCAACCCATCAGACTGGACGCAGCGCTCCCTTCCAAAGTAAGAATGATAGCTGAATCTGGCATCACGCCGACGACGGCATCAAGCATGGCAACCGGCGTCTGTGGAACAAGGGTCCAGCCTCGTGGGAATCTCGCAGCTGCAACGCGAATACGTAAATATTTAGATCCATTATCTATGGCCAACAAAGACACGACAGAGCTTGCTGTTGATGAGATGGAGTGGGCCGTCGCCATCAGCCTTACGGGTAGGCCATTGTGCGGCTTATAGTATATGGCTGGCCGGTGATCGGAAATCTGCCGGGCTTGTTCGCTCTGTTCTCCGTATCAGCATAACTCACAAGCGGCAATCGTGTTTTGTATAGAATACGGATGTCGCTCCGCAGTGGAGCGAAAGATTCGCCTCAGCCACGCGCGAAGGGCGAATTCTTGAGCTTGTCAGACACAAGACCGATCCGGAGACTCGGATCACTGAACAAAATATCCCAACGCCGAGAATCGGAGTTCCAGGCATACCTTGTCGCTCCGATTTTATAATCCTCATGCTGGTCCATGTTGAACCGGGTAATAGGGGATTTCCTCTGAAACGCCAAATAAATAGCGGTATCAAAGGAGGTGAGTACATACGCGACGTTGGATTTGTTGCGGCAAGGCCGAGTCGGTATCGCCTAAAGACGATGGTGATGGAATTAGTCATCGTAGTAAACATTATGAAGCAGCAGTGGCTCTATTCTAAAAGATGGCAATCAGGGGCGACTTTGTGCATGCTGTACGGAGTAGATCTGCTAAATTTTGGCTGAGTTGCGGGCCGCCGTGTTTCGAAACGGGCGATAGTAAGTCGACTGGCGACTACGGAACTCAAGAAACTAAAAGATCATTGAAGCCAATAGCGCAGGTAATTGCCAGCATATGGAATACATAACATTACTAAGTGGGCGCATACAGGTCAAGTTTACCATTCGGCTGGACTCAAAGAATGCCCGCAGTAATATACAGCACCCCATATTGTGGGAGAGTTGAAGCCAGTAACATTGAGTCATGCTTCACACAAGTTAACACAGTCGGTAAGCTGGCGCAAGTGCGCGCGGGCTTGAGAATCTGATGGCAAAACGAATCCACCCTCGTAAGATTTTAGACGCCGGGGCGTGTACGGCGTGTACGGGGGACTTCTTTCTAGGATGGGTGGAAGAGCGAGATATAAAGCAAGCCATGGGCAACTCTGCGGTTCCTTTGAAGTGTTGATTCACTTACGAGAACAGTTGTTAAACGTTGAGACAGCTTTCATCACAATATAAAATGACTCAATTAAAAAACGGAATCAAGTCGCCAATTCAGCCCTCTCCGCGAGTAGCAGGCAACGTCCAAGATGTGTGGTGAGTAACCATATGAGACTCAGACTAATGTTTTACGTTGATCGTGACTCACTAATCGCATTCAGGTCCATCATCAACGCTGCAGCAGCAACTACACCTAATCAGCCTGTGGTGAACATGGGACAAGGCTTCTTTGGCTACAACCCTCCCCAATTTCTCATTGACGCTGCGAAGAGTGCGGTAGAGCGCCTCGACTGCAACCAATACGCACCTCCAAAGGGCCGCCTCCGTCTGCGAGAAGCCATTTCCAATGCCTACTCTCCTTTCTGGGGCCGGAAGCTTGACCCAGAGACCGAAATCACCATCACCACTGGCGCCAATGAAGGTTTTCTGAGCTGTTGCATGGCCTTTCTTCAGCAGGGCGACGAGGTGTTGCTGCTAGAGCCCTTTTTCGACCAGTAAGCGCGCCATTCTTACGCCCGTCTCATCAGCCGGCTTAAAGATATGAAGTGTTTTGATGCTAAGATGAAACAGATACATCAGCAACATTGAGATGGCCGGTGCCAAGGTTGTATCTGTGGCGTTGCAGCCACCAAAGTCAGGAATGACAAAAACTCACTCTGCTGGCGAATGGTCGCTTGACATTTTGGCATTGAAGAAGGCCATTACTCCTCGAACGAGAATGCTCGTTTTGAACACACCTCGTTAGTAGCGCTCTTGTATCTGGATAGTGGTGGTGATGCGGCTAACGGATTTGATCTGGTAGACAACCCATTGGGCAAGATTTTCAACCACGAAGAACTGAAGCAGATTGCCGATGTTTGCGTGGAGAACAACATTCTCATCATCTCTGATGAAGTCTATGACCGACTGTTTTACGTCCCATTTTCTCGCATTGCGACCATGTCGCCCGAGGTGGAGCGCATTACTTTGACTCTCAGCTCAGCGGGAAAGAACTTTTATGCCACAGGTTGGCGAGTTGGTAAGAAAACTCATCATTCAAGTTATTATATTATTTTATCCCAAGCTGACTGAGTGTACAGGTTGGGTTATGGGCCCGCCCGAACTTGTCTCATACGTCACAAAGGCGCACGCACGGATTTGCTATTGCTCCCCATCACCTCTTCAAGAAGCGTTTGCTATTGGTTCGTTCAGATAATTGATCTCAACATACAAGGTACTAATGAAAAACACAGGTTTCGAACAGGCCGAAGCAAATGGCTTCTGGGACGAATGTATCTCCGACATGAAGTCCAAGATGGACATGTTTAATGAGATTTGGCACGAGCTTGATATGCCCTACTCCGAGCCTGAAGGTGGCTATTTCGTCGTGGTCAACATGAGCAAAGTGCAACTACCAGAGAATTACGACTTCCCTACTCACGTAATTAACCGCCCAAGAGACTTCAAGTTGGCGTGGTTCCTGATCCAGGAACTTGGAGTGGCAGCAATTCCGCCAAGCGAGTTTTATTCACCAGCCAACCAACACATTGGAGAGCAGTGGATGCGGTTTGCCGTATGTAAACCAGATGAAGTGTTGGAGGCTGCTAAGGAAAGACTAAGAGGATTAAAAAAGTACATTAATTAGACGATTCACGCGGATCAGTTGGCGCCATGTTAGAGTAGACTAGATTAATATTAATTATATGAATGCCCTTTTCGCTAAGTTGTATTGTTTACTCAACATAATATTAGAGCCTAAGATATGATGCTGAGGCCCAAAGCTACATTTCACCGCTCATCGGACGTCGAGATCCCCTGGATTCGCCCCATCGCACAGCGGTGTGGAACTGATGGTCAGCTTATTTGCTTTCGTAGAAATCAAGGCATTTACACGACTTTCCATAACTAAAAACAAGGCAATCCAAAAGAGCCGATGCCATTACTCGGGTACAGAAGTGCTAGTGTGCCCGTAAAGCTACACTTCTCTTATTACTTTAGCGGTTCACGTACCTGAAGCCACTGCTCGGTTGTGTAACCTCTTAAGTGCTTACCGTTTAGTAACTGAAAACCCAAAGAGGGGCAGAAACAACATGCGTTGGGTTCCAGATCTTGTTAGGTTGCCATCAACAGTTGCAGCTTCATACACCAATGTCCGAAAATGGCAGGTACATAACCTGACAGGATGAAAATACTCAATTTCACATAGATGTAGACGATTCTGGTAGTATGATAGGCTATGGCTATCAACTAAAAGCTTCTGCTGGATAGGTTGCATATTGAGATGACCAGGCAAGCGGAGGTCAGAAAATTCAAGACGGACAAGGTTACAAACACCCACGCGATAAATTATATACCCATTCTTCAAGTATCTACTTCTATAGCTATATTCCTTCTAATATTTACCATTATATCTACATTTCTTAAATTCCTACTATTATATTGATATTCCTTGAGTAGATGCTACTATAGTTCCATTTTTCCGGTAACTGCTACTCTACGGAGTATGTGCCTCTCCATTTTGCGGTGTTGTGTTTTTCTGACCTACGCTTGCCAGGGTGTCGATCGGCATGCGAGTCGGCATACCCTGTCTAGCTTTTCAACAAGCAAATAACCATTGGTTTCTATCCGATTTGCGGGCGCTGATCTTGCCGTAGATGGGTGGAGAATGCTCAAGTGCCGTCGTTCTCATTTGTATTTAATCTAGTTACCTGGCTCCGTGGGCAATTGATCATCGTTTTCTTCTGGCTGCTCAAAAAAAAATCTTCTTTTTTCAAGTACCAGCGCTGCTCTCATGGAGACAGAACTCAAAAGCGCCGTAGAGGCGACGAGCGAGGCCAATTCGACCAATGTCTCCGAAAAAGATGTTGATCGCGCGTTGTTGCGAAAGATTGATTGGCGCGTGATGCCAGTAGTAAGTCTCGGCTGTCGAAAGGTCTTCTGCTCAAGATACTGACATGATGTACGTCTCAGTTGTGCGTTACATATGCTCTTCAGGTAAAGACCAATCTATTCTTCTATAGAAGGCACCCGGCTTTTGTTATGACAGTGAATAACTGACAACTTCCGTATTAGTACTGGGACAAAGGCTTGCTTGGCCAAGCAGCTGTATTTGGCCTGCGAACGGACCTTGGCTTGACTCAGGGCAAATCTTACTCTTGGGTGTCCGTGGTATTCTACTTTGGTCATATAGCCGGCATGTATCCCGGCTCCCTACTAGCACAGCGGTTCCATCCCAAGCGCACCTGTTCCATTCTGGCTATCGTCTGGTCCATCATCATGCTCACCACGCCAGCATGCACGTCTTATGCTGGTATCATTGCCAATCGCTTCTTCCTCGGTGTGGTCGAGGCAGGCGTTAACCCTGTCTTCATGCTCATTGTTGGTACATGGTACACACATTCGGAGCAGGTCTTACGATCCAGTATCTGGTATTCCTTCAGCGGAGGCTCGTTGTTAATCTCTCCGGTCATCAACTTCGGACTTGCCCACATCCACAGCAGTCGATTGAACCCATGGCAGATGATGTATTTATTCGCAGGAGGTATTTCTTTCCTTTGGGGCATTGCATTGCTTTGGGTATTCCCGGATACCCCACAGCGTGCCAAGGGCTTCACGGAGAACGAGAGAGAGCTCATCGTCGAGCGCACGCGCGTTAACAACGCAGGCACCGAAAACAAAGACATAAAGTTCTATCAGACCAGGGAGGCTCTTCTCGAGGTCCAGTTCTGGGGAATTCTCGTGCTGTCCCTGTTGAGCTGCACAGGTTCGGCTGTTGTCACGCAGTTTGCTTCTATTGTGTTTAACGGACTGGGTTTCGACGCTTATACCTCGCTCTTGCTTAACCTCCCGACCGGTGCGATGGCTTTCATTTGTGTCCTAGGCTCAGGATACCTTGGACGACACTGGAAAAACTCACGGTTCTTCATCATCTCATTATCTTGCCTACCGGTCATTCTTGGCTGTTCTCTTCTGTGAGTTGAAAGTCTCCTCTCATCCAATTAACGTTCAGAACACTAACATGCACTCAAGCTGGAAACTCGACAACAGTAGAGGTGGGAAAATCTTCGCCTTCTATTTGCTCAACTTTTTCTCGTCTGCCTGGGTCCAATGCATCGGTCTGGGCACCTCAAATACGGGTGGTTATACAAAGAAGGCTGTGTATGCCTCCGGAACCTTTATTGGTTACTCGCTAGGCAACATTACGGGCTCTTTGCTCTTCGACCAGTAAGTGACAAGAATGAGTTCAATGTTTCCACTTCCAGCCAAATAAATGCTAATGCCAATATCACTCATAGGAAATTTGCTCCCAAATTCGGCCAGAGCTTCACAGGTGTTTTGATCTGCTTTGTGATTTGCTTCTTCCTCGCGCAGGTAGTCCGTTTTGTGCTTGAGAGAGAGAACAAGGAGCGGACAAGGATTCATGGACCGCCCACTTTTGAGAAGGGCCTCGATGACTTGTCGGACAGGGAGAATATGTCATTTAGATACGCACTATGAGCCACTCTTGACCACTAGGATATCAAGATTCCCCATCGCAAGTGGTATTCGACACCGAGATGAGCGGGACCTAGGTAGAATTGCATGATTCACGTTCTGTTTGGCTCGGGTCCTAGACTGGGGGCCAGATCCATTCTCATAAGGCTCGTATCAATTTAGTGGTGTCTTTCTGCTTAGCCGCCATAGCCTCCGAGACAGATCCACCCAATCTCATCGCAGGACTTTTCACTCTCCATGCGCGTAACGGTCGCTGGGCTGCTGGAAGAGCGGATTGGTTGCATGTAGAGAGACCGATTTGGCCCCCGAAGAGCACTAGAAGAGGATCTACCTTTGAAAGGTCAACGATGCTTATTGCTTCCGAAGACGGTGCCTTTTTCAGCTGCCAAGTTTTGCCTTTCAGCTGAAAACACAACACCGAGTCTCCAGCTCAGCTGCACGTAGGCTGGCTATAGGCAGCCGCGACACTTCTTTCTGGCTTATTTTATCGTCAAAAGAAACATCGCAGCGAGATATGCAATAGAAAGGCATATATCAAGGCTTCTTTGGTCAAATAAAGCCCTTGTGGCGGTATATCTACGTAGATCATCCCGCAGCAAAATAGAACTGCTTTCTTCGAAGTTTACAAGTCTTCTTAACAGTTAGAAGTTGAGCTGCGCAAGCCTTTTACACCTCTATAATGGCAGATCTCAACTTCTATCCAAATGACGAGGGCATATCCCGGAATACGACCCATATACAGCTGATGGAAGAGCTGTGTAACTATTTCTTAATAACGCAGAAATTATCCGTATCATCAAAAATTGTCGACATAGCAGACGAGGACGAACTCGCATATATGCGAAATGCCGCGAGGCCAGGCGCACAAGCATTACCACTGAACCAGGTTCTTAGTGATATGACCAAGATCATGTCTCATCGAATAGCAATGGATCACCCAAGATTTTTCGGCTTCATTCCTTCTCCGGTCGACGAAAACTCGTTTCTAGGAAGCATGTTCACTACCATGTATAACGTCGGTGCTGGTAGCTGGTATCAAAGCTCAGGCGCCAGCACCGTGGAAGATTCCCTCATCAAATGGTTGGCCGAACAAGCTGGGCTTCCATCATCATCTGGCGGCATTTTTGTGTCTGGGGGCTCAGTGGCCAATTTGACGGCCGTGGTCACCGCCCGCGATGCCAAGCTGCAATTCGAACAGAGGCCAAAGGCAGTCATTTACATGTCTGAGCAAACGCATTCTTCCATGACAAAAGGCATAGTCGTGGCAGGCTTTCACCGGAACCAGATCCGTCGTGTGCAGTGCGACTCGAGTTACCGGATAAAACCATTGAGTCTTCGGCAGCAGATTGAAAGCGATAGGAAGAATGGCTTGATACCATTCATGATTGCGGCAACTTGCGGCCTGACCAACACCGGGGGCATAGACGATTTGAACGCGCTCGCTGATATAGCCGAATCCGAAGACTTGTGGCTTCACGTCGATGGCGCATATGGAGCATCTATACTTCTTTCAAAGACACATAAGCATTGTGACGACGGCATTGGTCGCGCGGATAGCGTAACGTGGGACGCTCACAAGTGGCTCTTCCAAGTATACGATTGCGGCCTGGTACTCGTCCGAGACAAGCGCAACCTTGTCGAAAGCTTCGCGACAGGTGCCTCATATATCCGAGATGCTGATGAAGCCTCGTCAGAAAAGGTCAACTTTTGGAATCGGGGCATTGAGATGTCTCGACCTGCGCGAGGCATGAAGCTCTGGTTTACCCTTCAAAGGTTAGGCCTCGACAGGGTCAGTGATATGATTGACCACGGAGTCGATCTCGCAGAATTCGCCGAATTGGTATTCCGAGGTTTCGAAAATTGGGAGATTCTCTCACCAGCCCAGCTCGGAATCCTCAATTTTCGGTATGTCCCGCCCACATCACATCCTCTCGCTGAGGGCGTGGATTTCGATCTGTTTTGCGATAAAGCGAATGCAGAGATATCGAGATTGGCGGTAGAGCGGAATATTGCAGCACCTCTAACGACAAGAATTACAAAGGTCCTGAACTTGCGAATGTGCACCGTCTCACCTCAGTTGAGCAGGGATCAGCTTTTTGAGGTGATGCAAAGTCTGGATTCGATTGCAAAGGAAGTTTCGGCCTCGTTTGTGAAGAAGAGAATTTTGAAGATTTGAAGTGGTTACTCATTGTACACTTTCCTCTCTTGTGTGTGTAAGGTAGTTGGACAAAATAGGTTCCATTGGCTTCCACCTTTTGGTAAGGTCAAGAGCGCGGGCATACAAAGTATTGCTGTTTGACAAAGAAAGCAAACTTACAAAGGATAGACAGTTGAATACATTTATAAAAGTGACCTGATATTTCTCGACCGTGAAGCTTCTTTTCCTGCTGCTACGGCATCAAATGAAGAAAGATTCTCGAAGCTGTAGGGTGGTAAAAGGGAGCTCGACGGCTTATGTCATGATGCATCGAGTAACTCCAACATAGCAGCGACTCATCATGCTCTCGTGTAGGTTCATATTCCACCATGATTGCAAAACCACCAAACGAGACAAACAATATAAATAAAAGATTCACTTGTATAAACCACCATCTATTCCCTTTAAATAATACCTCGTTGCGTTTGCAGACCTGGTAATCCCCCAAGTACCGGTACCAGCTCCCCCCCGCCACTGCCACACCCCGCCATCAAGTACCTCTACCAGCTCCCCTTAGTACTGACTGACAGCTCTCCCACCCCCGAGTCCCCCACCAAAGTGACGAAACGATGCGCTCAGCTCCGCCAGAGCTCGGCAATCCGAAAGCAAAGCTCCATTTAGCCCGAAGACTCCGGATTCTTCTTACTTACACACTTCCCTGCGAATAGCTGCGATAGACCACCAGCAACAGAGCCATCATGTCCTCCTCCCTCCTCCGCACGACGCCTCTCCTGCGCGCCGGCCTTCGCGCCCGTGCCGCAAAGCCTCTCGCCGCCATGGCCACCACAAGCTTCACCCGCGGCAAGGCCACTCTCCCCGATCTGCCGTGTAAGTCCTCGAGTTTATAAAGCAGAAACAAGAGCAAAAAAAAAACGACGTCGCTGCTCCGGAATCGTGCAGAGCAGCAGAGCTGACAGCACATTGCGATCCAGACGACTACGGCGCGCTCGAGCCCTACATCTCCGGCCAGATCATGGAGCTTCACCACTCCAAGCACCACCAGACCTACGTCAACGGCTTCAACGCCGCCGTCGAGGCCCTCGCCGAGGCTGAGGCCAAGGGCGACTCCAAGGCTGCCGCTTCTCAGGCCCCTCTGCTCAACTTCCACGGCGGTGGTCACGTCAACCACTCCCTCTTCTGGGAGAACCTCGCCCCCAACGGCAAGGGCGGTGGTGGTGAGCCCGAGGGCAAGCTCCTGGTATGACTCGACTCACTTCCCTTTGTAGCTCTCTTCTTTCTTCACGCGAAGCGTTTCACTTACGCTTATATGTGAATGTACAGACTGCCATCAACCAGGACTTTGGCTCCTTTGAGAACCTCAAGAAGCAGACCAACGCTGCCCTCGCCGGCATCCAGGGCTCCGGCTGGGCCTGGATCGTCAAGGACAAGGCCTCCGGCAACCTCACCCTCGTCACCCGCGCCAACCAGGACCCTGTCACCGGCAACTTTGAGCCGCTGCTGGGCATCGACGCCTGGGAGCACGCTTACTACCTCCAGTACCAGAACCGCAAGGCTGAGTACTTCAGCGCCATCTGGGATGTTATCAACTGGGGAACCGTTGCCAAGCGATTCGGACAGTAGACGTTCGCATCCGAGTCTGCACTGAACAACTTGTAAAATAAACTAGCATTGTAGCATATTCCACATGGTTACAAGTCTGCAATATCTGTTAGTAGGATTAAATGACCAAATAGTATCTATCCCAAGACAACACAGTTTGCTGTTTTTGTCAAAACACTCTGTTCAGAATTCACCACGTCCATTGCTGATTTGCTACGGCTAGCCGAGGGAGCAATGATACACGCAACGTAACCTAAGCTCCAAGTATAAATATATTGATGCATTGCATGAACTTGACGACGTTTGGATCCCACGCGATGCGCGCTCATCCCCCTCGTCGGTATATATATGCGATTCTGCGAAACAGGCGAACAACGACGTCTTTTTGCACATGCATTTGATGGATCTCAATCCATAGCACACATATATGAGAGACAAATAAACATGACCAAAAAACCGATATACTCGTACAGAGAGCCATGGAAAATTCCAGGCGGCCTTCTCAAGCAAATTCACTGTCTTTGGCATCTGGCAATGCCCTGATACGCCACAAGTTCCCCCGGATACGTTTCCGCAAAAATGTCGCGAGCATAGTCGTACCAGTCTTGGTTTTCCGGAGCAGTGCGAGCCTCAAAGAACTTGACGTATTCCCACCACTCCGGATACCAACCTCCACTGTCCCAGCCGAGAATGCACACAATCTTGCTGTTCTGAACAATGATATTCTTTGGGCTCAGCTCGCCATGAGTGAAGCGGATACTGTAATCAAACCGAAACTGAGAGGTCAAGGCCTCGGCGACGTGTGTCGGAACAGACGGGACAAACGACGCTGCCAGAAAAGCAATGAATTGACGGCATGTGGGCTTGGCGCGGACCGCCCAATAAGTATTCTGGACATGCTGGTCCAGTATCAGAGAGTAGGGACCAGAAGAGGCAGATCCCAGCACGGTCCCTTCGTTTGAGATGGCCGGTTTGGTGCGAGTTGGATTCATGCCACTTCGCATATTGTTGAGAATGTGACGCAGTTGGCGGGCATAGGCATACTTTGCCTCGGGCGTGAGATCGCACCAAGCGTTTTCTAGAAGCTCTCCTTGAACGACCCGCTCTATGCTCCCTTCCGCTTGGTTCGGAAGTGGCAGCTGTAGAACAGGGAGATCTAGATGGTCTTGGATCACGTTTCCCAGGAGCAGCCCTGCGTTTGAAATTGAACGATACTGGGTCGAAATCGACTGGCTGCCGCCACCGCACCTTGACTTGAGCGTCAACAGGAGGCAGCGTGGCGTAAGCAGGCTTTCCAAGTACATGGTGTGCTCATTTGGTCCCGGTTCTATGAGGCAGGTGAGCATTCTTCAGTCACGATGGCGATGACGCATCCACTTACGAGGCGGCAATGAAGGAGGACTCGAGCACCATTGCTGCTCTGAATCGTCCAGATGATCGCGGGGCCTCTTGACACCCGCAATCACCGAGGGAAGATTCCTTGGGAGGTGCAAAAGCGATCGGGATCCTCCATTTTGCGATGGAGGAAGCTCATTCTTAATGCTTGCAGGCTTCTGAGAGGTAGCCGCGCCCAGTTTGAGGGCGTTGCTACCCGTCTTGAGAGGCCCAACCGCGCTTTTGGTCGGCATTTCTGGAGAGCATGGCAGCAGCAACCGCAGGGCACGCTCTGGGTTCAAGCCCTCCATTATGCTGAGGGGATCGTTCTTATCGCCGTCGAAGATGGGAGAAAGGCGGAGGCTGTCCGCTATCGTTTCCGCCATCGTGTCTGCCATTTCTCGAGTCTCGGGAGACCTGAATATGTTAGTGTCCAGAAGGAGGGGACGATGCGGCAGATGGCGACTCAGTCAGATGGCAAGTTTCCGCTACCTGAATGATTCGAATCGTTGACTCTGTTCGTGGAAGATTGGAGAAGGAGGATGGCTTGACAAAATGCACAGATGGAAAAAGAAAAACGACGATGTTGTGAAGATGAAGCAGCAGAACAGCCTCTTTTCGCTTGGATGAAACCAAGTGGTGCTTGTTGGCAGAAGATGAAGTCTCGATGACCAAGGAGAAAAACTCAAGAAGAATAAAAATCCATGCGGAATGAATTTCTGTTTATTCCATGTCCTTTGTTTGGCTTTGGCTGGGCAACGGTTTGGAGGAAAGAGCAGACCATGGCCGGCTGGCGGCCAGTTGCCTTGGACTGACTTGCAAAACGTCAATGCGGCACGAGGCAGAGGTACATGCGCCTGAATGCAGCATGTTAACGTTTGTATTGATCTTTTGCTGTGTGCTTTAACAAATATGATTGAAATGGTTGGTAATGATTGAATTCTGAGTTGAACGACACTTGGCGATGTGTTGAGTAGCGCTCTTAGTACTGGGAATGCCCTTGATTCTACGGGAGCGGCCACAAGTGTTATGGCGGTTACTTGCAGCAGTATGAGCAATGAGTATAGTGAAAAGAGGACCAGTGAATCAATACAAATACACTACCTACCCATCCAATACTACATTTGCTGACATGAATGCTGACCAGTGAATGAAGTCTAAATTTTAAGATGAATGAATGAGATGGTGCTGATATGCTCTCATTATCTTTGGTGGTTGATACAGTGTAAGCGCGGTGAATTGCGTGCGTTAGACGACGAAGAAAAATATCAACAGTCGCGACAAACAACCAACTGCCGTATCTCACCTAGGTATGAAACTATACCATGCACATGCATCCATGGTATTATCATGTTACTGCATCATCTCAAACAAACTGGACACTTGTAGTGCTCTAGAATTGCGGATATTGCATGTATTTACAGCCTCAAACTCAACAACCAAATCGCACAATTACATGCGCTTACCAATGAATACATAAGGCACATGTGTATTGTTGTACCAATGACTCCGTACATGACATCCGACCATAAAAAGATATCCCATATTATCAGATCTAACTCCCCGTTCTGATTTGCTACAGATAACAATCCTCGCAAACAAGGGTTGCCTGGGCCAATCGTATCGGCTGTCATCATCCGAGCCGCTTGCGCTGAATAAGTCTGGTGTCAGACCGGGAACGCGTAATGCCAGCGAATCCTCCTGGCCGTGACTGAAATCCCCAAAATGAGTCGTTCGTTACACATGCGTTGCACAAGATGGCTTCCATCGCAATCAGCATGAAGCTCATCGCCTTGCTGGCTTCGGTGGCGGCGGCCCAAGTCCAGACATCAACATCACCAATCCGCCCAAGCCATGACAGCGCAAAGGCTAATGCCAACCACATCTTCAACGCGATTCACTCTGCCGGCCGTCAATGGGGATCTTCCTTGAACCACAACGGCTTCGGCTTCATCCCCGTTGTCGTTCCAGCGGGAACCTTGCTGTACCATGGAGGCTACTCCGAGGACCCTCCTGATCGCTTCGAATGGCTGGCTTTCGAAGTTGAACATGCGGAAAACTTCGTCAGAGTACCAAACAGGGGCCGTGTAGGCGGTCCTTGTGGGGATGAACGGCCCCCTCCGCCATCTTCTGACCAGAAACCTCTTGACCAGCCGGAAACAGGTCCCGGCGACTGTGAAGAGGGGAGAGTGAGAGGCTATCTACAGACCTATCAGACAACTCGAGACGTGCGGCTGCTCTATCTCGATGGCACATCGGCAGGGAAGAGTCCTATGGGAACCCTAGACTCGCAAGACGAAGTGCTTTGTCCCGGCAACGATTCGCACCGGGATTTCGGAGGCGAAATGTATCGCGCAAAATGCCTTTGTGATCTAGTGACCGAATGGGGATGGGATGGAATCATGCGCATGGAGATTGGCTTCGAAGCCATATACTGCAACTTCAGCGCCGGCTTGCATCATGAGTCCTCAGTGCGAACAGTTATCCCAGAAGACAGATTGAAACCTGACGGCTACTTGATACCTTATCTGTGGTCGAGAGCAGCCGCCGAACGATATGATGACATTGGAGGCGATCGAGTTCAGATGGACTTTTCGTCCATGATATCTGGCTTCTTCTTCCCCATCAACGTCTCTAATACAGACCCAGACCGACCGGACCTTATTAGACTGGGAGCTGCGAAGCGAGAGCATCTGCAAGATATCAGGACTTACATACAGAGCGTCGTTGTGGAACCTAAAAAGTTCAATGTCAACTGGCAAGCGGTTGTAGACATGATCGTCTCTCGTTTCAGCAAGAGATTGGCAGCAATGGCTTCGACGAGCGTATCGACGGATTTATTCATCGGCGAGTTGGAAGGTGCAATAATGACCTATCTTGAAGCCCCAAGACTTCCAGGCGATATCACATTGGCAGAGGAGGAGGATGGCAAGAATAGAACGGCTGAGGCTGTCGATCGCTGTGCTTCACACTACCTGAAACCGGCTCTGTTGGCACAAAAGGACTGGACGCTGTCAGACTCCTTGATTCACACTGCTCTCGGAGTCGTAATGCAGCGCATCTGCGCTGACCTCTATCTCATCAGATCAATCCTCGTCCAGGCGTCACCAGATGCGGAACCCGATGCGTACTTCATTAAGAAAGGCGTACAAAATGCCGATATGGAGAAAGCAGCGAATCAATCCCGCGCCATTGTACGCAATCTCCTAGAAGATCTTGCTTGGACTACATGGAAGAAACCGCAGCTGTGTGATGTAGATCAGATCCTCCTCACCGCAATGTGGCCGTTTGGAGACAGCATCGACCATTTCAACCCCGGCTGCGTCGCCGTTCAAAATGTCACAGCGCGCCGGAGAAACTATTGGACTCCCCATGAGCGAAGGCCGTTTACCTTTGAATGAGACCGAGCGTTTACGTATAATTTCATATTATCTTGTTCAGAATCGCGAGATTGGATATGACGAAACACGAGGATTTACTATATTTACAACTACATGAATTTAATGCCATGCTATTTCGTTAAGCCACCTCTCTCAACTATGTGCCAAACTAAGCCTTGACTCCAAGCAACTTCTCGCTAACTTCCCAAATCCTCTTTGCAGCAGTCTCGTCGTAGGTATGACCAGGGTGTCCCCTCCAATCCGGCGCATCTGACTTCTCCATGGGGACTGAAACACTACAATCCTCCAGGTACTTTCCTCTGACCTCGGGAGCCAAGACATCATCGCTGATCGCCGCCCACACTTGCGTCGCAGCGCCCTGCGTGTTGTTCTTGAAAAGCTTAGCAGGCCAAACGCTCATGAAGCCGTCAATGGCCTCCTTGGAGTATCCAGAGTTATCCATAAAGGCCGACTCCACGATGCCACCAGGGTGGACACTCCAGGCAAAGAGGTTCTGGGCTCCGTAGCGACGGTCAATCTCCGTGGCCGTGTAGATGCTCGCCGTCTTGGCCTGGGCATAGGCGGGTGTGGAAGGGTATTCCCCCTTTTCAAAGTTGAGGTCGTCCCAGTTGATGTTTCCGAAGCGGTGCCCGTAGCTGGTGACGTTGACCACACGGCTGGGGTTGGAGGCTGATGCGCTTGCAAGCAGAGCATCCTTGAGAAGGGCGAAAAGGAGGAAAGGGCCCAGATGGTTGACGGCGAGCTGCTGCTCGAAGCCGTCAGCGGTGACCTTGCGCTCAACGAGGACACCGCCGGCGTTGTTGAGCAGGACATTGAGCTTGCCGCCGGACTGCTTCAGGAACTCGGCAGCAAAGGCCTTGATGCTGGCATTTGACGACAGGTCAAGCTCGAGGAAGTGGACGTTGGGAAGGTCGGCGATAGTCGGGAGGGCGGCCCTGGCCTTGGCGTTGCTTCGGCCAGCGAGGTAGAGAGTGGCTCCAGTGGGAGCGAGGGCTACGGCACTGGCGCCGCCAATTCCGGAGGAGACGCCGGTGATGATGATGACTTGGCCTTTGAGGTCTTCCTTTCCGGCGTCCTTGATGATCTGCTCGGCAGTAGGGCGGGCATCGCCAGCTCCGGCGAGCTTGTCCCAAGCGTGAACAGCAGCGTAGCGAGACATTTGTGTATATGGAAAGATCTGTGTAAACAGTAGTTAATAGTTGATATAATGGATAATGGAATATTCGAATGGGTATTTGTTGGTTTGTTTGTTCAATGGAAGCAATGAGATATAACTCGCCTTGTCGTTCAATTCTCCTCTCTTATATCTTTTCCACCCTCATATAATCATGACATTTTCAATTCTAATCTCCGTCTCTTTCCTGCCTTCGGCTCCATCGTGCATTAAATCCGCGAAACAACATCCGCAACCTGTATGGATGTTTTGCGGACTCTCTTCAATCCCGTGGGTTCGCCTCGTCTCGGGATGGATGCATGACAAAAGGGGGGTCCACCACCGACAGTCATTCTACCAATAGGAATGCTTGAAATGCGAGCTGGCCAATGAGGTGTAACATTTGTTATATCCAGTGGGGCGATCTGAAGATTTCGTTTCGGGCGGCAATTTTGCTGCTGCTTCTGTTCTCCATAACTTTAGTTTAGCAAATGGCGGAGCTCCTCTATTTGCCCATCATGTCTCTCTCCTGATTTGTACGCTTCTCTTGTAATGCAATGATACAAGCCCTCTTCATGTGTTGGCGGCGGAGATAGACTTCAAGGTTCTTACGAGAAAGCGGAGAATGGTTGTAACTCCCCGAGTGCCTAGCAGCAGGGGTAATATGACGCAAAGAGGCGAGCTTTCCTGTGGTTGAGAGTAAAGATGTGTTTTACTCCAAAGTTGCTGTGTAGCTGTGTACATCTTTTGCTCATACCACCATGTTGCGGCAAGGCATATGACCACATGCCTTGGTCGAATGGCACCTCCTCACATTTGATGCTTATTCGCTCTGTATTTGAGGTGAATATGGCGAGAAGAAACCTAGCTACCCTAGCCCATTGTTCTTTATCAATTTATTTCATACTTGTGTCCCTGCGGGTTTCAGGGACACAGATACTAGACGTGTCCTACTCCCATATCCTCCAGGCTGCCCGCATCCTGGCCATACTTCTCGCTTCTTCAATTGCACGCCGCACTGCCAAAATATTGCCATTGCCCTTTGCCGCCTCAAGAGTCTCCCTTGTCAATCGGATTTCGTAGCCCCTTTCCTTGAATAGAGTGACTAGCACCGACTTTTCCCTGTTTCTTGCCGCTGCTACAACCACCTCGTTTGTAACCTCAAACTCGATTCCTTCTGCTTGCAGTAGGATTTTTAACGCCGGAAACTGTCCGTTTTCTGCCGCTGCGACGGCAACTCTGGGTGTGATCTGGACCCTGTCCTTCCATCTTCCAAGGAGATAGACTAGCACGGAGCGTTCTCGATTCTCGGCCGCAGCGATGACCACTTCTTCCGTAAGGCGAATCCTGTCTCCATGTCTCTCGAGAAGATACTGCAATACCGACTCATTGCCCCTCCTCGTTGCTTCCATGACTACCTTCTCTGTAATCTGTATCTCGTCTTTCTCTCTCCCAAGTAAACACCATAGTACTGAGCTGTCGTCGTTCTCCACTGCCGACAAAAGTATTTTTTCTGTAACTTGGACTTTCTCTTGGCAGAGTAAAAGGTACGTTGCTTCGATATTCTCCTTATTTATTGCCCTTAAAAGCAAAACTTCCATCGGCGGAGGAGTATACTTTTTTCGGCCCGGTGTCTGGTCAACTTTAGCTTCACTTTTGAACTTTTTCTCTGCAGCAATGACAGATTTCTCTGTGACTTCAACGTCTCTCAAGCTTGCTTGGGCCAGAAGAACGGCAAAATCTTTGTCTCCCATCAAGGGATACCGCCCAGCCATTTCTACCAAGCTGGCTACTTTGCCGAAATTCTTCGCCCCGAGAAAATGGCCATGGCTTTTGCACATTGCCACAAAGTCGGTCACCTCTCTGACGATATCTTCGCGTCTTTCCTGCAAGTTCATCCTCGTCCAGAACATTCGCCAAAACTCGCTCTCGGCTTCCCATAGATGGCCTGTTCTTCCGTACATCAAGGCAAGTTTGCTCATACACATGAGTGTTCGTCGGTCCGCTTCTCCAAAGTCTCTTGCGTAAGCATTCTTCATGCCTTGAAGAGTGTTGATTATAGTTTTGTCGTTGCTCCCCGCATCACTCATAATCAGAGCCACATTCTCCAGTCGTATTTGTTTGTCGGGATAATTTTTCGATTCGTCTTCTGCGTAAAAGTTCTCGGGTACTCGACTCGCCATCCATGATTCGTAATCTTGACTTGTTGTCTCCTCATTGGAACTATTCCAATCCCATACAAGTAGAAAATCATGTACAGAGGAACTCTCTGGCCGTTCTAGCTGCTCCAGGTCCATTTTGTCCATTCTGTCATCTGTGGGAGGAGTAAACTCAACGAGAATGATTGTAAAATTGTCATGGCGTGGTCTAATGACCATAGGTTTTGTGGCTCCAAGTAAGTGGCACACGAGGTCACCAGCCTCTATTGGCTTCCCCGCCACTTGGACGGTCCATGATGGTCCAGGGACGTCCCTTATCTTCAATCTGACGTGCTGCCTATCTCCGTGAGAATCGTCATGTGCTATTTGAATCGAGGAGACGATGCCAATAACACATCCTTTCGCGAATACTACAGCTGCCTGCTGCTGCATCCATGATTTGATGAATACCCGTTCGCCTAGTATGAATCTGACAAGTTGTGCCATAAGCTCATCCCATGGCGTTTTGTAGTTGGGCAATAACCCGTGGTTGGTCGGATCATTAGAACTCATTCCCAGCAGAGCAAATATTTTGTCATGGCGCTCAGTGGCCTCGTGCGTGTGGTACATATCTATCAGCGCGCCTAGAGGGCGTATATCTAAAGATATACCACCCAATGAATTCACGCTATACTTTGGGCGAAATATGCAGCCTCTCATAAGATACGTTACAGATCGTATATGGCTCGGGATGTCTTCATGCTTAAGAAGTGACGGTAGGCCTAAGCAAAAAGCGTATCCATCAATCCTTATAGAGCCGCACATCATGACAATGTGCTGAGCAGCAGCGACCTCTTGAAGAACCTATGATAAACATTAGTATATCTCATATCATAATAAAGTAGATACTTAGTCTACCCATATTCGTCGAAACCATGGCCGCTCCAATAGAGCTAGAACCGCCTGTTGGTCCGTATCCTTCTGGAACGATTGGCATTCTTCATCTGCTGCTAGTCGTATGCTCTTCAAAGCCTGGTCGCTATTATCGGCTGCTTCACCCAGCCACACGATGACACGATTCGCTTTGGAGTAGATCTCTGCCATATACTGAATTTGTTCTCCTCGCTCTTCGATACTCGTCTGGTCAATGCAAACTGCGTCTATCCATAATATCCGCTCAATCATTTTATCTCGGAGACGTAAGAGTACCTCATAGAGGTTTGCGGTGATTGGCAGGCTCTTTTCATCAATATAGAGGATATGCGGTCTTTGTGAGCTCCCCCACACATATGATAACGCCTCGTACATATGTGGTCCATCGCCCAACTCCAACATAGGATAATCGAAGAGCTGAGAATGGAGAGGGGCATTCTCATTCCGGTCCGGTAGCAGACGAAGCAACCGAATATGCCGATGGCCTAATAATGGTGAATAACGATACGCATTTTGAACATCTTCATGATGCTCATTCGTCGAGTTCGGTGATAATGAATTATGATTGGTAGATGCTATCTCAGCGTCGGGCTGTGTGGCTGCTGGTAGAGGCGTAGCAGGAGGAGAAAAGCCAAACCGGTTCCTCTCGCTACCTTGCACGACAGGCATCTTTTTGTTGTTCAATAGAGCCTAACAGGTTAAACTATGAGCGTGCGTTTAATTGGCGCACGAGAAAACGTTTAACTAACGGCAAAACTTATAACAAGAGGGAATATATGATCTTGTGTTACGCTTCAATTGTTTTGTCTTGTGACTCCGCACCGCGATTGGGCATTAAAGGATTTTGCCCTGGTTTAGCCTCCAAATAGCAACAGGCAACAAGGCGTTCTCAAGTCTGCAACGTCTGACATGCCCGAATACGTCGACTTGGCGCCGATGCAACCTGAGAGTTGCAGAATAAATTAGTAATCATGGGTGGCAACAACTTATGTAGGTAGTAATGATGAGAGTAATCTGAAAATCCAAATCATCAGAGGTAAGTAGAGCAGCCCTTGCATGTTTAGAAGAGCCAGTGGGATTTATACTGGAGACGGCTGCAGGAAAATGGATGGGGTTTCTTCTCTGTCAAAAGTACGAATCCGCCAATTTGCAATTGTAGGGTGCAAGCGTGTCCACTCTTCTGTTACGGAAAATAAGCTTTCCATTCAGACTCGTCTCTCCTGTGTAACAACACCTCTTATTGCCAAATACAGCGCGGGGATGCAAGATCGGTTGGTTCAGAAGTCTTTGTTGGGTGATCGGGTAGAAACCACAACTCGCGGGCCGTTATTTACAAACAGGGGTTAATGAATTACTCCGAAACGTCCCTGTAATACTGGTCCCGAGAAATCCACTGTGCCCTCGTCATCATCTCGCGAACCAGCGAGCCCTCTCCGCTCGGCCACGTCTGCTGAATAAACGCCGACATAAGTTCCATACCATTGAGCAGCGCACCGCTGGACCAAAGTTTGCCGTCATTAACCCGGCGCTGGTCAACCCAGTTGGTTTCCGGAGCTATTTTTCTCAGGGTTTCGAGATGGAAGCGCGGCGCCGTTGCCGTCTCGCCGTCGAAGATGCCAGCTTTAAGAGGCGCCTGCATCCCTCCGCAGACAGTGATGAAGGCAGAAGAATCAGCGTAGCACTTTTTCATGAAGGCCTTCTCAGAGTCGCTGGGCTCATCTATCCATACGGCGCCCATGATGGCAATGTCCAGTGGTGGGCATGTCGTGAACGAGTTCTGCATATTTTAGTTAGATTGGTTTAAGAAAGGCAGTACGGTACGGCTACTGTTGGGACTACACTGAGGTTGCTGGACAGCAGACCTGGTGTCTTGCCTGTTTCAGAAACCCAGTGAAAGTCAAAATCGACAGATTGACGCTTTAATTCGGGAGGCATGATGAAATCGGGCATGTGTTTTAAGAAAGAGGTGCTGATGGCGTTGAGAAGGTCAACCGGTCCAACGTCGAGCAGTTCGGTAACCCTTGGCAAGTTTGGCTATTGTGATGCACTAATACGAGGATATGATTTGCTTACCATCCGAGCAGAGTTACACCGACGTGGATGGGTCGCCCAGGGTTAGCAAAGTCAAGAGGTTGGGACATTGTGTATTGACAAGAGAAGAAGAGTGACGAGTAGATGAGTTGCTTTTGAATAAGCGATGATGATGTTCCCTTTTTTCTTTTTATCCCCTATATACTCATCTTAGAACTTTACGGCTCTGGCAATGTATGGTGTAGATATATCCGAGAGGCATCGGCTTGGATTCGTCTCGGTAATTGAACATGTCACATCATATCACCTCCATCAAAACGATAGAGTGTATCAACTGCCGTGCTGGTTCTTTTGAGCAAGTTTTTATTGGAATTGAGCAGTTTGACTGGGATCTTTAAGCCCCACCTATATAGTCAATACCGAAGAAGGTCGGTGTTAATGCGATAGTTCTCGATTCTGCCACCAATGTATTTCAAGCGACGCAATATTGAGACTTTAGACTCATAATGATTGAATTATGTGGAAGTGATCTGACAAATAGTGTGCTTGATCCATTGGGCTCCACAGAATTGGAAATATTCACAGGCTCTAGTTTCGATCCATGGAATATATATACTACCCAACCGTTCCATTTGATAGACGCAGAACTCCATCAACACTCTTATTTCAAAAAGTTTGCTATTCAGAATCCCAAAGTATTAAAAGAAATCTTCTTATCAAAATGTCTCCCATTGTTTTTGGTTCCCTCTGCTACCAGTATCAAGCCTCTGATGTCATTGCTCCATTTGACATGATCGCAGGTGGTACCAAGCAGTTAATGGAAGCTATCAAGACTTATTCACCAGACGTTTCCGATGAAGCAATCAAGAACGGCCCGGAATTTGTCTTTCATCACATTGCCCTTTCTCGCGACCTCGTGGACCTGACCGCCGGCATAACTATAAAGCCTACATGCACTGTCGATGACTGCCCTGAGCTGGACATCCTTCTCCTTGGAGGCCCAAATCCCGTCACTTTCGATCTTGACCCTCGATACGCCGAATTCATTCGCAGACACGTCGCTTCAGGAAAGATACTCTTTACCAACTGCACCGGTGCCTTTGTTGCCGCCATGACGGGTGTATTAGACGGCAAAAACGCTACGTGCAACCACATTGAGTATGAGTGGGTTAAGCAAAAGTACCCCAAGGTGAATTGGTCAAAGGACAAGAAGTGGGTTATCGATGGAAACCTTTGGACAGGGTCTGGCCCTGTGGCGGGCATGGATATGATGATTCACTGGTTGCGCGAGAAATATGGGGAGGAATCGTTTAAATGGGCGGCTCTGAATCTTGACTTTGAGCCTCGGGACATTGACGGAGTTAACGTGGTTCCTTTCCGATATGGCCCGGATGGAAAACAGTTGTTTACCTTTGTTCATCACTATTACAGCTCCTACTAAGTGTCTACTGAGACGAGGTTGAATGGCTAGCCAAGCTTCACTAACTCAATATAAATTTCCATGCCACGTGTTTCGTCGGCGTTAAACCACCTCTTTATCAGATAATTCCGAGAAAGAAGTAAAGCAGGCATTGTATTAATTACGTACATTTCCCTACAGAGAATGGGTCTGCCGCTGCCTTGTCTCTTAGAGTCCCTCACTTAGTAGTTTTAAGGTGTGAGCTCTCCTTGGTTCTAGGCTGAATTGGAACTTATTGGGCTGTACGTTGAAGCCATTTGTATAATCGTACAGCGGGACTTTCACATCCCTCAGTTTTGCAACTGTACAGCCCCACCCAATACGAGCAACTACAATATTTAAGCTTCGTTCTGCAATACTTTGACCTGGACAAATCCGCCTGCCAAATCCGAAGGCACTGAAATTCTGAAGATTTGGAAACTGAGTTAACGGTTCACGGTAAGTCGGCCAGGAAGGCTCCAGCCAGCGTTCGGGGCGGAAATTCTCTGGGTCAGGATAAAGAGAAGGGTCTCGATGGATTGCCCACTGATTTGGGTGAATACACGTTCCTGCTTGAAGGAAAACGCCTTGATAGATGTCATCTTTGACGAGTTGATGTGGTAAGCCACCGGCGGTGACTGGTCTCCATCGTAATGTTTCTTTAACAATGGCTCGTGTTATCGGAAGGCGTGGTATATCGCTCGAACCACTTCTCATAGTTGTTTGGATCTGCCAAGAGGTCTTTCAGCAAACGAGAGGATTCAAGAAGCTGAACAGGCTCGTATGCTGAAGCAACTGTTTCTGACGTAAAGCTATGCATCAATTTCCGTCCCCTGCGCCAGAGATCATTATATGGGAGCAAAACAGGGCGCAAGTTGCGACTGAGAATTTCGCCGCCCATAGGAAAATATGGTCGACTGGAATAAATGTTGCCTCGCCCTCGAAGGAGATCGTTGGCGATTTTCTCTGTAGATACAATAACGTGGCGATTGCCTGCAAGAGAAAGACTATAAAGAGGACCATACTGGTCTGCCCATTCCTTGAATTTTATCCAAGAATGCGTAGGGGGCACCTGAAGCATATTCCCCAGAATTGGAATGCCTGTGGATTGCACCTTAGCACAAAATGTGGATGTAAACATGTGCTCCTGAGCGTCAGAGTCATACCTTTGGGACCAGGGGGCACTTGTATAGCCGGAGGGACCTGTGGGTTAAAAATTAAATGATTTAAAAGATATCAGAAAATGAATGTGAACAGAGTGACTGTGGAAAAGAGTACAACTATAGAACCAATGGAAGTCATCGGCATGAGCTGAAATATGTCAATTAGGGGGACTCTAGAGATTCGTCTCATGAATACTACAGAACATCGAGATTCAATTACCAAAAGTCTCTTTAATATCTTTTCCAACCTCGGCAAAAAAGCAACATTGAGAAACGGCAATAAAGTAGGTTTCTTAGACAGAAGAACAGTAAGACTGTGTTTTAATAGTCAGCTCCAATGCGCTGTGGCTGCTGATGCTCTGACCAATTACGATAATCCGTTGCCTGGTAATATAGTGAAGAAAAGTTCTAGATTTCCCCAGTAAGCTTTTAGTAGATATCTGTTGCATTACTATGTAGGTAGCTAATGTCTACATCCGAGGTGATACGGATATAGCCTACCTGCGGAGCATGGGAAAATCTGGATCCCGGCTGGGGATTGGCATTTGAAGCTTACTTCACAGTAGAATACGATCGTCTGCGGGTTCTATTGGTTGAAGCTACTGTACTATCCTTCTAATTGGCCCAATATTTTCCGTTACAGCTACCTTCCATAAACCTTCGGTTATAATGACCTCCTCGGCGCTTCTTCTTCATCTCTCTTCCGCTCTACCGTCATCTCAAGAGTTTTGTAAACTAATATTGCAAGTGAGTTTTGCTGACGAAGTTCATGTGGAACCATAAGACAGAGGTCTAAGTTTGCTATGGTTAACATTGTAATATACTGTGAGACATAGTTGTCTAAACAAACTTTTGTTTGACACTGAACTCAAGATTAAAACAGAACACAATCTATATAGATCTTACCTGGGTGATATCATTCATTGCATGATTCCCTGTCGTGAGTGGCAACATGGCATACGACCGCCGGAATGTTGATTCTCATACTTCAGTTTATTTTCCGATGACTCAAACCTTTAGCCTATCTATGGCGCGATTGCAGCCGACGGTCAGATGTCTCATCCACCGCTTATTGTTATCATTAAGGATTGCAGTGAGTGTTTTTTATATTTCGAGAAAGTGATTCTCGATCCGCCTCTTTTTGCAAACATTAATACCATTGGTCTTACTAGTCCTAAAATAGCCCTGCAGGAACTACGTTGATGTAGCCTTGTGATCAGCTCTTGCGCAATCCTCCTCCGAAACCTCTTTTCCCAACAACCAACCGAATCCTTTCAAAATATCAAGTCTTTGTCTGCGGGACGAGTCCAACTGTGGAAAAACATCATCGTATCCATGAGGAATGCCAGGGTACACGTCAATTCGCGTTTGGACTCCATGATCACGCAACACTTTCTCATAGATAAGTCCATCATCCCTTGCCGGGTCATTTCCATGCACCTGTAGATAAACAGGTGGGAGGCCTTGGTGCGGGCTCTTGGCGTTGAAAGGAGAGTAGTCGGGCGAGTTGAAATCTGGTTCATATGATGACCTCGAGAATTCCATCGCTGCTTTATTGAGAATAATTGCGTCCGCATTTTGTTCCCTAGAGAACCACAGTTCCTTGTATTGATCAGGGACGTATTCTTTCTCAAGCAGAACGGGCATATTCAGCCAGACTCCGGTTATACAAGGGGACACTGCTTGAGTAACCCATTTTTGGGCCGCGACGGCTGCCAGATTTGCCCCAGCGGAAGTACCGCCAACGATGAAACCCGCAGACAAGTCTGCTCCGAGAGATTGTGCGTTCTCTTGAGTGGATAACCACTTCAAGTTATCCCAGACATCATTTGGTGCGGTTGGAAACTTGAACTCGGGAGCCAACCGATAGGATATACAAACAACAACAGCCCCATATAAGATACTTAATGCTTCTGCATGAGTCTTCATAAGACTGTTGTCACCTAAAATAAATCCTCCGCCATGAATCAATATGATCAATGGCTTAGAACGGGAAACAGTATCCGGTTTATAGACCACAGCGCCATTCTGATGGTCATCTCTCATAGGAATGGTGATAACAAAGGCATTTCCTGGTGGTGCCTGTAAAGGCAGAGCATTCTGTCGGGACATCTGTACCAAACTTGGGAGAGGTATCAACAACATGGAGTTTTTCGAGCCGTCATTAGCAAGATACTGAGAATAGTCAGTCTCGTTCAGTCACTCTACATGGTATTGCTTACTTCAGATACCCCAGGGCTATAGAGTGTGTTATCATTAGCTTTGCACCAAAAGTCAGAGAATCTTAGTATGCACATACTCTAAGTTCCCCAGACTAGAGACACTTGCTTTCGTATTGTATGCAGCCATTGGTGCAATAAATTGTCGCTATGAAGTAGATGCTGTTAGCTTGGGATTGTGAAGAAGATGAGAATTAAACTGCCATCCAGGTCAATTACATTGTCTTTTTATATCTTTCGATAGATTTTGAAAATACAAATGAACATCATGTATATGCTTCTCAACGTTGAATCCATTGATCTAGTTGGTGGAATAATGTCCAGTCCCCGGATTACTAGTTTCTCAACACATCGTTAACATCATAGGCATATTACTACTTGGTTATTCACGCCAAGAAAAGCAAATGTTTCGGAAATAAGAGACAGCAACTGCCACAACTCGGACGTAAGCTTTGCTCCTTTTTTTTTCATCTGTTAGTGCTTGAGTTAGACCCTTGCCACCACCCCTCGTCTGTATTAGAAAATTAATTCCAAATTTGAACGAAACCCAAAAGTTCTGAATGCCCATTGCACCTAGGGGTAGGGTCAACGATTTAGGATAAGGTCTTACTGGTCTCAAGAGTCGGCTTGTATTTGTTACAAAACATAACCAAATGAAGTTGGGTGTCAATTGGCAGCTATAGCAAACTATACAATCGTCCTGAAGCATGAGAGGACAATAAGAGTCTGAATACCTCATAAAAAGATCCTTGGACGGTCACGTTTGTAAGATACGAGAAAGGGGCTTGAAGCTGCAGTGTGTCAACCAAGTTGCTGAGGTGAAGAATATTGTTGGTGAGAAGCCTGCAAATTCTCCGTAGGAGATTTAGTTCGGGAAAGCCGGCGATAATCAGTCCAGTTAAGTCTATTAAAGATATCAGCCTAGGCACCTGTAGATAATACATTCACGCAGAGTTGTTCACCATGGTTACATGTACTACCACATTTAGATTAACTACCTACCTAGGTAGTACAAGCGTAGTAGAAAAAGGAAGTAGGTGTATATGCACTCGGAGATCCGAATCATACGGATGGTAGTTGGCTATTACTCTTCAAAGCCCCCAATTCCTTGATAAAGAAACACAAATACAGGGCTTCACCATGTAAAGAGTGCACGTATTAACAAAAGTCAATGTTCTTTGGAGCCCACCAAGGCCAACTCAACCAAATGTGAATGACTCGCACTCATGTTGAAAGAATTAAATAGTGTATATTTGTCTTGGTATTGAGTATGTGCAAAGAGAAGAGCCCAGCCAAGGTGCCTTTGCTCCATCAGGAGACTTTTCGCGTCGCCAAGCACATACGACCATAGGTAGTGGAGAATTCGGGGTCCCGTCTGCTCCCCCAGAGACAAGCCACTAACCGGCAGATTAGTAGTTGGGTGGGTGACCACCAGCGAACACCGGCTGTTGTATGTTTTTTTAATCTTTTATAATCCCTCTAAATAAGGCCTTATAAGATGATCAGAGCCACGACCGAGCACATACGACCATATCCATTGGAAAATACGGGGTCCCGTTTGCTCCCCCATCGTCAAGCCAATGAGAGGCAGATTAGTAGTTGAGTGGGTGACCATCAGCGAACACCGGCTGTTGTATGTTTCTTTTTTGTTTTTCATCTTAGTTGATCTCATTTCAGCTTCTGTAATTGAGCTTGTGCTTCGTATTATACATTATGTAAAGTCAAAGATATTCTGACAACCGAGAGAGGTTCGAAGTAGTTGCAAGTAACAGTGAATCAGTCCAGAGTGTAAAGGAAGAAAAGCTTTTGTCGATGTAAATCTGGAACGATGGGACTTCTTGTGACCATACATGTATGTTACAATGCCGTCCATAGTTCCTACGCTTGGCTGAGGTTCTAAATGATCATCATTCTGATCTAAGGGGCAGACTATCAATAATTATTATATGTAATACTATTTCATATCCCAGTTGTTAAATACTTTGCTTCATCACTTTGATATGCACAAAAGCGCCGGAAAACAACACGCAACAGGAGGCTCAACCGCACCTACAGCCTCAAAGTCTCATTCCACGATTGCCAATACTGATTCTCCCAAACAGGCATGCATTTCACCATACTTGGGGGATCGAGCCGCCATTCTATTCTATCGCCATCTGAATCTTGTTTCAAGACTATGTCAGACGTAAATCCCTTGTCTTCCTTGATCTTCTTTGCCTTTTCCACAGAGTACTCAAGGTTTACGGACGGGACGACGGCGATTTTGCTGTAGCCCTTGAACCAAAGGTCTTTGCAAAACAATTGCGGCTCACCTTGTCTGCATTCACCGGCGGTTTCATTCGCCGCCCTAAATTCTACAGACTTTTCCAAGATTGGCTGGGCTGTGAATGCTGTAGCGCCGTTCCAACACGAGAAGACTTGAAAGGGACGTTGCGAGTAGAAACGACCTCGAGTCTTATCAGCGTTCCAGAAGAGATTCCATGCCGAGTTCCAATTCCCGTCGGAGGGAGTTTCGAAGAAAGAATCGCCATGGATTGTGCGGGCAATCCATACATCGTAAAAAGTAGGGTGCTCGCCAACATATGTCCAGTCCATGGCGCATGTCATATCCGCACCAAGAACTTTTTTTGATGGACGAGCTCGAGGATATCCTCGGAACATGCGAATACATCGTTGAGGAAGATGACGGTTGTATCACCTGTCGCTTTACCATGCAAGTCCAGGAGCGGTGCTAATGCCTTGTTTCGAAGCTGTGCAAGGCGCGTCACACGGCTGTCCTTGCTCGGATCGATTGCAGATGACTCGAAATAATATGCGACACCCATACTCTAAAGTATTGGCCGGAGAGCCGCAAGTACGTCCGCGGTGCCGTCTGGAGAGTTGCCTTCAACTATGGACAGTACACATTGTGCCGGGCCGAGAAACCGAATCGCCTCGACAATGCTGCCTATTAGTCGAGGTAACAAAGGCAAGTTTTGTCGCAAGTTGAGGGCGAAGAAGTATTTAATGGCGGGATCGGAAGGAAGTTTGCTCTTGAGTGCGCCATAACGTGTTGATCGTAGGGCATTCCAGATTTGGTAACGTTGAAAGCTGTGGTGTGAAGATGGCCTCGAGATATTGCGTGATGTTGGCGGCCGGCAAGATGCTACCTGGGAGAGTCAAGAGGGTCAGCTAAAGCTTGTTGTGTTTGCGAAAAGAAAAAGCAACGGCCAAGAGCAGAGTACCAACCATCAAGCGCACCGGCCAGCTCCGGCGTCTTTGGTCTTCCATCATCAGCATCATGTCGAAACAAAGATCGCGCAAATCGGTCCCTTCCCATTAACAGAGTTGTGGCCACAATGACGCCCGCGATCAATGGAGCTGCTAGTATCAACAGTCTCGTACGCATCTTGAGAACTGACAATTACACAGCACGCTGGCTCAAAATCGCATCCTTGGCTACATCATGGAGCTCAGAAGAGGATGCGAAGACGGTCATATTAAGGAGACTGTAGCCGCCCAGGTTAAACATGGAACCAACAGCTTTTTTGAAACCTCAGACTTGACACCTGGGGCAGTTGGGTGTTCGGGTAGTCCGTCTAGGTGTCTTGCAACGTGCTATATGTATGGATGAGTGGAGGGAGGCAACCCGAGCATCGAGTGATGCAGCTCTCCTCTCTTTCTCAGAGTTCTTCGCTTCCGCTTATGTCGCAGATCGGTCACAATATCTTCATGGTATAGCCAGCCGGGGCATGCTAGACGAAAACCATGGTTGCATATATGACGAGAATACTCGCCGTTTTCCTTTTCTTCTCCCAAGTCAACAAGTGTAGAGCGCGGAATCTTGGTAACCCACTACCCACTCTCACAGCGCAGCTAATTCAACGCAATGCAACGGAAACGATAAACGAGCTGCTATGCAGACAGAAATGTCTACTTGCGGATACGAAAACGGCGATCCAAAAAGAAAATCCGCACTGCTAACCCTGGATTCGATTGTCGAGTTGACACCATGAATGGCCTCTGGGGTTTTTGTCCCGTCACTGTTATAGCAGCTACTGACTGCGGCTTGGCTGGAAGCTGCGTCGACCATGGATCGTGTTCGAGTGGGTGTGGGAAAACTGCCAATACCAAATTGACTACATTTACTTGGTAGGTCTCATCTCCAATAGTCACGGATTGCCTTTGTGGCATAGCAGTTGTTAATGACTTGACTCTGCAGTGGGCCGAAGCAATTCTGTTCCACCGCGCTCTTGACTTTTGGCGTCGGCCAAACATACTCCTATATTGGCTGTGGCGGAAGCCCCAAGACGGATCATTATCTTATTTCGCCTACCGCAGATTCTGGCTCAGCCTCTGACAAATTATCTTCACCAACGACACCGGGTACGACACAGATTTCGACGAGTGCGTTTACACCATCATCCAAGTCCACAGATGCATCTGTTGGTAAAACACCAGTGCCGATAACGCCCTCAAATGGCGTAGGGCCTGCAAAGGAAACAAATGGCGGCAGTGGCAGCACCAACAACGGTGGTTCATCTGCAAACAACACTGGAGCAATCATTGGTGGTGTCATCGGTGGCATGGCTCTGCTGTGTTTCTCCGGCATTGTTGCACTTTTGCTATTGAGGAAGAATCGATCATATCACCGCCAGAAACCAACTAAGAGAGCGCAAAGAGATACTCATCAGTCTTGGTATCATTCGAGTCCTAAAAGCAAGCATCGTCTCACAGGTGGCTGGGGACCTAGAGAACTGCAAGGCTCGGAATATGAAAGAATCCCTGATAAAGCCATAGAACTACCCGGCTAGTACTTAAAATACTAAGTTTCTCAAAGGCAAAGCTTAGAGGATTAATGTCTAGAGCGCGAGTCAGTGGTTTTCTCCCTGGACAGGATTTTGAACATCTGTTGCCAAATGTTAAGAAACGGCAAGGTCATAGCGGCTGAAAGCGTGTTGATGAAAGAACCACTAATAACTACTGGCTGTTATAAGTTTGTTTGCTGCTTGGTTTTCATACACGTCTAATTACTTTTGTCAAGTTGCGATTCTCTACATTTGGTCAGCATTTTGCATAGTAGCACGTCTTGTTGGTGTTGTGACTGATGCTATCGCGGTGGAAGAGACATATAAAGTCAATCAACAGTAGTATATTTGGCTATTGAATATGTGAAATAAACTACCGACGGACTCTTCCATCCCCAAACTACTCTGTCCTTAACCCTAATGCTTTCTTTTTTTATTCTCCGCATTTTAGCCCAACAGGGAACCAGGTATAAGCTTGAACGGCAGAGTTCTTATGCACTTAGACGTAAGTGTCGGTAACAGTTGAGCCGTCAATGGTGACGCTGGTGAGCACCTGGTTGTTCTGTCGAATGTCGATGATTGAAGCAGTAGAAGCATCCAGAGTGGAGCTTCCGGTCGATGCCGTGGCATCAGTAAAGACAACGCTGCCCCAGTTGGCGAGGTTAACGAGAGAGGAGCCTTCCTCAAAGTCCTCGACGATCCATTCCGCGTTCTGGCCTCCAAGAGCGTAAGTAGAAGTGAGAGACTTGGAAACGCTCTTGCCGGTGGTGACATTCTCGATGACTGCAGTGCCAGCTTTGGTAGAGGTTGCAGTGACGGTAGTCTTGATGGTATCGCCGGGGGAGATGGCGAGAGTGAAGTCGTATGCATAATCGGGGAACCACTCATACCAGGCGTCGTAGCTCACTTTACCATTGGTAATGGTAAAGTCAACACCCGTCTGCCAAATAGCATTCTGGTAGGTGTCGCCATCAATGCCAACCCAGGCGGAGGCACTGTAGGTGCCGCGAGAAGAAGCACCCGAGGGAGCCTTGAGAGTGGGCACGACAAAGCTAGCAGAGACGCTCTTGAAAGTCTGGCCAGCTGGAGGGGAGGTGATGACGGCTCCCGACCAGTTGCTGGAGTAAGAGACGTGGGTGTCATTGCCACTGGCAACAGATTCAACATCAAGGCGCTGAATAGGCCTGGAAGAGCGTCCTTGTCTGCGAGCAACACGCTCGCTCAAGGTGCTGGGAGCGGCAGAGACATAGCCAGCGAGCAGTGCGTAGCTGAGGGTAATGGCGGAAAACTTCATCTTGAAAGGTTGAAGTTACGTTGGGGTCTTTTCAAGTTGTGTTGGTGCAAGAGCTGGATGCTTCTGAAATGTGTTGTTGAAGAGTGGTGCTGAACTCCAAATTCACTGGCAGATTCCCATGCTTTTATAGACATCACAATTCAGCTTCACCTACGAGAATAACCATACGAGTATGTATATAGTATGTATGCTGCTTGATACTACCTTCCAAAAGTGTCGAGTTACCATTTAGCGTAATGAGTATAAGACAGCAGAAAAACATGCAAGATAATGCAATGAGTGAACTCCGGCATGTGATAGTTGGGATGTTGACTCCATCTCTTGATGAATCGTAGAGCAGCAAGTCGTCGTCCTAAGTGACGACCCACCATCTCTGCTGCATTCCTATCCCTAAAAAGAAATTCAAATCCGGGAACCTTTGCATTCTAAAGGCGTAATTGCAGGGCTTGTATTGTTGAAGATTATCGTGAGAGATTGCATTGGCGCGGATGCCGTGGAAGGCATCACACCTCAGTGCCGTGTTCCGGCAGATGGCACTGCTGCCAAGACTCGGGAACGATCTTGTAAACCATCTTGAACTAACATCCCGCATGATTAACCTTAGACTCCTTCACCTGCCTAATTCAGCGGATCCTACCGAGATTCGAATGGCGTCTTGTGTTGCTATAATTGCCCTATAACTCGCTGCCGTCTCAATGGCGTATTTTGCTGCATAAATTACCGAATTGCGTGGGTTGTTGTTGTAATACAGCATTGCATAGTCGCCATAACTAAGCCCTGTTGCGGGTTATTTACGGACCGAGCCGTTGAAGACAATGATGACCTAAAGCGGCAATTGGTTAATAGCCAGGTGGAATGACTGTAAGCGAAGGTTGCCTTGCCTCTAAACGTTCTGAGAATGTTACATGACTACATGATTTATTATACCAACAGGCCTAAATTGAGGAGAAAGATGGCGAACATGTATGCAAAACTACATGTACAAGGGCGTTGATGCGTCAAGAACTGGCATTTAACAACATCCCCCACCCCCGTTTACCATCTACATGTACCTTTAGCAACTGCCGCGCTCTTTCGACATTTCTCTTGATAAAAGCATATGCACTCTCTGTATGCGCTGAAATGCCAGGCTCCACGCCAGGTTTCTTGTCCAATACTCTCTCTATGGCCGTGTACTGCGATCTGGTGCATCATATGATCTTACGAAGCATGCTCGTTTATATCTTTCGAAGAACCTAGCACGGTACATTTCATCAAGAATGAAAAGAATGTCGCCATGTTTATGCAAGTGCACATTGAATCCAAATCCATCAAGGTGGAGTTCATTATCACTATGAGTGTGACATCGCGTGGGCTCCCGACAGCCTTGCATTAGAAGGACCAACTGATCAATGTCATGTGAGAGGCTGTGCTACCTGTAACACACCGAAAAAATATCTTGATAAAAATTAACCGTCAGTTATCAAAGACATGAAACTATTACAGGGTATTTCAAAATGAAGCCAAGAGGGTTCCGTGAGTAGACAAACTAGGTTGCTGTATCCGTACGACATGCCTTGCCTTGGGCAGAAACATTAGGCAAGCATGCATGCAGTAGCTCCAGTTGGCCCTGATACGGACACAATTTCGTCATATGCATTCTTTATGAGGCGTAATTCTTAATCATTTCGTGTGCTCTGCTATGTATCAACGAGGCCGTGCAGGCTCAGTGGTGGTCAACCAAATAAAGGGAAAGGGTGAGGCATGCAAAAGTGATAATCAAGTACCTGGGTAATAAACTACCTGGATGAGCTCTGAATAATGTTAAAGTTCCACGGTCAACCTATCTTAAGATTGAAGGTTAATACCGGTAGGGAAAAAAACTGTCATGATTCCCGGTTTAGTCACCTAATAGCCAACACAGTCAAACAATGCCGTCCGTATATGACACTGACTATGTGTTCTCTAATCGTCAGTAGAAAATTAATTCCATAATTAATAGGCACATGTAGATACTAGCACATTGATGCACATCAAGCGTGTACAGCCAACAGCCTCCACACAAATAATAGTATTCTTATACTTCACATTTTACTTCATACAAGTCTAGAACAGAATTCAATGTGTCTTTCCCAGTGTAATGTACCATTTTCCAACCCATCCACAATAATCCATCCCTAGATCTGTAACTACATATCCCTATCAACGTCAACGACTATCCAGATATCTTATAAGAAACTCCGTCACCTTCTGCTGTCTTATAGGAACTCCATTAACAGACCGTGTGCCAACTGTTTGAACCTTTTTGTTTCGTCAATACACTTGACAAATCAGTCAACAACAACCGTCTTGGTATACGGCTATCGTCCAAAGTTCTTCAACTCAGCCTCTCTTCTACTCTCTCCACGCATTGCTAAACTAAAATACTAAGAAGACATGAGGAGCGAGCCGCAAGGCTAATCATTAATTTCGCCAGAGAGACGAGCTAGATCATAAGATGGATACTTTACTCCCTTATGGTAGAGAAAATCGGAAGGAGGATCGTAAAACCGATGACGCTGGTTGCACTTCTCCACTTTGAGCCTGCAGTTATGTCTATTCTGCACTTATTAATCAGCTTTCCGTTTTGGCACAGAATTTCTGCACAATTGAAAGGAAAACAGACATCACAGTACCTTTCACTATATATAACCAAGCTGGTCTTAATAGTAGAAGGGGAGACAGATAGCTAGGACCGATGCACTTTGTTCTTCACGTCCTTATTTCCCCATTTGGTCCTTAGTTCACTCATCACTCAAATATAGGCACTCCACATATCCTATGCAAGACATATTCCATAGTTTGGTTTCAACTTATAGCTTCAGATGATGGGTCCAGGTTCATATTCGCTTTGGACAGTCAAAATAGTACAAAGTAGTCTTATTTACTCAAGAACAAGAAGTTTCATTCATGCTTAGACAACAGATAATTACAATTCACTACCACCAGGTATACCCATCTTTCCGAAGAAAAGTTAATCAGTGTTGCATTGAACAAACTCGATAACATCCTTGGACTCGAGAATGATAATTCCAGGTCCATTCACCTGACCCACTCCCAGACCGCGGCTCATGGCATCCAAGAAAGCGCAGCGAGCACCGAAGTATCTGCCGGGGAGGGCAGGGTTCAAAAGTGGCTCGACGAAGACATTGTCAACAATGCCGCCGCTGTCTAAACAAATGGGTTAGTAAGCGTTTTGAAAAGTCAAATACCAGATTATACGTACTGAGAGGCACCTGAGAGATGCTGTCGTCAACCCACTTCATCTCGGATTGAGTTCCGTTTGTGTAGGTGAAAATGACACCGATCTTGCTAGGCTCGGCCTTAGGGGCAGCCATGACGAGGCTGCTGAGAGCTGCGAGAACGACGGCGGCGCGCATGATGATTATTGGTGGCTGCAGTTTATTGAACCTGGAGTAAGATTGAAGTTGGAGTTGCTGGTCTTCAAAAAAGGAATAACTTTGCCCGTTGAGAAGGACTCTTATATACAATTGCCCATGGTGGAGCACCTCCTTGACTTCGTATTTCGCCAACAACCCCGGCATTTCCCAAGCCCGTATCAGTAGTGATGTACTTGATACGAGTAAAGGCTCAAGCAATTTCAAGCAAATGAACCCCGGACTACAGACGCCAAGCCTCTAAACTCTCCCCCACAACAGCACGGTCGCTCGCGAAGCTCTCCTGTATAAGCAAGTTATCATCATACGAGTACTTTCTCGTGTTGGAAAATAGTAGTCAAGATACAGAAGCGGTGTGGCTCTTTGCCAATTTGTCTTCTCTAACGCCAAAAATGCCTTTTGGGTTGTGAGTAGCTCTCCTGTTACCAGGCCCACAGAAGTAAGAGTGCACAATTAAGGGGTCAGACTACCGAGGTAATATGCCAGGGTTTGTCCACTATGACAACGCTCATTCCCCTATTTCCCCATGTTAACGAATCTCGTTCAATACTGCATCAGGTAATTGAACGGAGCATTATGGCATTTAAGCTTAGCTTTGCACGGTATTTGTATCACTACAACTGTAAACACTGCGAAGCGCCTGCGTTAATAGTAGTGAATACACAGAATCTAAATCTCTTCTTCGAACATATATTTTTACAAAGAAAGAAAAGAGAGTCGGGGGTTTTCCCCCCATAACGCGCCGTCCAATTAACACCATGTGTCGTGCTTACTACCAAGTGTCCAAATTGTTCTCATCCACTATATTTGCAGTAGGTGACGATCAAACATACGCGTGTGGGTTCTTCCATTGAATCTCAAATCCTCTAAATGGATACGTAATTCAGATCTGATCCAACTAGCTATTTCTTACCAACCCGTGGGATCAGCGACACTATTATAGGCTAAAGACGAAGGTCATAGAAGCATCCTCTAAAACTGCGCATCTTGTACACTCAGATTCGGTAAGGTGAAGGCTATGCTGACAACTAGCCCGATTTCTAGAATAAGCAGCCAAAAACCCTTCCTATTGTCTACCATCAAAGATGTTTGTGTACTGTTGAAGCATAAGATTCTGGTCAAAATCCTGCGCTATCTTTTCAACCGTTGCGGATTCAGGATCAGATTTTGCCAAATCCAAGTCCATCATGAATGTTGCTCTAACGTCTCCTGGTAGCTGGTAACCGCTATTGTTGCCATTAATATCGTGCAGCAATTGCCGCGCAGTTGGGCTTGTGATGTCTCCCTTACGCAAAGCCATCGATAGAAGGGCTGTCGAGATAGCTCGTGTAACACGCCAACACGGTCGAAGTCGTTCGTAGCCATAGACGCAGAGCAAGAAGTAAAAGAACCAATTTTCGTCCTTGGGGTGGTTTAGAACGGCGTTGGCCAAGTAAGTCAAGGCCGTATGCCATAGTATCGTGTAAGATGACGAGGCGAAGTTGAGCCTATAATTTATAATGAGCTGTTTAAGCTGGCGAGCCGATGCGATGCAGACATTTTCCGCAGTGCTATGAGGACTGGTGAAAGTTTTCAGGTGCTGATTCTTTAAGTCGCTAGACATTGAAAACCTGAACAAGTCGAGGATGGCGGCATGAAGCCATATGCTACAGATATGATTAGAGCTTGGATTGAACGGGGATGCATTCAAATTTCACTTCAATAATGACAAGTACGTACTGTAAAATTTGGACAAAATGCGGGCTTCGATCGTTTCGAGACAGTTTTAGCGGCAGGCGGTTGCTCCAGGCTAGCAATTCACGAAACTTGAATTCTGCAAAGTACAGAGTTCTCCGGTCACCCGCGAGTGGCCCTTTATGCCTGTACATTATAGCTAGTTCATGTAATATGGACCAGAACTGACAGATATAAGGGAACACCCCGCCCATATACTGGGGATCAGGCTCGGCTTGGGGATTGTCTGAGTTTTCGGGCTCTCCTGGTACATCTGGTTGGTGATTCCAAGGAATAGGTAGTTTAGGCGGGATCCTGGGGCATTGCAGGCCTGGTTGGCGGTAAAATAGAGACATGTGGCTGTTAAAAGGTGAGCATTGAGATTGTCCACTCGAAATGACTGGGTGGTGAGAATGTGAGTACTCACGTAATCCAATTGAAAGATCCCCAAGCCGCGTACAGCTGCGCAGTCTTTTCTGGTTCTGGCATGAGCTCGATTTTTTGTTGTTTGTGGTTTGCCCCAACCCCAAGGAGGCCCATACGGACGGCCATCTGGGATGCTTCGTTGAGATATTCTAGGACAACGTGATCTCTCCCCTGACCTAGGTAACCCAAACTCAGGAATTGCACAGCTGCTAAATTCAGTATTGAGTCGTAGCTGCGTTGGCTTTCCCAGAGCGACTCCGCCTCGGTGCAGAAACGAAGTGCCAGTGAGCCACCATCGGGGTCTTGAGCATTCTTCAGCTGCTATTCCTTCAGTTAGTTCGTGGATTGTATTGTCCAGTTGCATTTGTATGCCAGTACTTACGCATGCCCAATAAAGAAGCGCGTTGACAAGCATTGAGGAGCAGTAGTCCGTCTTGCCCGCCGTGAGGCTAGAGACAAACGAGTTGGGTTCGAAGAATCCCAAAAGGGGATGATCTGTTTCCAGATATAGGGAGATTGCACGAGCAGCATACTCATTACTAATTATCACATTCGTCCAACTGCTTATATCTAATTGGGCGAGACGACTATCGCAAAGAGGAGGTTCGGGTTCTGCTTCGGGTACTGCTTCGTGCTGTGTTGTGCCTTGCATAAACTCGGTACCTGAGCCTCTCCTCGCTGTATGTACAAGCTGCTGGTACGTAGCCTCTTCTAGAGTTTCTAAGCTCAGACTTGGTGTAGCAGGGTATGCATTTGGATACTGAGGTCCCAGCTCCAAGGATTGAAATGCATCGCTCATCGTTGCCGCTTCGAAGCTGGGATCAGAATTCTGCAGAGTGCCAGCTTTGTCTCTTAACCTAGAGAGGACAGCGGAAGCGTCACCCTCTTTTTTCAGGCTCCTTAACTTGTCCAAGACTTTGTCTTCCGGAAGTTCGTTGAGCAGGCGGATTACTTCGAGGAGTAGCGATTGAGACTCTTCCGATATTGCAGAATCATCCCTGTACACGCAATCGCTTTGTGTGTTCTCACAAGCCGAACAAACTGGTCTTTGGCCGTCGCACTAGGAATGTTAACTTCGATCAATGATAACTTTGCATCTCGAATAATACAGGACACACCCGGATCTTTTTGCGACGGCAAGCGTTGCAGGCTATTGAAACACCTACACGACGTCGCTTGGATTCTAGTACCTCCGAGGAGGCGGACCCAGCATCCGTGGTGTCTTGTGAGCGTTTGGGGGTGATGGATACGTAATTATGCATGGTTGTGATTCATAGAGTCATGATAATCAACTGAAATAGCATGGAACGGCACTTGAAATAGCCTTTGAGAGGAAAGGGTATTGACAGCCCTGCCAACATACTCCGATCGCATCATGCTGACGATACTCAGAGGCTGCAGTGCTTGTGTCGTACGCTAGGGCTTAGCGTCAGAATGGCTGAGACATGACAGCATTCTAACAACGATGGTGGACATGATCTGGCTGGTGAAATAATGTGGTGATCTCATAAGTTGCCAGATTCGCATCATCTTGAGCCCGGAGCGAATCAGAAGGCAGTCATCGTTTCGATCGCCATGTGGGAGCCGTCGCGTGCGGCGGTTGAGAAGAGCTGGAATTCCACCTGGTATCCAGTTAATTTGACGGTTACTTTATGCTAACTGCGCGTCGTGCATGTGGATAATGAAGCCTTCACCACGCAGGAGTTTATCATGTAGCGCTATTCAATGTGTCATGCATGTCATTCTCGTGAGCAGCGACCTCTATAGACTTCCTGCAATCAGCTGTCACCGTTTCAGTCGTAAATCATTGGTCATATATTGGATATCGCTCCGAGATGTGACCAACACGACCTTCTCTATTAACCCATCCAAACATTACACAAAGGTTTGGGTGTAAGAAGTATCATGTGCCTGATTTCTTGGTTCTGTACGTATATGGTCTATAGTATTAGACAAACTATTACCAAAGAGATCTTCTTAGCATTGATCAGGAAACAACTCTCGAGATGACTCTATCTCGGTGGCTTGAAGCCATCCCACTAGATGGCATTGCGGTAACCTAATGCCACCTGGATTCAAGGCGCGCAGCAAGTCTTTCCAATTAAATACCCAGGAACTTGCTCAATTACCTTAGTAGTGTTAGCTATTACTGAAGTTACACCTAGCTAGTGTTCAATAAGGGAAATAGTAGCCAGCATCCCAAGCGTCCGAACAGGATGTGAAGTTCACTTACTCGTGTAGTAGATGGTACATTTAGATGCCTATACCTGGCTTTTTAAGTACCCGCTACTACCACCACTATTAATGATGCTTTATTCCAGCGTCTGCTATTATTGCTATTTTGTTTTGGCATCTGCTCCTATTGCTATATTCTTCATATTTCTGGCATTGTCACTCACTACTTATGTAGCTTTAAAACTGAAACATGGGATGCTGCATAGCAAACTTAGGATACTGGTTAGTATTCCCTTCTCATAGCGAATATGCAATGCTGGACACTAACCGACCATCGTGACCACTTCATCAAAATGACTAAATATTCATCATTGATTGTCGCTGGTTTTCGGCTTCTTTTCTCGGCACTGATAAGCGACGCAATGGAGCAGGTTTCTCTTCAGAAACTCTGTGTAGCCAATCCAAATCCTTTGAACGCCTACATCTAGCTCCATGCGGACCAAGATTTGACATCCGTCTTTTGCAATGTCTCCGGACATTGAGTTCCAAGTGTTGTCCCTTTGTCCTTCGAATTGATTGACAGTCACGCTGCATTCTATCTCCGACAGCACCTATCCCCACAACTAATGCCATGAGATGCGGGCCTGAATCCACGAAGGAAGCTCTAACATACGAATTAGAGAGGACAGTGCACCACTGTGTCCAACAAGGTTGGATGCCTAGAGCAGTCAGGCCATGCCTGTCTCGCCTTTTCAACCAGCATTGACTCAGCCTCATTTGTGAAACTCTCCCCCTCCATTTAAAAGGCTGCTCTTCACTCTTGCGCTCAACATTGGTAGCGTTCCAATTTTTGTATTCGGCGAGCCATTCAGGCCCAACTTTATCAAATCATTTGGCAATTTCTGCTTCAGGAATTTCCCCCCCTTTTATTTACCTCATATTCGCACCGTAAGCCGAGACGTCGATGTCCCAGCCGAACGGACAAGCAGACCTGGTGCCCAAGGTCACCGATATAAGACCCCTCCCCTTCAGGTCGCCGGAGCCACCACAGCACTCTATGGATGAGATCAGTGTCCAAGGCGGGGTGATAATAGATAATACAGAAGAGCATCGTATTATCTCTGACGAGTCTGCACCGCAAAGCTCTACCACAGATAACCCACAAGTTCTGCAAGATGTTGCCTCTCCAGAATCGCCGAGCGACGCCGGTTGGATGGTGTCTGATAAAGAAGCCGTGGACTCAGACAAGGATACCATCGAAAATATGTCTCTTGGAGACTTCCAGATGCGCGAAGAAACTCCGGAACCTGCAATCAGCAATCCCCTAGAAGCCTATGGGTTGCAATTGATGCGCCTTGAACCACAAGGGAAAACCCCTTTGACGCCGGCTCGTCCAGAACAACCGGAGTCTGGAATTAAATTATTACAACAAGACTATGCATTGCGTTTCAAGCTTCTCGAGGAGCAGACCAAAACCCGCCTTATCATGGCTCGTCAAGAACAGCCGGAACCTGCAACTAGTTCAACCCAACCAGACTATGACTTGCAATTGAGGCTCCTCGAGGTGCAGAACAAAAGGCGCCTTGACATGGCTCGACAAGAACAATACAAGTTCCGTACCCCGCCGCCGCACCTTGATACACAAAGAGACGAATCTTCTGAGATGAATGGTCAAGAACAGCCGCAACCTGCAAACCGTCTAGCTCTACAAGATTATGGGTCACAGTTGATGCTCCTCGAGGCGCAAAACAAAAAGCGCCTTCAGATGGCTCGACAAAAACAATCCCCACTCGATATCCAGCCACCACAGACTCAAATGAAGATGAAGGGGCCTCCAGGGCCTCATGTTATGGCCGTTATGCCCCCAACACAAGGAAATGCAACTGCAGGGAGCGGAAACATGATGGCAACTCTGCCACCCGGAGCTCGATACTTTATACCGGCCTCTCCGGCCAATCCAGCGGCTATGAATGTGAAGATTATGCCTAATTCGGGAGCCCAGCCTGTCAGTCAATCCAATCCTAAAGACCAGGCAATGCCAATGCTAATAGCTTCCTCCAGACAACTCTACCAATGTCACCGAGCCCTCCAGATCCTGCGATCCTTGCTCTACAAGGGCAACTGAGAGATCTCGTGATTACAAACCAAGTACTTCGACGGCAGTTGAACGATGCAAAGGGGGTCAATTTCGCTATATTCCACTGCATTGTCGGTCAAGAAGAAGAAGGGACCTATCTTGAGAAGCCACACTGGACAAAAAGTGGTGAAAAGTTACAGCTCAAGGCATACGCACCATTACTTTATCCTGATGCATACATTCTTTACAAGCCTCTCGCCTTTGTTATTTACAAATATTACTCACCCGATATGTCGACAGAGGCCAGCGAAATCTTACAGCAAGGTGGCGAGATGCCAGGGCCAGAGCCAACCCGTGAGGTCATAAAGCTCTTGTCGGACGATATGATAAAAGCAGTAGAGTTATTTGAGAAAGAGGATGAAGAAGCACAGAAGAAGCTTCCGTGTCTTTCCGTCGAGAAAGAGATGTCAGCGCCGTACCTATGGTGGTACCACTACCGCGACAACCGAAACAGAATTTCTAACCTGCCGAAGCCAGAAGCTGAGCTCGTTCACCTTTTGACCAATTGGATAGATGCCAATTATAGTGAGCTCTATGATCAGATTGATAGCCAATTCAAGCGCGGCGCGGTCTCCGCCACATCTCTGCCTTTCTTGGTCCAGCCCGGCGACGTTTTGGTTCGTTGGGATGCGGAGGGCGTCGAAGCCTTTTTGGCAATGTCTTGGTTGCATAAAAAGAAGAAAAACTCCGAGATACAAGAGCATCTAGAAGATTCGGACTGGACCTTCCTATCGGCACCTTGGTCGAAGAAATTCGAGAGTTGGGAAGTTGACGCCTGGTCATACGTGTATAGCGGGAACTTTTATCGGGTGGTGGGAAGACTCGATATAAATCTTGACGTGGATGAAGCTGGTACGGAGATTCCCATTGTGAACTTGAACGTGTTCCCGCTCCGATTTGCCTCGCAAGAGTTGCGAGAAAGGCTGGAGCGGCGAGGCAAGATCTTCTGGAACTGTGGATATGGCAACTACATCTCATACGATAACCAGAACAAGAACGAAGAGCATGCTGTGAGTTATCATAACTTAGCCACAATCTAGAAACCAGAATCACTAACGCGTCGACGTAGCAGGAAGAGTGCTACATGATAGACTGCCGTGTATACTATGAATCAACGCCTAATCAACGCGCAACACCTGAAGAAAATGCCTCAATACGCGAATTCAAGGTGGAATCCCGGTTTATACCGGGAGAGGAGAGCCCATCAGAGCCCGACGTGTATCTTTTTCCTCGAACAATCATCGGCTACCATCTACAGCGCAAGGAATGGAGTACGTATTCGCATATTCGTGAAGACGATTTACAGAGGGCAACACACTGACACCCTACAACTTAGATCGCCTAAATGTCGATCAAATCCAGGAAATGCCTTGGAATGAGAAAGCATTTAGCAATATCGCTGAAGACGTCGAGATTGAAGAATTAGTTCGGGCTCTTGTCGCAACCAAGATTGCTGCACAAGTAAGAACAGACGCGATACATAAGAAAGGCGACACCCTCATCACGGTCCTTCACGGAGGCCCAGGAACGGGAAAGACATTCACGACTAAGAGTATTGCTGAGCTAGCAGAGAAACGCCTCCTAGAGGTGAAATGCAGCAAACCCGACATCACAGCCAAGCGTCTCAATTCAATGTTCTACCTCGCCGGACTTTGGGGAGCTTTACTTATGATCGAAGATGCAGAGGCTCTCCAAGAGCAGCGCCCTCTGGACGGCCCGCCACGTGATTCGTTCGTCTCGGACCTTTTACGCGAAATCGAGCGCTATGATGGCATCATTGTCTTTACTTCAAAGAGTGCCGGTGACCTTGAAGAGTTGCTCAAGTCACGCTCACGGCTATCTGTACCCTACGAAGCACTGACTCAGCCACGACGGGCACAGATCTGGCGCAACTTTTTGAGTCATATCGACTCCCGGGGCGAAAAGAACATTGACTTTGATGGCATTCATACTCACATGGGTGAACTGTCAGAACGAGTGATGAGCGAACATCAGATCTGTAGTGCCATCACTACCGCCTGGCAGTTGGCTCAGTTCCAAGGCAAAATGATGACCATCGGTCACTTGAGATGTGTTAATAGCTTCGCCGACGAGCATATCCCGTTTTCGTGAGGGGGGACTCTCGAATGACCAGATGACGAGCGGTGAAGGCTGTGCTCAAGATAGTCTCCCGAATATCGCTCATTTCGTCTTTCGAGTCCTCTGGCCAACAATTTTACGACCAACAGCTTTACGGATTTACAGCTTGACGGATATACAGCTTCACGACCAACATGAGCCATTCATTACTAATGTGATAAACCATCAGTCAAATAACTAGTAGAACATTTACAGAATAGATTGATCAATATTTTTGATAGCCTCTCCCAATATGATTAAATTTTTGTCAAAATTCTACATCCTTTAGTTGATTATGATGAATTCTCTGACTATATCTCCAGCTCAAAGATCATCTAATGCTAGATCAGTGAAGGATTTCCCACCATGTTCATAGAAACAAAAGGGCTTGCCAATTCCAGATTAGTCTCCGTTACCCATGTCTAATTTGATTTCATCCGTAGCTGTGAAAGCTATGCTGCCTCCACGTTAAATCCTCTTGATGCAGTAGCAAATGCATGTTGTTTTGTTGCGTGGTCACACGATTGGAGCGCCGCAAGGATCATACAAATAGCCTTGTTTATAATAGAAGAGATGCCTTCTTGTAGCCTAGAAAGAAGCATACTAGCGACGCTGTTAGGGCATCAAATCGAGCCATGAAATGAAGGCGTTAGCCGCCGTTGGGTCTATCTCATGGTCACACATGTATGTATAAGTACATGTACAATACTCTAAATTCCAAGACGTCTTGTTTTTCTACAATGATGCTGTCGATTCTCATCATAATTGTATTCTCAACAGTTCATACACATTGTGGTGCAGAGCGTTCCAGTCATAAGAGAGCAGCGTGGAGCTGGCTTACGAGTACATCTCCATTTGCGGCAACCGAGAATTTAAAAAATTCACTAATATTAAAGAGAATTCACCTAGTAGTAGACAGAGATATCGAGGGCTTGAGTGTGGATTTTCTAGCAGACACTGTGAGATGCTTCAGTAAACAGGACGATAAGGTCAAGTCCCTCGACATCGGGTCAGGCTATATGATGAATGCCGATCAGGATCGCATATTAAGTGATTGGAGGAATTATCAATCTTTTGGTACTCATGGAAAGGTAAATGTAGTCGCCTTTGGCGAGGACATGCGGCGGATGCAAGATTTAGGCTCCATCCTCACATTGTCGGACACGGCATGCCCTTGATGATGAAAATGCCAAGTTTAAACTAGACCAACAATATCCAAAGCGCATGTATATGAGAGAATTCGAGAGACTATCCTTTTTGAGAGCCGTATTGCAATAAATCCATAACCAACATACGGCAGCATTGGGAATTCGCGCCGGTCTGTCTTTATTCTAAATATAGTACCGTATGCTTCCTCTGCTAATGTGTTGGTCAGCAATATTGTGTCTGTATACAGGTATAAGTTGCATTTCGGAAGATTAAATCAGACTAATTCGATCCAGCAGATGTATACGACGTCATCAGAGGCTTCCCAAACAAATCTAGCAAATGCGGGCATGACAAATGAACTTGCACTTATTTACTATTTTACACACTATATCTACAAAGGAACTATTTCATAAAGACCTTATTACTGTGCTTCAATATCATGCTGAACATAGATGACGCCCCGCGTTTCCGTCACAGTCTTTTTTCCAGGCTCAAACATGATGTTTGTCGTTACCGTCGGGATTTCAGCTCCGTTGGTATGGAAGCTCTTCGAAGACTCTTCCTCAATCTGGCTATACTGCTTTTTGGCGTATAGAGTGCTCCTGCTATCAACCCCGGATCCAGCAGTTTTGCTCTGGAGGCGGATATTATTCCCATCAGACAGCTCGGTCAGTCTTGTGATGACCGGCTTGACGTAGGTCTTGAGCAGGGGTCCGAGGGTAGGAATGCAGGCAGCGATGATGCCCAGCCACAGTTCGAGCAGACTGATCAATCCGATGTCGAAGAGGTTGAAGACGAAATCGGTATCGTTTAGTGTCGAAATAGTAAACTGTAGTCGCCATGCCATGATGCCAATGGTACTGGTCGAGTTAGCTACCCATACCTATTGTCGCCACAATCCGGAAGAAAAGGCCACTTACATGAAACCAATGCTAAACATGACGGAGACGACCAGCTTTGAGCGAACAGCCAGCTGGAGACTCCAGAGCACAGGCAAAGGCATAATGACAATTCCGATATCGACAACCATGTTGAGCGACACAGAGGTCAGCTCCTGGACGACAATGTTGCGGCATGTTCCTCCCGGCACCGGATCCCATTGCTGAGAGATGGGGCGACACTGAGTCATGAAGAGAATCAGAAAGGCAACGCCATAGCAGGCGACGACCCCCATCATGATATGCGCCCATAGCTTGAAGGTCTTTGTGCTAAAGATTCTCGTGTATAGCCAAAGAACCGACAGCTTGATGAAGACGGTGCCCAAGAGCCATGTAACTCCACTCGCGAGGATAAGCTGGTTCGCACAGTTTAGTTTTTGTCGCGAGATTCGGGATGACCGATGATTGGAGGATGAAATCATACCTTGAACTGGACGCCGAATTCATACGGGTTGAGTTCATTTGTGTGCTTGCCCAAGCCATTGTAGATGGCCCAAATGACGACTCCTTCCAACGAGATGGTGTTGGCCTAAGTTCCTACTATTAGCCTCTCTATTCACGCAAACCAACCAACATGTACCTGCAGCCTCCGACTCCACTTGGAAGAAAACCACAGGCATAAGGCGTCCAAAGTGGTTACTTACCAGGGCAAACAAGACCATGTAGTCATCTGGAAGCAGCTTCCGCCTGGAGAGAGCCGCGGCCCAGAAGCGCAGTCCGATGCAAACCGTGCACAGCACGGTGAATACAATGATCCATATGAGGAGCTGGATTCCTCGACTGCCTGCAGACATTGTTGCAACGGACGGACGACGTGGCAATGTGTGTTGGTTTGAGGGGTCAAGGAAGTACGAGTAAGTGGTAGCAGCAACGAGGTGGGTTTGGCATAACTGCCATATAAGTATAAGCACCGCCCGACGGGGAATATGTACGAAGCACCTCTGACTGCAGGGCATAATGCTACATTGACCTGCAAAGTGCACATGCGTGCGGTGCACTTACAAATGATACACAAGCAACTGGCTGGGGGAGGAGACAATATCGTATCACGGACGCGATGGGAGGGGGGCGTGCGGTCACACCAGCCCTTCAGATGGTTCCCGCAAAACCGCCCGTTGTAGCATCTGCTACCACTTTGTCCTGCCTCTCTCAATGTACCTCGACTGCTACTCTGCATGTATTCAATTTGCCGCTGCATGGGACGCCGTAAGACGAGTGGGGGTAAGGATCCTGGCCCATGTAAAGCCATGTGAACCATGTAACCCTGCTGCATTAGGATCTCTGCGCCCACAGACAGGTGCTCGACGGACAGACGAGTCCGTGCCATGAGCGTTAACGTACATTGGGAAGCATTGTCCGTGTAGATATCCATCCCTTCCACCAAAGTTGCTCTCTTTCCAAGGATTGTGTCAGCGCTTGGACTTGGGGGCCTGGACCTCGACTACATAAGGCTGCTTGTATAACCCGGACATTGACGCCTCCCCCTGGTTTCTGGCGGACCACAGCATCCCGAGACCTGTATAAACCTCAGATACTATCCATCTCACAAGAAACAAAGCAAAGCAAAGCAAAGCACATACGCAAAACTCCCACATTCATCATGCAGCCTCCTTTGCCCTCTGCCACGCCAAGCTGGCGCAATGACACTTATGCCGCCATCTCGCCCGCAAGGCCTGAGCTCAGTGCTTCAGGCAAGACTGTTGTCATCACCGGCGCTGTAAGTTACCTACCTATACCCGTATCTCGCCGAACAGCTGATGGCTGGCTTCGGCTACTCGTACTCCCTTCCATACTTGTACGGTGTTCAGTGGCGGCCTGAACCACCCCCAGCCCCTTGTCACCACCACAATCCAACCCTCTAGAAGCCCAGCCGGCGATCTTCTCCACCCCAGCCTACGAAGCTAGGGAATCTTACCGCATTGGAGTTTTGTTGCAATGGCTGGGCGTCATTGGTGGAGAGTCCCCGGTCCCGGCTAACACATACATGAGATGTGCTAATCTGTGAGCGTCCAAAAAGGGGAGCGGCATTGGCCGCGAGACGGCCACGGCATTTGCAGCCGCGGGAGCTGCCCGCATCGCCTTGCTTGGCCGGACGGAGGCGTCGCTCAAGGAAACTGCTGCCGCACTGCCCTCGTCTGTTTCAACCTCGTCCCATGTGGTTGATGTCACAAGCGAGGAGTCTCTGGCCAAGGCGGCCGGGGTGATTGGCACGTGGGATGTGCTGGTCCTCGGCGCGGGCCACGTCTCGACGCCGTCGAGCATTGCGGCCTCGAACTTTGCAGAGTTTTGGCAGTCTTTCGAGGTGAGTTTCATGTACATGGATTCGTGCTGCCATGATCCTCCTTCTCCCCCACGTGGTGGCGAACTGAGCCGTTCACGTCACCCTCTCCCGAACCCGTTTCTCATCCTTCTCACGAACCACAGACCAATGCCAAAGGCACCTATGCTTCGCTTCACGCATTCCTACCCACCGCCAATGCCACCCACGCCGCGGTCATTGCGGTCACCACAGGCACCACGGCCCTTCCAGCAACCATGGTGCCGGGACTGTCGGCCTACATGTCGTCCAAGCTCGCCCAGACGAAGCTGATCGAGTTCCTGGCTGCCGAACACTCGAACCTCTTCGCGGCGACCCTGCACCCGGGCATGGTCGAGACGGGCATCTTCACCAAAAGCGGTGCCAAGGCCGAGAGCCTTCCCATGGACAAAGGTGTGTTTTTCGCTTGTGGCAGCTTGTGAAGTTTCAATGCTCTTTTTGCGACGGACGTTTTCTAACACATCATCACACTGCCCCCAGTACAACTTCCGGCGCACTTCACCGTCTGGCTGGCGAGTCCTGAGGCGGCCTTCCTAAACGGGAGATCGGTCTGGGCCAATTGGGATGTTGACGAGCTCAAGGCAAAGGCTGAGGCCATTCAGCAGAGCCAGCTCTACACTGCTGGCATCAACGGCTGGCCCTTTACCCCATAGGCGAACTGTAGATGGGTACATATGTATGTAGACTCTAGATGGGCTCTTGGGAGCAATTAGGAAGAAAGAACTATGTACTCGTATAGTTGCATATTTTAATGATTATTACCTACATCACTAAAGAAAAAACAAAAGATCCTCGTTGTTGCAAAAAAAAAATTGTGAATTACTATAATCTAGAACTACATAGACTCCAACTGCCCACATTCCGCACCTGCAGATACCCATCGGTTCCCTAGTCAGTCGCATGTCTCCTCTCGAATTGCAATCTCAAGGTGCCAGGATTTGACGTAAACTGGTCCTTCACAGTCTCCAGGGCACTTAAGCTATCGTCCCCCGGCGCGGCGTGGAAACGATAGTTCTTCAGGATCCTTGCCAGCACATACTTCATTGTGTCCAGGGCCAGGGTCTTACCCAGGCAGCTGTGGTGGCCCGTCCCAAATGGAGCATACGCTGCTGCATTGCGAACCATTTCGGGCCGAGTCGTCCAGCGCTCTGGGACGAATTCAGAAGCCCTCTCAAAGCAGCTTTCGACTAGTCACACACATGCGTAGTTAGCACATGCTTTATTCGACAATGATCAACATTCAACTTACGTCTGCCGATGGTGTATCGAGGAGCCACAATCGTCGTGTTGGGGGGGATAAACTGATCGCCAATGGTCAGGCCAAATGACGTCGTCTTGCGATTGCCGCCCGTGAGGAGAGCGGGATGTAAGCGAAGGGACTCCTTCATGACGGCGTTGAGGTGTGGCAGATTGACGAGTGTCTTGAGATCTGTGACATCTACATTCCTGACTTCTTGGTGAATCTTTTCAGCGTGCTCTGGGTGTTTGCCAAGCTCGCAGAATACAGCAATCAGAGCAACTGCTGTTGGCTCACTGCATTACTCAATGTCAGCACTCTTTGTCTTAATCACACTTGCTGGCCTTGTTCATCTCTTACCTTCCAGCCACAATGGCCAACAGACTGTCTCCTGCTGCCCAGTGCCACTTCTCATTCTCTGAGAATACATGTCCTTCGGAATCCTTCTCCATCAAGTAGTAGGACAAATCTTGCGACTGGCTGGAGCTCCCATTTTCGAGTCTGTCGCGCATCTGAGACTGGCACCACGCCACTGTGTCAAACCAATCCTTCAGAACGCTGACTCGAGGAGCCAACTTGAAGCCAACCTGGATGAGCCATGGCACCGAACTAAAAGGGCCCAGCAGAGAAAGGGCCCGCTGCAGGCGCACAATAATGTGATGCCACTGCTGGTTCTCAAGCATGCCAAAGGATTTGCTAAAGACAAAGTCTCCCATGATGTCAAAGCCGAACCAAAGGAGCAAGTCTCGCATGTTTGTCACCTTTTGCAGCTTAGCATCCTGCTCGATGCATTGATCCAGCTTATCGACGTATTTGAGGATTTTGGCTTCATGTTCCGCCAGGGCTGAGTCCCGGTATCAGCAACATGACGAGATTCCGATGAGAAGCTGAAGACTGACCTTTTGTAGTAAAGCCGCTGTTCCATTCACGACGACGAATTGCGTGGACCGACTTGTTTCGTGCCGTGACAAGGGCCTGGCCCGGGTGTAAGATGTCATACCATTCTGCCTTGACACATTCGGAGCGCGGTCCATCGACTGCCATGAAGACATCTGGATGAAACACTGTGATTTCGGCAGGGCCTGTGTACATGTCAGCTTAGCCAGCCAGCTCCCTTGCTTTGTCTCTTCTTCCCCACAAAGACATCATAGATCGTTTTCTCTGGGGAAATCTTACCTGTTCTCACGAAATTTCCGTATTTCTTGTGTATGTCGTCAAGAACATGGTGATTCTTTGAGCCCCTGGCCGCCCACATGTGCCAGATCTTGGTGCATCTTGCGTACCACGGCCCCCGGAATCCAGCTCTAGTGAGAGGATGAAAGAAGACGCGATACAAGAGAATGCTCGCAATCAGGCCGGGCAGATACCCATAACTCCAGAATATGACTCCCTGAAGAATTCCAGCCACCGCGGTATCTTTCAGAGTCTGTGCCAGTACAGGCAAACCGGCATATAGAACAAAGAGTTGAATGGTGATTTGAGGCGCTTGGACATGCCACTCTCCCCGGATGTAGACGGCATTGTGGGCGATGATGCCGGACAATGCGCCCACAGCCGTGAGGATAGCCTGCTCGTTTGCGTAATAAAAGTCCATTGCCTCGAATTGTCGTTGCAGTAGAAGATGGATGCCAGCAGGCAAAACAATGGGTTATCAGAGGACAGCTTTATCACGTCAACAAGTCTGTTCGCGTTGATACACAACTTTTCGGCGTGGGATTAATATCAGATTGACCTTCCCCTTGTGGCTCTCGGATAGATCAAAGGCTATACTACATCGGCTGGATTATATTTCATTTTTAGATGCATGCAGTCACTCACATACAGCCGGTGACATCTTACATGTAGGTACGAGTACATTTACAGCTCATATAGCCACACTACTTGCTACCATGTATATCCATCTTATTGCATATCTCCGGAACCTACTTCAAGCTCGTGATGGATTCTCTCGACATCATCTTCCCAACCCAGCTCCCAGATTCCCCTTGCTGCATATACAACCCAACCAGGACCGGCCTCTTTTGCCCCCCTCGCTATCATGGACACCCCGACAGGATCCTCTCTCGCCTGTGAGTTTTTGGCGGGAAACCGTGTGTTTGCATTAGCTCAAGGTCACCGAATGTAACATGAAGGCCCGTGATTCCACGCATGTAAGACGGATGGCATTCAAGTAAGCTAGACCGGCAGCTATCTACATACGAGTCTACAAGGGTGGAGGCTTCATGTTCGATGGACCCCGATCTACCACCGGGGCCCCCCTTGCCCGGCCCCCAATATTGACAGGGATGGCAGCACTGCATGATCTCCATAACCGAGCGTCACAAACGCACGCACCGCAGCGTAACCCTATATGTGACGCTGTCGACGTTGTAGACCCTTGGCCGTTACTCGACCATTCGCCAGGGGACTTTCCTGAAGCGGCTTATCAAGCACAAGCACGGGAAGAAGGGCTTATTCGTATCGAGCCAACAACTCTACTTGGACAAGCACAAAAGCGTATGACTGTATCCGCACTACTCGTCAAGCATTCATTTTACCGCGTACCAGCAGCTAGGCAGTACAACCGAGTCATTATCGACACCCCCAAGCCAAGGCCAATGGCAGGATCAGAGCAAACCCCCGTTGACGCAATCCGTCGTCTCATAGCTCCATCTCTACACGTATTTGTCCGCTTTCGAGCGCGGCCATTTTGTCTTTTGTCTCTTGTCCTGTCCGTGTAGCCACCAACACTACACAACCATCCCCCCCCCCCCGGCCACCTTCCTATTGGTGATTGATGGCTCGCAAGCTCTAGGCGGGATAACGGAATGGCGCCGTTGAAGAATTTCCTCATCTTACCAACATGAACAGACTAACAGTGCACGACGGCACGGGATGGCAAGAAAAGCCGAAAAAGCATCGCCTCCTCCTTTGACGCCATGACGGAGCGGCAGTTGGTCCAATGCATTGTTTGTTATGTCTGGGCGGCCATCACGTGGTGTAAGTCCGATCTCGACGGGAAGCCGATGTTGGGAACGGAATTGAATCCATCGCAAGCGGTGGAATTAGAAATCCATGTTCCGCAGGTCGTTGTTTATTTCTTCCTCGACCCGCGCTCTCTCTCAACTACCTGTACTTGCATATACACGAGGCACTCTTAATAATAAACCATTCACCGCTGAAAGACTTTCCAATTGCATTCATTACACAAACGACAAACTGTTCAACCATGGCCAGCTACGACTACATCATCGTCGGTGGAGGGCTTGCAGGCTTAGTCCTGGCCGCACGCCTGACTGAAGATTCATCCAAGCGGGTCCTTGTCCTGGAGGCGGGCGAGGATCTGACGGCAGATGCGCGTCTGTCGGTTCCGGCCATGTGGCCGACGCTGCTGAATACAGACGCAGACTGGCAGTTTAAGACGGTTCCTCAGGTAAGAGAAGACAAGACGAAGCATTGGCTGCTGTACTTGTATGGCCCGGTATGCTAATCATCCATTCGATTCGTTCCAGGCCGGCTTCAACAACCGTCAAATCTCCTTCCCCCAGGGCAAGCTCCTCGGTGGATCGAGCGCCATCAACGGCCTGTCCTTCACGCCCTCGTCCAAGGCCAACGTGGACGCTTGGGCCAGGCTTGGGAACCCCGGCTGGGACTGGGCGAGCTTCTCCAAGTCGCTGGCCAAATCCTTCACCTTGACCACGGCCGCAGGGACCACGGCCGGCCATGGCCCGCTTCAGCTCAGCTTCCCCAAGGATGCCGACAACAGCTGGCCCAAGATCTGGCAGCAGACGCTGGGCGGCCTGGGGTTCCAGCAGACTGGAGAATCTTACACCCAGCAATCCAGCGGCCCGGTAACCGTCGCGGACAGCATCCATCCGGCCTCCAAGACGCGGAGCTACGCTGGGAACGCCTATCTCGAGCCCGCTCGCAGTCGAGAGAACCTCACTGTTGTTACCGGCGCTCCGGTGAGCAAGATTGTCTTTGCCAGAGACGGCGGCGCAGTCACCGCCGAGGGCGTCCAGTACGTCAAGGACGGCGAGACTCAAACCGCGACGGGCAGGGAGATCATCCTCACCGCCGGCGCCATCAACAGCCCCCGGATCCTGGAGCACTCTGGCGTTGGCGACGCGAAGCTCCTGGCCAAGCTGGGCGTCGACGTCGTCATTGACAACCCCAATGTCGGCGAGAACCTGCAGAACCACCCCATGGCCGGCCTGAGCTTCGAGGCCGTCGAGGACGCAGAGACGATCGACGGCCTCGCGCGCCAGGACCCGGCCGCTCTTCAAGCTGCCATGGCCGCTTACGCACAGCAACTGGGTCCGTTTGCAAGCAGCGGCACCAACAACGCCGCCCAACTGCCCGTCCCAGGCATCCAGACCGCCGAGGGCAAGGCTGAGGTCGAGGCGCTTATCGAGAAGCACATCGCCGGCGCAAACAACGGGGGCAACGCCGCCTTTGCCGAGGCTCAGGCGGAGTTTGTCCGCTCCATTCTCACCTCTCCTGAAGAAGCATCTGGCTACTACATTTCGTTTTCGGGCTTCGCGTCGTTTAACCCCGACGGAACCATGGCAGCACCGCCGCCGGGCACTGAAAAGTACTTCTCCGTTGCCATCTTGCTCGCGCATCCCCTCTCCAGGGGCTCTGTCCACATCAACTCTGCCTCTCCGTCGTCGACAGACGTCACCATTGATCCCCAGTACTTCTCACACCCTCTGGATCTCGAGATCCTCGCCCGTCACCTTCGCTTCGTCGAGTCCCTCGCCAGTGCCGAGCCCTTGGCCAGCCACCTCAAGGCCGGCGGCAAACGCAACCCTGCCGCCGAATCAGCCGGCTCCTTTTCCGCGGCCTCTGGCCTCGAAAAGGCAAAAGAGTACCTGCGTCGGACCACGGTGGGCGCCCACCACTTCACCGGCACTTGCTCCATGATGCCCAAGGACCTGGGGGGTGTCGTGGATGCGCAACTCCGGGTGTACGGATGCCCTAACCTGAGAGTGGCAGACGCGAGCATCATTCCGCTGACGCCTCGGGCAAATCCCCAGGCGACTGTGTACGGTGTGGCCGAGCACGCCGCAGCCATTATCAAGGGTTAGTGGACCTTTGAAGAGCCGGGACGTTGGGGGGGGGGCTGCATCCGTAGTGACTACGGGCTGTTTTAGCTTGTGATTTGTATCACGAGGAGTGGACCATTGTTGCATAGGCAGAGACATGTACAGCATAGCAATAGTGGTAGTTTGTCACTTTGGAATAGTATTAGTAGTATTGATATCATCAAAGAGTCCCTTGCAGGGCGTGATCATCCAACTGCCAGTCTACATGTAGTGGAACTTTCATCAAGCTTGCGTAAACGTGACTAAGTTGAACATTACCGCATACTGTTACTCTTTACTGCGCATCGAATGCCGCGTCTAAAACTCATTAGGCAGGCCTTGTCGAGTTTAACATGTAAACGTGCGGGTTCTGCAAGGTCCATAGAGGTCCTCGCCCATACACGCACCTTTTAGGCGCTCTCCATCCAAACATCCCGGTCTTCATCAATCCCAGTCCATTCCCAATCCATCACCAGTCAACTGTGCCAAAGAGCCGGATCACCCAAAAACAAATCCCACTCCAGGTGCTAAAAACGTCCTTCCGGCCCGAGCAAGCCCGTCTTGATGTCCGTGGTCTGACACAATCTCCCGCCAGCACTAGCAAACCAAGTTTAGCATCAACTCGCTAAACAAAGTAAACCTGTAATCTGTACTATCTCAACACGGGTTCCCCCCTTCGGGTATGTAGTGTGAATCTGCAATATCCCAACTCGGAAGCTCCCTCTGATATCATTGCACCACAAAGATGGGACGACACCAAGACGCGGCACTTTACCATCCGTGCCACAGGCTAAACTTGAACGCAGATCTTTTTTTTCATCCCATCTCTTACCGTTTCTCTGTAATACACCCGGTCTGTGCACAACCCAGCCTGAGACCCGTGCACTTTGAAGAGACCGGGGGACGAGTCCAAGTATTTCCCTCGCAAGGATTACTGATATACGAGTAGGCAGTACAATGCAAGTAAGAGCTAGATATGCGCATCCGGTATCCATGTAAGCATCACAACACCATGGGTCTGTGCTCAGGTTCTAGGCCGGGGGGGAGCTTGGAAGCGGTTCTGAATGCCGCTACATACATGTACCTACGAAACCAAGATAGCACATCGTCATCACATGGAGAAACATCATCATCTTTAGGATTAACCGTACTTGCATGTACCTGCCGCGGTTTTGAATGCCGAAACCGCAGCCCGCTCCTGTAACAAGATCCCGCAAGTCAAAGATCATGGACCCGAGCGTTGTCAGTTGCCGCAAAGAGCTTAACCAACGCTTATCAAACTCCACAAAATATGCTTGGTGACTAGCCGAGTTTTAGCTTGTTACTTGGAATTGTCCGAGTTGCTCGTAGCCAAGAAAAAAAACACACATATTGAACACCAGGAGGAGTGGCATTATCAACACACACACACATCTTCGGCGGGATCCCAAGAAAAGTTACAACTCATCCCGCCTTTCCACCAGGTACCGGATGATCACAAGATGTCGAGTCCCGCGCCGGGAAAGGCTAGTATAGCTCATGGAATATAGCACGTTTCGGGCAAGGGGTGAATGTCAAATCAAATTCGGGACGTGGTTGGCCGTTCCCACAGATATCACCTCGTTCTCTCCGGCTGGGCCAATAGGATAATTGCAACTGACACTGCTCAGGGACGAGGTGGTCATTTAGTGCTCCCGGCTGGTATCTACATTGTTTCCATTATTGCTTGTTTAGTATTTCCTAGCATATTTCTAAATAGAGAAAAAAAATTAAAGGGGAGAGTGTGAGAGGGAGGGCGTGAGGGAGACAATTCTAGATATATATATCGAAATGTCGACTTTTTTTTTCCAAAAGCTTTGTCCTCCTCGTCTTCATGCAACAATACCGGGATCTACAACAAGGATTAATTCGTTCAATTTGTTCAAAACGCAGTCTTCACCATGGAGAAGAGCACTGCAGACGCCATGCATCCCGAGCACAAAGTTGAGCCCGCCTCATCAGTCGTCTCCACGATATTCAGTATCCCGTACCTGATCTGGGAGTTTACAGAGAGCAACTTTCCCACCTTTGTCATCCCAAACACCACGTTTGGCATTCTCGGAGCCCTCGCCGGCTCTCATCTTGCGGACGGCCAGCTGCCTTCGCCGTGGCAGGTGGCCCAAGCCCTCCCCATCGTCGTCGCCTTCAACTGGTACAACGTCCTGATATTCGACCTCGCGAACCAGCGATCCGAAGAGTCGGTTCGCGAAGATCTCATCAACAAGCCCTGGCGCCCGATCCCGTCCGGCAAGGTTACCGGAGACCAGGCCAGACGATCTATGCTGGTGGCCGTCCCGATCGCCCTCGCCCTCAACTACTGGCTAGGAGTCTGGCAGGAAGGTGTCTTCATCCAGATCCTGACCTGGCTATACAACGACCTCAAGGGTGGAGATGAGGTGGTACGGGATCTGATCATCTCTGTCGCATACGGCTGCTTCAACCACGGCTCGCTGCGCATCGCGCTCGGATCACAGGCCGCCGTCAACCAGGAAGGACTGACATGGATCCTCATCGTCAGCGGAGTCATCCTTACGACTATGCAGGTGCAGGACCTCAAGGACCAGGAGGGTGATAAAACACGGGGGCGTTTGTCCATTCCCTTGCTCCTGGGCGAGCAGTTCTCACGCATCTCCATCGCCATCGCTGCAGCCGCCTGGTCCAGCATCTGCCCGTTCTTCTGGAAACTCTCGCCATTGGCTTATGCCGGACCAATGGTGGTCGGGGCAGTCTTGATGACGAGCGTCTTGTTTCGAAAGACGGTCAAGGCAGACGACCAGTCGTGGAAGATTTGGTGTCTGTGGACCATGTCTCTCTACACATTGCCATTGTTTACACTATCATGACGGGTTGATGGAGCAATTCGACGAGTTTACGCAATCGAGTGTGGTGGCAGACGTTTTACTTTGTTTCAGTCTTTCTTTTGTTACCCTTGAGGAAAAGTGTTTTTCATATCAGCAATTGTTTGGAGCGTTTTGTACGAGTAGCTTTCTCTTGTTCTCTTTTTGAGTAGGCTTATAGCAAATCATATATGAATATCCTGCCAAAGCAAAGCTTTCACTTCAAGAAACTGAAATGATGAGCCACCACGAACCGCCGAGAAAATACATCATGCATTCTCTTGCTCTCTTATGTTGGCCGTTCTTTATAGAAAAGCTCGCTCACACGATATCGGTGTTGCCGAAGGTCCAGCCTTTGCTTTGTCATAAAGGTTGCATATCATCACCCTTGTCGCCATCATACATCCCTGATACCCCAACCTGATGTTGCAATCGCGCGTACTCATACATTTTACTCATGGTACCACGTCTGTACATGTAGACTGTCGGCCAGGCTGAAGCCCGTACCTAGTAAACAAAGGTCAAGGGAATGTCACTCTTGCTTTCAACACAACCACCTTGGCCGTAAATCCGAGACTGAACAAGGAATAGATAAGACCAGGATGACAGCAGAGCGTCGCACTCAATCTGGAGCAGCAGATCCGCGGTCAATGCACCTGCCAATGCGCCGAAGCATTTTTTCCAAAACCACAATATGTCTCATGCATGCACTCCGTGGCCTTCGGCGCCTTTGTTCCGTCCAAGTTCAGCTCTGCTTCTTTCGGGGACAATATCCGCTCCGTTCATTTCACAGGATGGAGAACCGTTGACAATATTGATAACAGCCCCTGGGCAAGACAGCGGTCAACTTTTTCTTTTTCCAAACAGGAGACAAAATACAGGTAGACACGATATCATATCGCTTTCCAATCGCAGCCTGTGGCCACTGCACGCGGCCCACGACCCAACGAGCTGCCAACCCGTAAGCGAACATTCACAACCCATGACGAGACCTTCCCATTCAGGCAAGCTGCCCGTGCAACAGCGAATAATTTTCATCAATGTAATCTCACCGCCCGCACCGTCATTCTCGCGCACTGACTTTCAATATAGTGTCACTGATGCTGGTTTGTTTGTATGTGCGGAGAGAGAAACTCAGTTGCCTGAAGAAAAGTTCCATATCAACTTCTCGTACATGTACGCACGGATATGGCGGCGGGCTGAGCCCCACGATGCTCAGCCATGATTCATTCTTGGGGTCTTTTAGAATGGTAAGGTAAGCCTTCGAGAACTATTGCTTGAGCAGCTTGGTCGAGAGAGTTCTACTTGGCATGTAATATGAAATAGTATCACCATCGTCTCATAGCTGTTCTGTGTGGTTTCTATGGCACTTGGCAAGTGTCCGTGTAAACTGGGGATCAAGCCAATCCGGAGTTCGGAACACACGTCCATGTATAGATGATAACGGAGCTGCTACACAAACTGCTTCAAATTGTTCAGCTATTATACGAATGCAATACAATTCCCTCGGCCAACGACTCAGCTAATGCACAACTCACCTGAGCCATCCTCCCGTTTTCGTTCCATCCTTCTCCGCTCCCTTCTTCACGTGGCAATCTACCCACGACGGCATCCCAAAAGCAAGGGCTACCTCGTGCTCATGTCGTCCTCGTCTTCCATCTCTGCATCTAGATTGAACGGAAATGACCCCATCCAACCCTCTTTGCAGCTTAGCTCTTACATCCCTCGAGTCCACAGCTCGACATGGACGCAATATGAATGGCCGAACGGCTTGGAAGGGGTGGCACACGCGGATAGTAAAAAACGTGGTCTATGCATGGAGCCCTTCCCTCCCCCCCTGGTCCTTGGGCCCTGGGGAGACGCAATATTGGCTCGTTGGTCCAACCAAGAGCCCATCCTGTGACAAAAGACCGTCTCCATGAATGACCACTCACTTTTCTCTTAGCATGGAATATTCTATATATCTTCTCGACGATTCCTCTTGCTGAAGTGTGTTGAAAGATTCCTCATCATCACAGCTTCGATTCGGGCTCGATTCCTCTCCAATGGCTCGACTCATCGCCCTCCTGGCCACCGTGCCAGCGTTAATATCAGCCGCTGCCATCGCTCCCCCTCCCGCCGCCAACTCAACCTGCCGCTGCTTGCCCACAGACCCGTGCTGGCCCTCCGCAGCAGACTGGAATGCCTTCAACAAGACACTAGGCGGCAAATTGATCGCCACGGTCCCTCTGGCCAGCGTCTGCCACAGCTCTTCCTTTGGCTGCTTCAGCGCCTCAAAGTGCAACCAATTGAAGTCCGTCTGGGACTTTCCCGACACCCACATCGAGTCCGCCTCCGACCCCGTTGCTCCCTTCTTCGCCAACCGCGGCTGTGATCTCCTCACGTCGCCCGACGCCGAGTGCGTTGTCGGCTCCCTCGTCCAGTACTCCGTCAAGGCTGCGACCGCTGCCGACTACCAGGCCACCATCAAGTTTGCCCAGCAGAAGAACATCCGCCTGGTCATTCGAAACACGGGCCACGACTACTACGGCAAGTCGACGGGAACCGGCGCCCTGGCTCTCTGGACGCACAACATCAAGACCACCCAGCTCCTCAACTACAACGCAAACGGATACAAAGGCAAGGCCATCAAAGTCGGCGCCGGCGTCCAAAACTTCGAAGCCCAAGAATTCGCCCACGCCAATGGCCTCGCACTCGTCACTGGCAACGGCGGATCGGTTGGCTTTGCCGGAGGCTACAGCCAGGGCGGTGGTCACGGACCCTTTGCCTCCAAGGTTGGCCTTGCTGCCGATCAAGTCCTCGAGTGGGAGGTTATCACCAGCACCGGCCAGCAGCTCGTTGCTACTCCTTCGCAGAACTCGGACCTCTACTGGGCCCTTTCCGGCGGTGGTGGTGGAACATACGCCGCCGTCTTGTCCATGACCGTCCGAGCCTACCCCGACATGCTGTCTTCTGCCGCCAATCTCACATTCACCAACCAGGGAATCACCGATGATGTCTTCTACGGCGCCGTTGCTCAGTTCTTGACCACGCTGCCCAGCATTGTCGACTCTGGCGCAAGTGCTGTTTTCCTGCTTGCGCCTGGTATCTTCCTGCTGCAGCCTGTGAATGCTCCTGGTGTCACCAAGGCACAGCTTCAAACTCTTATGAACCCTACTCTCAACTACCTGACGTCCAAGGGTATCGGATACGGTAAGTTTGTTCATTCACAATGAGACTTTTAGTCATTCGACTCCCTTGAAGATGATCTAACCCTGTCCAATTGTAGACTTTCACGTCGACCAATTCTCTACCTTCTTGGACAGCTTGAACGCCTACAACCCTCCTCCCAACGTGACCGAGTACAACATTGGTGGTCGTCTCATCCCACGCGACCTGTTCACCACGGCATCCGGAGCTGCTTCTGTCGCGAGTGTCTACCAATTCATCAACAACGCCGGCGGTGTCGTCTCTGGTGTTTCCCTCAACGTCAGCAAGGGTGCCAAGGTCTCCAACGCCGTCAACCCTGCTTGGCGAACAGCCATCACAAGCACAGTCATTGGAGTGTAAGTTTGCTCACTATTAGCATCAACCACCTAGTTCCCTCTCACTAACATGTTTTCCAGCCCATACGATCCCCTCGTCTTCCAGAACAACCTCAACGCCCAGAAGAACATCACTGGTGTGCTGGTTCCCAAGCTGGATGCTTTGTCACCCATCAAGGGCGCCTACTTGAACGAAGCCGATATGAACCAGCCCAACTTCCAGCAGGTGTTTTACGGCAACAACTACGCAAAGCTCAAGTCCATCAAGAACAAGTACGATCCGACGGGCACGTTTTTCGGCCTTACAGCGGTCGGAAGCGATGACTGGACCGTGGATAGCACCACGGGAAAGCTTTGCAGGGTTGCGTAGATGGAGAACTTAGACTGGGGGACTTGTATAAACGGGAAGGCATAAACTGGGAGATGAGGACTTATGATATTTTAGACTAATGGCAATATACTCTCTTTACTTGTTAGACACACTTTGCTTTCCCATCGAGTTTGGTAACAAGGAGGCACACTAGGAATTATTTGCATTCTTTGAAATACTACCTAGGAAATTGTCTGAAGGTATGCCCTTGGAAGAAATCGATTTGGCGCGATAGTCTAGCTCTCACAAGTCCAAGTCGGTGTGTCATCCCGTGACAATCATCAAATAAGTGTGCATACCAAAGTTTGTCTTCAGCAGCTTCCACATCGTTGCCCATAACGAAAAGGGCAATACTTGCTCTTTTCCTGTGCCAAGAGGCGAGAGTTGGGGGTGAATGTGCAAGTCCTCGTTTTATAGAGAAAGATCCGAGGTAAGAATCAAATTGGCGAAGAATCCGACAACCACAGGGCATGGAGCTTCCAGTGTACTTCCCCAGCACCCCTCAGCGACATTTCAATACTACATGTCGTCTCTAGGGTGCCAGATAACCAGGTCGATATGCTGAATTAACATGCCAAATGAGTCGATACTTCGAACTTGTGATTGCCATGGGCCATCATATGCGTTTCCAAAACAGCGACACGCGTAGCTGTCAGCTCTTCCACGACCATCAGCCTTTCCTTGCACAAATCACAAAAGCAAACAGGGACTCAAAAAAGAGACATTGGTCTATGGCTTGTTATTTTTTTTTCTTTTGAGAATCCGTGACTATGCGAGGGGGCGATTTTGATAGCCCTTACCCAGCGCATACCAAACTATGTGAGACACTGATAGATTCTGACCCCCCAATCATTACCCATGATAAATTCGTTTCCACACAACTCACAACACCGGTATTTTGCACCCGCTTACAGCTTCTGCATGGCGACGACGTCGGTGGACTGGACATAGTCCTCGAACTCCTGGATCGTCTCCTGGAGCTCATCCAGGGAAACCTTCTCATCCTCGACAACCAGGTTGATCTGCAGCTTCTTGATACCGAAGCCGACAGCGACCAGCTTGGAAGCACCCCACAGCAGACCATCCTGCTCAATGCCACGGACGGCAGCCTCCATGGCGGCCAGGTCAGTCTCGTCATCTGGAGTTGCAAAAGTTAGCATCACCACCTATAAAAATAAAAATAAAAAGAGAAAGAAACCATCGTGGTGCCGCGTCAAAAGAGACACCAGTATCGGCGGGAGATGGTTTCAAAATGTAAAAAAAAAATAAAAAAATAAAAAATAAAAAAAAAACCTACCCCAAGGCTTAACATCGAGGGTGACAACAGACTTGGCGGCAACCTTGGGCTTGGCAGCCTTCTTCTCGCGGTAGGCAGCCAGACGCTCCTCACGGACACGGGCAGCCTCGGCATCCTCCTCCTCGTCGTCGGAGCCGAACAGGTCGACATCATCATCGTCCTCGGCGGCGGGGGCCTTGGCGGGGTTCAGGGTGACCTCGGCGACCTCAGGGCCGTAGACGGTGTAGGGCTTGCTGGCATCGCCCTCGAGGGTGGCGAACTCATCCTCGTATGTGGCAATGTGCTTGTACCAGCGGGCAGCAGAAGGGTACTTGTCGGCGCTGGGAGCCTCCTTGAGGGCCTTGAAGACGGCGACGTCGGCCTGGCTGGCAGAGAAGCTATATTTGGCGGGGGAGGGGTTAGTGAGGGGTGTTTAATGTTTTTTTTTTTTTTTTTGCGTCGCTGTCATGCAAGCACTGAGGGGTGGGAAAATATGAAAGAGGGGCTGGGCCGCTGCATGCAAATCATCGCCTGATTGTGACTCAAGCGATGGGGGAAAAAAGATGAGATGTATGCGATAAAAGGATCGAAATTCAGGGAGAAGAGGAGAGCGTCGTCGTCGTGGTCGTCGCTGCGCAAGGGGAAAGAGGGCATACCCAGTAACGTAGGAGCGGGTGGAAACCCAGCTGTTCAGGACTGTTCGACACATCCTTCGTTAGCACAAGTGGCCACGCAAAGAGGAGATTTTTTTTTGGCTTACGGGTGAGGCCAGCATCGGTGAGGAGATCGGTGAAACCCATGGCTGCGGTTTTGTGTGTGTGTGTGGTGAATGAAAAGAGGGAGGAAAAGAGCTTCGTTTGGGTCGAGAAGAGTGTTGGAGTTGGGTATCTACGAAGAAAGAAAAAAAGATAGCAGAGCAGAGCAGAACAGAAGCAGAATGCGCAGTATTGATGCAAACCCCCACTAACGGGAGCCCTAGCAGAGGGGACTTTGGCGGCCTGAGGCAACGAGAAAAAAAAATAACCACCCCGCCTGAGCAGAATGAAAAAAAAAATTGTTCAATTGCCTGGAAAAGTGGCGCATGTGGGCGATGAGACGCTGCAAAAGGCATGTGGTGAAGCCGTGCGATAAGATTAGCTGAGCCACAGAAAAAGTTGGAAATGATGCCCCGCGTCAAAAGCATCCAATTTGATTTAACCACCAATTTTCAGTGCATGATGATGGTGATGGTGATGGTGATGAGTAAAGACTTCAATGACAGAGTCCATACAAGTCCTTTCTATAAAGTACAAATAACCTGGAATAGGTATATACAGTTACAGTTACAGTTACAATTACACCTACACCTGCAGACTAATGCTCGCAAAAGTTGTACGAGGCCCCCTCCATATTCTGCTCCGCCTTCTCCTCATATCTCGATCGCTCATGCATCAGCTTCACCCGGTGCTCCTGAGCCTCTTCCACTGTCATCAGACTATCCGGAATCTCTCCCTGACTGCCCTCCGCCGCCTTTGAAGCCTCTGTCCACCAGTCTTTCTGCTGGGGCGGCACGTTGGCAGTAGACACGATGCGCTCATGAGGGTCGACGAGCCAGAGCGCCAAAAACCTTCTATGTCCTGGCTTGGTTTCATCCTTGAGACGGAACGAGGAGACCCGATGTTGGCTAAAGAGAGACGCAGAAGATGATTAGCATCTGTGTATAGCAGCGTGACACCATTCATGACTCAGCTTACAATACGTTTGGAAAAGCAAGGACTCGCCCCTCGCATGTCCTGACATATCCATAGTTTTGGATACAAGACGCTCCATGCCCAAGAGGAGTGCCAAACACTCGCTCCAGCCAGTTGTAATTGTCTTGGCCAGTCGAGATATCGTCACTCAGCCAGGCCGACGTCTGCATGCGGAACGACAGATGGCTGTCCGTCACATTCTCACTGTCCAGATAGAACAGCGCCGTAGCACATATCCTCTCATTCATCTGCCCTTCCACCTGTAAAACTCGTTTAGCATATGTCCCACAAACTCGCCCAACAAAGTGGTGACATTGAACTTACATGCCACGAGCCAGCTGGAAAGTAAGGCTTCTCAGGAGTCAGCTCGATGCTGGCCATTTTCACAATGACCTGCAGCCCATGCTCCTTGAACTTCTCCTGAATCCTCTGCGGCGGAGTGTAATCCATCTCCTCGAATTTCTTGGGCTCCGGGAGAATGGCGTCTCGGCCCTCAACCCACTCGCCAGGAAGAAGAGTCTCGCCCATACTCGGCGGTGGCGGCTTACCATACATATACCGACTTAAGAAAATATAGTTAAACTCTTCCGGTCGTTTATACCTCATCGATGTCGTCCACAAATCTTCGTCATCATCACTAAGTCATATATACCGCCGTCAGTCTGTGATTTCAACTCGGGGTCAGCCAGAGCGTCCGGGGGGGGGAACTCACTCTGCCTCGGATATAAACTCGAACCGCGACTCGTTTCTTCCCGCGGTAACACTTTTGTCGAATTTTATATCCTCCTTAAGGCACTGATCCCATGCTGGTATGGCGGTATCAATCGCATGCTCAATCGCCTTGTATATGGCTGGATATTTTCCCGGGTGCAGATTATTGATGTAGCTGGTAAACTCGGCTGACCCGTCCTCACGGAATGTGACATTGGCTGGTAGCCACTGATATGTGCTTGACCGATATTCAGCAGGGACAATCCCTCGGCCTTGTGGTCTCCAAGGGACATTGGCAAATCTGCGCCCATAGTCGGCAAGGCGAGTTATTTCCGGCACGAGTTCACCTTTACCAACAAAGTCCAAGGCGTTTTCTTTGTTGACCTGTTCCTCCATAATAAAGCTGGATCGGTCTGTATTTCCAAGCCAATAAAGATTAGATCCGGTTCCGACATTTATGCAGGGGAGGACACCAAGCACATACTAAAGACAAAGGGATACATGGAAGGATGGACCAGATTCTGCACCATGTCGTTGGTTCCAGGATGCCAATCCACATTTCCAGCCTGGTCCGCTCGGAGTGTCTCGAACGCTTGTCTCAGCTCATCGCGCAGCTGAGTGCTCATCAAGTTGTCAGATTTGACAATGGCATTACCATCCGAGTCAAGAGTAGGTATCAGACCAGTCTTGACAAAGTGAGCCGCCTTGTTGCGCAACTCAGCAATGCACTGTGATATTCAAGTTTCACGTCAGCAGGTCATCTCATTGCAAAGGGATCAATCCACGAACAAACTCAAAAGCATCCTCCGAGATAATGCGGGACTGAGGCATAGGAATATCGTTCCAATGAAACTTTCCCCCCAAGATCCTCGAGTAGAGGCCATTCTCAGACTGCGTTCTGGCCTCTTCCCGCCACTTCTGGACAATGGCCTCGTCAAACACTTTTTCGTGCCAATTCGCCTTGTCCGTCAACTTCTCCATGATCAACATCATGGCAACCTCTCTAATGGGCAATATCGTCGAAGTGGCCCCTCGCGCCTGCGGCATGCCAATCGCATAGACGGGCGGCAACTCGTCCAAGCGCCAGCGCTCCGACGTATTAACCGGCAGATTGACGCCGGGGTACTGGAAGCCGGCCATGCTGTCTTGTTTGCCTTGAAGAGCTGCTAAAGGATTTGAGAAGAACTTGACAACCGCGGCAAAGGCTGATTGACTCGGAGGCGAAAATGTTTTGGCAGTGCTGTTGGGCTTTACCTTTGACTCGCTTGAAGGTGGGAGATCTGGTAGGGAAAACTCCCTTTTAAGCTCGTCGTCAACATATGGCTGAGGTACTCGCGCTTTTGGCATCGTGAGCGGGTCTTTTTCCAGGCAGGACTGGAGTCGGTGGTGGACAAAAGAGGAAACACAGCTGGAATTGGACAAGGCCGTCGACATGCCCATCTCGGATATCGGCTCAAGCTGTTTGAATATACATGAAATATTGGCTTCCAGGCAATAATGCTGTTTGGCCCTAAAGCTGGTGAGCGGGGAGAGTCGGAATCATCGTCGCCGTATTGCTCAGGCAGCAGCCCCGTAAATCCACAAATGGTAATATTGAATGTGAAAATTTACTGCTATTTATTATGTGCCATATTCACAAATACCACCAAGTACAGCAACAAGGATGTTGATGCAGACTTAGTGTTGTGTTGTATATTGAAAAGGAACTGCTTCTATTGCTCAATCGGGGTTGTCTGCCTAAACCAACATGATGAGACCCTCCGGGAATTTTCAGGCCAGAAACACCCCCGAAATCGTACCGTAGGTCAGGGGTAAGCGCTGTACTTTGCTGTTTCGGAGGCTAGTTCAGATTCCAACATCCAATGTTGCTAACCAGTGGATTTTGTCGAGAATCTATACGCGTTCAAATAAATCGGACTGCTGCCATAATCAAAGCTGCCGTCAGAATGCTATCTACGTGAGAAGGCGAAGGGGTGTCGCCAAGGTACATGTAAATCTGGTATTTACATTAACTGCAGTCAAGTAAATCATCATAAATATCACAACATCGCCGTAGAGTCATCAGCATGGGGCCTTTATGTTCAGCAAGTCCAGGACAAGTCATACCAATGTGTAAAACAATTGCATTTTAATTCATCAAAACTACTTAGACTCATGTCTCCTCCATGTTGACGCGAAGAATGTCTATTGGGACAACCCAGACTTTGATGGTTTTACCATTTATACCTGACACTGCTAGCTTTGTGCCATATGGGAAGGCCCATGACAGGGCACACTTGCCATAACCTTCGAGTGTTTCTTGGCATTGCCATGTTGTCGTATTCCATAATTCAATATGACCTAAGGATCCCGTTGCTAACGTTTTTGAGTCATGGGAGAAAGCTACCGAATTGACCCAAGTCCCATGGCCTTGGAGTGTTTTCTGGCACTGGACCGTTGTCACATCCCAGATTCTAATAGTCTTATCCATTGACCCTGATGCTAATAGCTTTGAGTCATAGGAGAAAGCTACTGATATTATACCAGCGTCATCGCCTTTGGGCGTTTCTTGGCACTCGCCCGTTATCGTATCCCAGATTTTAACAGTACCATCTCTTAATCCAGATGCTAATAACTTTGAGTCATGGGAGAAAGCCACCGAATTTACTTGTACTTCCTCTCCATGGCTTTGGAGCGTTTTTTGGCGTGCGCCTGTCGCTGTATTCCAGATTTCGATTATATTTCTAAACCCGGATGCCAATAGGTTTGAGTCATGCGAGAAGGCCACTGAACTGACGTCACATTCATGGCCTTGGAGCGTTCGTTGGCATTGACCTGTTGTCGTATTCCAGATTTTAATAAAACCATCACTTGATCCTGATGCTAGGAGCTTCGAGTTGTGCGAGAAGGCCATGGATGCAATCCAACGCTTATCGCCACGAGCTGTTTTTGGGCACGGGTCTTCGAGCGTTTCTTGGCAATGACCGGTTGCTGTATTCCAGAGTTCAATGTTTCCACCGATTGTCGCTGATGCTAACAACCTTGAGTCATGTGAGAAAACCGCGAATTTGACGCGATGTTGGCCTTTGTGTTCCCATCGCGCTTGTATCATTGCCGCATCTTTGTTGGCAGATTTCCGAAGCAGAAGCCGCATGACATCTCCATGCCCTCTCTCGATAGCCAGTTGAAGCGCAGTCCGGCCATCATCATTCTTTGAGTCAGCTTCCACTCCGCCCCTTTTGAGTAATACCCGAACCACGTCGTCATATCCCTGACTTGCAGCTGCATGCAATGGCATCCATCCATCATTATGTGTGGCCGTCGCATCAGTGCCTCTATCCAGAAACAGTTGAACTATTTCCGCATCGCTCTCTTCGACGGCCCATTGGAACAGTCTCGAATCGTCTATTTCTCCCGGTTCGCAATCATGGTCGAGGCCATCCATCTGTCGGAGTTTGAGTAATAGGGTTTGCGTAGCGGTCCTTTGCTCGGCGTCTGCTTGCATTTTCTGCAGTTTGTATATCTCTCCTGTGATTTTGGCCTCATGCTTTGCTAGATGGCTCCCCAACATTCCAAACTTTCTTAGTTTAACGTCCACCTTTTCCTGCTGCTTCTTGATCTCCTTTAGTTGGGTGTTTTTCTGGGACAGTAATTGCTGCGTCTTGTCGTTTTGCTGTTTATCTGGAAGCATTCGTGCCAGTGCCAGAGTTAGGCTGAATCTTTGCAACTGTCTACCCGCATCGGCTGCAATGGCTTGCGGCGAATCGTTCCGAGCGGAGCTATCGGAGACTACATGTATACAATATCAGTTAGCTGGTTTATGCAAACTTGACTTGGAAGCCAACTCACCCTTGTCAACCATGTTCTTTGCTAATGGATCATAGTCAAAATCACTCAGCAGAAATCTCACAAGCTCGTTGGCAAAGGCTGCCGCCATGGCCGCTGCATGTTCCTGGCAATCCTCGATCTTATGCGAATTGGCATGGTCATAGATGCCTCGGATGATGAGACAAGGAAAAATCTCGGCCAGTACAGCTGCTTTCGTCTCGACACAGAGAACATCACCACCAAGATTTTTCTTGCGCGTCTTATCGACTTTAGGGTCCTCGATGACCTGGTTGCCCTCGACGATCATGCCAAAGTACACCTTGTCTTTTGGATGGTCCTTAGCCTGGCCGCGGCGCGTACAGTTTCCTTCCCCTTCGCCATCGTCTTGATCGCCTGTAGTGCTCTTATTGACGTCGCCGTAGCCTGCTTTGGTCAACATCAATTTGGCCTCGATTGAATCCGACCGCAAGTGTCTCGATACCAGCTCCGGCCATGAATCTCGTAACTTCTCAAAGCGCGAATACATGTCGGTCCCAACCCAATCATGTACCGCGTCTGTTTGTTCCAAGGCCTTCAGAAGTGAGTGAGGCAGTGGGTTGAGCGATCCGATGCGCTCGAGGCTGCTGTCTCCCTTGAGATTTCCCGTGTCCCATTGGACCAAGGCGGGATACTGTTTCACAGGTATGCTGACCACCACATCACCGAGTTTGACTTTGGGCGAAATGCCGCCACCGACACCGACCAGGAACACAAACCTAATTTGCGGGAAGGTGGATTTCATCAGAACGGCAACAATCGCTGCAGCGGAGGTGTTACCGATTTCCTCGTCAGGCGGACAAGCAACAACAATGTTGTGGTCGTATATCGACCCCATAGCATAAATGTTTGAGTCATACGACGGCTTTTCAATGTTAGGATGTATGTCATTCAGCATACCCGATGCCGCTATCCACTCCGTTGGCCGCGTGCAGATCCATCCTATCGTGTATTCATCGAAGGATCTAGGCTTGGCAGTTGCCATGGCAAGATTCAAGGTAGTCTAAGACGTAGGTTTGATAGAGAAGAGATACAAGGGCTCTGGTATCGAGTCGGGTTGGGTTGGTCGTTTGTGGTGTCTTGGTGATTGCTGGTATATTTGACAGTCAACTTGCTCAAAGAGGTAATCAAAGTCCAGTGTCTATAAAGAGGCAGAAGAATGATGCAGGAATCCTCAAGGTATTCTTTTGAACGCCAGCGGAAGTGCTGCTACTTATAATACCCGCCGCATGCCGTGGCCCGGGCACACTTCACGTAACCGCAGGCGCCTAAGGGAGAGGAACAAAGGAAGAAAGTGAGCGAGAAAGAGAAAGCAAAGAGCGATGGGAAAGCAAACAGGGAAACAGAGAAACAAAGAACAATGGCATGGACCACTAAGAATTCCATTTGGTGAAACACGCTGGGTCAGTGCTGGACAATGCCATCGCTCTGTACGATGCCTGCATGCGTACACAGCAGCAGTCTTTTAACAAAGGCAAAGCTGATCATTGCTCCATCTGTTAGGTCTCTGCTCATCAGCCTTTGACAACTGCAATGTGGCTGAAAATGATCAAAGAACACAAAGAGTCCCATCCAACGTGGTAACATGACCCCATCTCAATCGAGTGCAGCTCAGTTGAACCGGTAGTAGTCGTCTTCATGCTCGAATCTGCAGGATTCTGGCTCGCCACTGCCTTGCACACAGTCGAGACAAAGGCTGACTCTCCTCTTTGCTTTTTCCAGCTTCTCAGCAAGAGCTGCGATATCCTTGGTCGGTTCATGATAGAATTCCTTATCATATCTTGAAGTGCTCGCGTGATATTGCCGATTACCCCCATACGAAATCGATCGGATCCGTTCAATAACTTTCGAGATGAGAGTCCCAAGTATCCTCAGAGGGGTATACTCATACAACAGATCTCGATAGCCATCACTACGACTTTTACCCCAGCCATAGAGACATATCCATATCGTCGAACAAGAAGGCGGCCATGGGGTATGCCAACTCCATCATATCTATAATGTATTTCCTCTGCAACTACTGCGCTTGCGCAAAGAGGAGGACGGTACGAAGGTCGTATTTATCCGCCTCGATGACAATATGAAGCACTTCTCGAGGCGAGACCGTTGCAGGGTGGGCACGCGCCCGCTAAGACGCCCGACGATTGACGCCGGAACTCTTCACACCGCGTGGATGGAGAGAGACCCAATGACTTGACAAGATAGTTTTTTGGATGCCTTGAAATTGATGGTTGACCCGATAGTTGCTCTCTACATGGCCATTTGGAGTGTTGATGCGGAAAGGTTGATATGGAGTTGGCCAGCTTCAAGGTACGTGCAGGTGGACTTTAGCCTTGACCAAAAAAAATAAGACATCAATGTGCGCATCAGAAAAAGCCGACTTCGACAGAGAAAAGAAAACAAATCATTATTTACCTATAATTGAGGCAAAAATATAACCCGACTTGTCCAAAAAGTCAAAAAGAACAACCCGACAGAGACAGGATTCGAACCTGCGAGGCCGAAACCATATGATTTCTAGTCATACCCATTAACCACTCTGGCACTCTGCCAATGGCTGGGTTGTTATGACAGAGGCTTGCACTAACGCATTTATGAATGTTGCTTTTGCGAAACACAATACATGCGAAAGGATAGCCATAGAGGCAATTGTAATTAATTGCGTGAAACCAATCTTACCTCCAGGGCTGTTTTTTATTACAAGCGAGACAGAATCTTTTCTCTATATCTCAAAGGAGAAAAATGCTTCACTACTAATACATGACTAGCCAGAAGCAGCCGTGAAGTGCCATGTCTCAGCCTCTAATCCAGTTCAACATTCTACACTCCCGTCCGCTCGTCTAAAGATGCCTTACTCTATGGCCATGTGATCTATCGTGTTACGTTCAATGAAAAGTTTGAGTAAAAACAATAGTCCACATAAATCCTCGTATTACAGCCTTTCTGAGAGGCTGGGATAAGATCGCATATTCTGCACACACCAACGATTCAGCTCATGCTCATACCCGAAGCGTACAATGCAACACGATACAGCTTTCGTCACCAAGCATTAAAGGTTCTAATTTTGCCATCAACTCATCAGTAATGCTTATAGATATCCCAATTGGCCCGATTATGGAAGCATCTTTGTTCTCCTTTGTATCCAAGTAGTCACCTCTGCCACACCATTTTTTCCATCCCATTTTTCCACCATTTTCATCCAACCGCCATCAACAATCATCTAAGAAGTACCGGCACAAGCAACAAAAGCATTCCCGCTAGCTCCAGTATGCGTAATAATACCAGCAATCGAACACTGGCCGTGAATCACAACACGGTCAGCCCCAGGAGACCCTACAGCATCCTCAAAGTCAGTCTCACATCCATCATGCACACGAAACGTCAAACCCACGCACCTCCAGTATAAGTCTTGCCCGAAGACAGGATAGGAAACTCGTAAAACGGCTTAGAAAGACCCTTGAAGCGGAAACCCTCGTAGTTGTTGTATTGGTGAGGATAAGTCGAGCCTCCAGCAGTGCTGCCAGCCCGGACGTAGTTGCATGCGGCGTTGGAAGCGGCACTGACGGCGCTGGCGCTGTAAAAGACGTTGCCACAGGTAGCAGTGTCTCTCTTGGTGAGCTCATTCAAGGGAGCGGCGCTGGCAAAGGCGACAAGTGAGAGGAGGCTGAAGAACTTCATCTTGGCTGGTGATGGTGGGGTATAGACAGAGAGATGGGAGGACAAAGACTGGTGTGACAATGATAGAAGGACACTGGCAGATGTCAATGGATAGCCGGAAAGTAACGTCGTTTTATACTCGATCCAATTTCCTTCTGTCCAACGTCTCACAATCTCATCTCGCCTGCCAACTCCGGCCCAAGTGCGAAGCTACTGCTATCCAGCACAATCATCAACCTCCTCACACCTTACACCAGCGGATCCGCAAAAACACCCAACCCTACTATTTTCTACAACCCATCACATCTATATACATATTCGGTCCCCCTTTGAGGTTGGAATAGTTCCCTCCCGCATCAAACGCCGCGAATCTCCCCCGCCCGATGCGCCTGGCCCTTCTTGGCACTCTCGCCTACCGACATGTCCGACACGCACTGCCAGCCACTCAGCTTCTGCAGCTGCAGCCATGTGCGACAGGTGAGCCCCAAGCCGGGAGAGGTTGCGCAACTGGGAAGGTCGAGAAGATATAAATGGGAAAGCAAGCAAGCACCAGCGATCAGTCCGGCGGTGGCGGAGCTCTCCGGAGAGATTGCCGTGCTAACATGCCGTATGAATGGATGGACAGATGGACTTGTAGACAACTGTTTCGAGGATAGAATTTGTCGATTGGCGGGGAATAGTCTCTTAATTTACTAGTTTGGGAGACCCTGTTCTTTGAAGCCTTGGCATCCCAATCACCAAGATCGACGACTTGATCAGTGAATCTATCCCCTCCGTCTATCACAACCGGCGAGCCTCTCTCTTCCACAAGATTCTGAGTGGAATGGAGCAATAAACCCTCGGAGAAGGCTATACAGAGGAAGAGACAAAACATGACGGCCCCATTCCACAGAACGAGGGACCCAGGCGCTGTCGTCAAATAAGCTTATCTGGATGCCCCCGCACGGCCCGACCTATGAACAACGAGCGTCGATCCCACCTTTGTTTCAAGTGGTGATGCTAAGGCATTTAGCATCGAACCCACCCATCCATACCGTGCTTTGGAGCCTTCCGTGTTGAGATAATCCTCCTTGGAAGAGCCCACCGGCAGGGTTGAAGGGAGTGCAAGATGTGATTAAGACTCTAGGGACCTTTGTGTAGTGTGTTGAAGATGGGGCGGAGGTGGCCGATAAAGAATAGGATGTATCTGTATATAGCAAATTACATATACATGTATGGCAGCTTTGAAGGCAGATTAATCCACGCATATACTCCTCGAGCCAGAACTTCAAAGAGGGGAGAGACATTAGTAAACAGGATTCCAAATAAAAAGAAACCTCCAATCTAATATAAGCCGCACCTGCTTCCCAAGCTTATAGCTACTAATTCAACTTATAGTATCTGCCAGATATACGCGGGCCATGGATAGTAAATATAGTAAGTAATAAAGCACATAAACAAAACACCACCAAACCCCAAACCAAACCCAACAAAAAAAAGCAAAAAAGAAAGGGGCCAAACCGTGGATTGAACACGGGACCTCTTGCAGTTGCGTCACAACAACCCAAAGCAAGAATCATACCACTAGACCATTTGGCCTCTAGTTATTCACATGACTAATGGTACTTTACTCTCTCTTATAAGCCCCTCACCCCAATCACTTCCCTCAAAACAACAAAAAACAGCTTCAAACAAACAAAAAATTCTCTAGCTCCCAAAACCCCCACACAGATTACATCCACAGTCCCCCCACAAATACCAACCCAAAACAACCAACAAAAAAACAATGCAATTTTCGTTAATAAAAAAAGAATAGACACGTGGAGACAGAGGGATTTGAACCCCCGACCTTTTACAGGCTTGTATTGAATGAACAATGCAAAGCAAACGTGATACCCCTACACCATATCCCCCAATGTTGAAATGGGCGCTCCGTATGCAGCCCTATACAGGTGCTGCAAAAAAACGCAACTCACTCACATCCGCAACAATCTTATTCTGTGCATTTTCTTATCAACAAACATCCATGTCTTGACGATGCACTCTGCTTCTGTAAATGATGCAATAATTACTGCTGCAATAGAAGCATCTACATTAATTCAATGCCTTCTATCCCAACTTACAATCGACACACACCCATCATGGCCATTGACGCTCCTCAGAAACACCATCTAAAAATAGGCACCGAGCCTCACACAATCCCAAGGGAGGCTTTTAGACTTTCTCGCCTCCATGCACCCGACACGTGGGAAGCGAACGCCGCCTGGTGCACAGACAGCAAATGCCAAAATGCCCTCGAATGAGATCAATGGCATTGTTCATTCCGACCTCGACCCTCGTGGCACCATGCTCGTAAAGTTCCCACATCGGGGCAAGAGACAACATACATACATGGACAAAATTCCCACATCGGGACAAGACAACATACATACATGGACAAAAAAAAACATGACAAAAATCCCAGCCCCGAGCCGCTCAATTATTATATGCATTTCTACATGGCGTATTAGAAAAAATCGACAAATATTCTAGTGTATGTACTCATATGTATATATAAACCATTTCTCTTTCAAATCATGCCTGGTATATTCAAATCATCAAACCACGACCAACATGTAGCAAAGAGCGGCAACCGTCAGCAAGACGGTGCTGGTCAGAGCCTGGGTGCTTGGCGTTGCTGCCGAGTTGTCGTCCTTGTCATCCGAGGCATTGTTGGTGTCGGGTGATGGTTTCGTGACCGGGTTCGCTGTGGGAGAGGGGTTAGTCTGCTTGATGGGCTTGGTGGACGATGGTGAGGAGTCGTTACTGGACGCGGCGGCGGTGGAGGTGGAGGTCTCGTCCGGGGCCGTTGAGATAGACGTGGGCGTGGGCCTGTACTTTTCGTCCAGGGTGAACTGGTCCAGAATGCACTCGTTCATGAGCTTGTTGTCGGTATAGTTGCCGGGCTCGCCCAGGGGAGTCAGGGTCAGGATGTACGAGGTGTCAAAGCTGCCAGCACCCCAGCCGACGAATCCAATGTACACGTCGCTGTTTGCGCTGATGGCCTTGTTTTGAGCGCAGAAATCAACCATGCACTGCGGCGAGTTAGTGAATCTTGTCCAAGATGCTGACCAGCCGGCCAGTGAGTGAGTTGGTCAATCGTCTTACCGAAGGATCCATGGATGCGCCCGTCTCCGAGATGATGGCCTGTCGCTTGTTCTGCCTCAACCAGGTCGCGAAATCCTCAAAGGCCTGGACATTGTCCTGCGTGCACTCGACGTGCGATCCCGAGTTGTTGATGTCGAGGTACTTGTGCACGTCAAAGTACAGCAAGTCGGTGCTGCCATCGGGGTTGGTAATCTTGGAGAGAGCATCGGCGCTTCCGGTAGACACGTAGCTCTCGACGCTGGCAAAGTTGGTTCCGGGCAGGAGAATCATCTGGGACGTGGCGCCGGCCTTTCGGATGGCGGTGACGACCTTTTGGCAGGTCTCGGCCCAGATTTTGATGTCGATGTCGTGGGGCTCGTTCATCAGGCCGAAGATGATCTTGTCATTGTCCACATAGTACTTTGCAATCTGGACCCAGAGCTTGACAAAGATGTCGTCCGACACCCCTCCCTGGCCGATGATGCCGCCGTTGTAGCGAGCAAAGTTGTGCATGTCAATCATGCACCAGGCGCCAGTTACCAGGCAGGCATTGATGACTTTGTTGTAGGATCCCCAGTTGAGCTCGTCCAGCTCGCCGTCCACCGTGTTGTTGAGGACAAACTGCCATGTGGCGGCTGCGGGTCGGGCATTAGCATCAAGACTCTACCATTGTTCCGGAAAACAGCAACGCTCACAGATACGAAAGACATTGAGGCCGTCGTCCTCGGCGAAATGCTTCATCTGGCCCGCGCCATCACCTCCCTCGTAGTCAAGCAGCGGCACAGACGAGGTGTCGGTCGGGCAGCTGCCGTCAATGTCGCACCCAAAGTCGATTCCGGGGATTGCGACGCCCAGATACTTGATCTTGCTGGCGAGGGCGTGAGAGGCCAGGGCCAAGGCGGCGGCCAAGACGGATGTCGCGCGCATGATGAATCTGTACAGAGTCCGAAGGTGCCGCGCAAGCACCAGGGAAAAGGCGAAGAGAGTCTGACTAAACGAGATGCAAGTATCGTGTGATGTATGATTATGTAGGTAGCGAGAGAAATGCGAGTAATACTGCTAGTACCTGAAGTAGTATGGGAAACAGAATAAAGATGGTGAATAAATCAATAAGAGCCGTCAATAGAAGCCCAAAAACGGAATGAAACAGATTCTATGCAAGAAAGAGCAGCGAGCAGAACCGACGACAGCGAAGAATAACGAGAACGAGTGTGTTATAGCTGCGTCATGGTTTTGCCAGAGCGAGCGTGTGTCGATGGTGAAGAGAAGTGAGGCGAGGCGAGGTGAGAGAGAGAATGGAATTGAAGAGATGGAGGGTCTCAATCCCCTTGAATTAGGCGTTGCAGCCGCTGTATTCCGGGGGCTGTGAACTCGGCCTTGGCGCCGCAGTTGCCTGTCACGGCTCGTGTTGGCGCCAGGAAAGGCATAGCGGGCGTCTCGATTCGTATTCACGTCAGCCTCTGCAGCTTGTCGTATTTGAACTGGACGATTTGATTTGATTTGATTTGATTAGGGCCGAGAGCGAGCAGCGTTTCCTCGACCCGATTATCCGTTTGTTGTAGTCGATTGTTAGTGCCGGTGCGAGGAGTGACATTGAAGTCACGAGTTACGAGTTAGAGGCGGCACGTCACACAATCCCGATTCGAGTGTATCGAAATGTCACCGCATCGGCAATCCATCAAATCTCATCCAACCCGACGTCAAAAGCCAACATGTGGAATCCATTCTACAGCGGCCGAGACATGCGCTACAGGGTCCGAGGGTCCACGCACTTTGCGCCGGGGCCTCACTAAAAGAACACAGCGGAGCCGCTACGGATGATTGAATCGCTGGAGAAAAAGAGCCTTCCATTGGTCTTTTTCCTTCAATGGAGCCTCAATCGTTGATGGTGCAAGGCAAAGAGAACAATCAATACG